GCAAGCATCTTGCCCTCTACAGAGATGGACGGCTGATTCGCGTGGGTTTCATCTACGTGGAGGTGTTGTTGATACGCAGAGGAAGTGGTGAAGCTTGAGACAACCCGTAGCCGTCAGTGCGAGGGGTTATTGGGATATCTCGTTTTGGAACTAGAGACGCAAAGGGTAAATCTAGGAGTTCGAGTATCGCCAGCAACGTCCGTACTAGATAGGTAGTTGGCGATAATTATTGGGAAGCGTAAGCCAATTATTCCGACTTCGAGTGGTGCGGGGCTCTTGCTTAACGGTACTCACTGTCCATGTGAGAGTCTCGAGGCGTATAAACAGGTGTGTGTGTGTGTAATGCTGAGGCGACAAGTGAGTGTCCTCACACAGCGCCGAGTTCAAAGGAAGGTCAAAATTGACTAACGGGAGAATGAAACTCAGGAGTTCCGGTACTCCACCAATAGATCTAGTGGCGGTGACGGAGACTATATCATTGGACGACATACGTATCTTATTCGTTACAATCTCAGCTATGGCACAGGCACGCTACTTGTTCCTGCAAGCCCCGTCTCTGAGCCGTATCCCCTGGTTTTATGATCCAGGCCTGGAATTCAAGTGCATAAAATCTCAAGCGACTTTGTACGCTGTGTATAGGCTGCGAGGCTGTAGATGCGCTCTATGCGCAGTTTGTGATCAATTTGACTAGAATCATCGATTTGCAGCTCGTGGAGGTGGCCTCGAGATCTAGGTGCGCAAATCTCTTAAAGCGTCGAGCGACTAGCATCCAATTCCGCATCTATTCGGCCAACAGACAGTTCAAGATGTCTCTGATGGGCGTCCAACTCTCCCATAATCTTCTCCCCCTTCACAAAGGTAGCCGGCGTCTGGGACGCTGCTTGGGACCTTCTGCGGTCTGATTTCGTCTTCTTCCAAATCAGAAAGCCAATGAGACATATCATCGCGATACCGAATGGTATGCCAACTCCCAGACCAATTGCGGCTGCTAGGTGAGGATTGGGATAGGATGTTTTCGATGGCCCTGTTATTGTTAAAGCTGACGGCGTGGTTGAGGTGGTCATTGACCCGTGGGTGGATGCGGCCTGAAGTTTCGAGGGGGTAGGAGAGCCCGAGGAGGTGGTGGAAAGAGCTTGCAGGTTCCATGTCATCGTTTGAGAGATCTCCCCAAGGTCGTGAACGACGTTGAATATCGCACTGTCGTACTTTTGCTGGATTCCATCGTTGGTGTTGTAATTGATATTGAATTGTCCAAGAAAATCTGAAGTGGTACCAACGTCTAGAGCGACACTTTTCGAGCCATTTGCCGGCACGGCTTCTATCACACCACCTGTGGAACAAGGGAACGTTTCATTAGTCTTCGCTGTTAATCACTGACATCGACCCTGGATTGTAGCGGTGGATTGTGGGGAGGAGAGATAATATACAGACATACTCAACGTCCAATTTGCCGGGGCATCCGTGATATAGTACCATAGGGTAAGAACCCCCTGGGTAGCGTAAAAATCATCGGTCACCCAAGAAGCCACTATACTGTCTCTGAAGTCGAATTTGAGGTTGCTGTTTTGAGGAGGATAAGTAAAGTTTCCTGATACTGCGTTCATGTTGGCTAGGGAACAGGCTGGACGATTGACGCGGATCTTGGGCTAAGTGTGTCCTAAACACAACCAGCGATTGGAGATTACGCTGATGATGATTTCATCATACGAATAGTCCACAAGACTGTAATTGCAAAGTGGGTGCAGTCGATCTGATCGGCGAGTTGGTGTAGACCTAATTCAGAATTTCCAAGAAATTCAAGGCAGCTGGGGAAAGATGAGAGAATCATTGATGGTAGGATCCTCAATCTGACTAGGCTGCGCACTGAAACCAGCAGCTGACCGCATTAAATGGAACTCGAGGCGTCGCTCAGCCTCTGTTCGGTAGCATTGCCATCGATCCAATGGTGGCTACATGAAATTAGGCAAGGCACTGTCGTTCTGCCGACTACTCAAGTGCTGGGGGCTGGCAACGAGATCCACCTATACGTGGTGCCGGCTACGAACCCTCTAATAAAGATTTTTATACCTTCGAAAGTCTACTCTATATCTATTTAATAGCTACTACGCGTTGATTGGGTCTCGATTTATCAGCTACAGTAGACGTAAATTTACGATTTAACACGTTAGAGGAGCTAAGAGATCTTAAGGAAACGTATATTTATATATAGATATACGATCGAGTTTTTCGATTACGATAACGATTAATTACGTATAAGCGAAAATTAAATAATAAGACGCGTTAGATCGAGGGTTAATGCGTTCCTCTTAAAGAATTCGATATTATCGATATAACGGCGAGCCTTATCTCTCTTAATCAAATAATACCTCTCTCTCTCGCTAATTAATAATTTTTTTCTAAATATTATAAATACTCGACTTCAACTATAAACGAGTTAGCTCATTTATAAGAATTATATAAAGATTTTCTATAGAAAAGAAATTAGATAAGAGAGTTAAATCTAATATGCTTAGAAAATATCCTCTTAATAGCGGAGTCAGCGAGTAACAAGTGATGGCTATATATCTTCTAGTTAGCTATCGATATACGAATAAGCCTCGATTAGATCTCGTATCCCTACGAAAATCGAAGCGAGCTCTCGACTTCGGTTTGACAAATGTCACTATTCTCTCTCTTACGTGACGATATACAATGAAATACTAGGTGTCTGAGGGTACATAGAACAGAGAGGCTAGAGCTCGGCCCGGAGAAACGAGGAAAAAGCTTTGGGGTACATTGCAGAGTGTAATGGTGTCTGGTTGCAATGGAGGCTTTGGAATTCCCAACATAATGTACATAGCCGTGGTTCTCACGATTATCTGCCGTACCTTAAATGGGGTACGGATGCCGGACATGGCCGTAAGGCCGAGTGGGTAAAAACGGTTGCACTCTGGGCTACGCCTTTCAATGGGAAGGGGTACGAACAGAGGCACGGCCCTCCGATGTAGGAATTACACACACACACACACACTCAAGTGCTGGGACTGGAGCACCCTTCATGCAAAAGACGTCTTCTGGTACGAGGCGATATCCAAAGGCCCGACAAGGCGGAGATGCCGAAAGGAGGTTACACGAAGCGAACTGTAACGGCAGAATGAATGGGAACCGGACAATGATGCCACATCATCTAATCTTCGGCGAGCTAGGGCCATGAGCAACGTTGCAGGTTAAGACTTACAGCAAAAGCCTTGGGAACGTGAAGGTTGCAAAAGCCTCTTTTCCTGAGGCTGTATTCGAAGCACAGGTAATCAGTTAATGCAACACAGGGTTAGATCATCATGCGTTAAGGTAGGCACTATCTTGTATGGCACCAGTACCGCCAAATTCAAGGAGAAGGAAATAGGGGCTCTTCATTCCGGTCTTACTCGTGGGGTCATTTGATTCGACCGAACACTCTCCGCGCTTGCGCACGTAAGCCCGACGTGCATAACGACTCCCCGTTCAGAAAACGGACATTAGTCCCTGATCCGTGTCGAATCCTTTCGTCTACCTAGGCACAGGCGGGGACTCTTCCGTGGGTTAAATTCTAGGATCCAGATGATAGTCGTATTGGCGCTTCATCTAGAGCAGATACTGCGAATTCCTGTGAAGAACATGTGAATACTGAGCGGATTGACCTGGAGTTCTGTATCGGCCGCCCAATCGACCAAACGCAGTGTTGAGGAAGCAGTGCCGTAAAGGATGGCGTACTGCGGCTCACGAGGCGTCTTTTCGTCCGTTAATTATTGCTAATTTTGAAGCGCCTCAAACGTGACCTCACAACGTTCATATGCATCTAGTGACTAGCTGCATCCCAGCCTTATGCAATGGATGGCGGTAATTGCCTCGAGAGGTCAAAAGCTTCTCATCGAAAGATGCGTACCTAGAATTTGTTACCCTTATTATGGCTTATATGTTCTACCGCAGATCTTGCTGGCTCAGCCCCGGAGCTGACTTGGGTCAGGTGCAAATAACATGCAAATACTTTATCGCAGTCCTCATTAACAGACGTAGAACAGGACTACTCGTTCCATAGAAACGGTGCCCAGACTCGGAAATTTCTCGTTCACAAGACTCATAGTAGGGTGCTATGAATGTTCGCATATGTTCATGGATAGCGTACCCTTCCATGGATGAAGACCGTGGACGAGTGGCGTCGAAGAGCTGGCTAACAGATACTTCACGTGACCCTGGTCTTAGCGCCGATCACGTTGTCGAATTGTGTGAAACATGAGGTAGTCTGAACCTCCTCCCTTCTCTTCTCCAACTTTCAGACCCACCTAGCGGTCCTTACGACTCTCAATAATACCCCCTGGCAGTCATCTAATTGTCCATCCAAATTCCTGGCTTCCCACCGTGCCCCACTGCATCTCCACAGCTCTACACCTACCATATACGCTTACTTATATACTGCCGATTTGGCATACCTGCAACCCAGTGTGTTGACCCCTGCCCCGGATTGTGAAATCTAGCACCCTTGCTTATTGAGAGTTGGATTCTGTGAAGTATCTTGACTACAGGGAAAGAAAGCACGGTCATTGATGCGTTTTAAGTACGCTGCTAATATAGAATGTTAAATGTCAAACGTTGTTAGCGAGTAGCTCCATTTACACTCCTGGAGAAGACTGATTTATCTTGCGAGTTGGGTGATATTTGGCTTTTCTTTACCACCTCAACTCACCTGTTGAAAATCCCAGATTCCGTTTGTACGGTCGTCTGGGTGATACAGCAGATGCAAACATGTCCCTGTTCCAAGGTATACCTGTGGCGCGCTCTCTACTACACCATTATAGATTTATGGTCGACCAAGCACAACTAGTATTAGAGACTGTTTTACACCTCGCCAGCTGCTTGAAGAATGTTTGTCCGAACGCTTTCAGCAAACTCGAGACTTTCGCTCGGTTATTGCCAGTATAAGAGCAGTGTTGTGGTCATCTTTTCTCTGCCATCTCTACCACCACTTACGGCAGAACGCTTTCAACATGACCTCGAACGCAAAAGACATCAAAAAGCTACTCGGAAACAGATACGAACCACATCACAGTCCTCCCTCAGACTTCAAGATCGAATGGGAAAAAAGCGAAGATTTCCACCACGATCTCAAAACCCAAATGGAGGCATTGGAAAAGCGCATCGAGAGCCTGAAGAAGGAGGAAACGCGCCAGCGTCAACCATGACTACCCTTCCTGAACTTCTTCAAACTGACAGACATCTAGGGTCCCCTACAACCTCGGTCTCGTATATACACCCTCGGATTACTTCCTACAACGCCCTTTTCGACGAAATCAGCCATCCACCGTGTCGTGGGGAAGCAGTGGTTTGCCTCGTGCAAGAGATCTGTGCAATAGCAATGGCGCTGCAGGGGCTGAAGAATGAGGAGGGAGAACTCAAGGAGAAAAACGGAGTTGCAGAGGGGTCTGGGCAATTGAAAAGCTAGGGTAGGATAGGTGAGGAGCAGCAGAATTTCAGTCTTGAGGCTTGGGGGTTGCGTTGAAACGACTTGAGATGCTGGGATTTAGGATACACATGTTACAATAAGCGGTTTTAGGGCACTTACTCAAGGACTTGTGTAGCACCATCGCGCGAACACTGCGCCCGCTAGATTTGTGACCAAATCCTCCAAACGTTGCGTCTTATTGCTGATAAGGCACATGCGCCACTATGCAGAGATGCTTGTTCTTTCCGCAAAGAGTTCACAAATCGCGGAGTCTTTCCTACCCTTCGCGAAGATCGCATTACGAGATTCGCAAGTCGCCAGCATTCCTAACGCGCGCTGAAAACCATACGGGAATGGGAGGGTACTCCTGGTTTGGAGATGCCAAGCTGAGAATGACTTAACAAGAACCGGACGGGTGATGGTGCGTACTGGTGCTGGGGAGAGAAATGGAGGAGCAACGTGGGCTATTCCATCTGTGGCGGGGACTAGGCAAGTCATCCACTACTTGCGGACAGATGAAGGGGTCAGCATGAGCTACGCTGCGAGTGAGTTCCTGACGGCTCATCAAACATTGAGGGAGAGTCGGTAGGCACTGCAATAGTCAAGCAAATAACTTTCCGCCCTTCTGCAGACTGTGATTCTGTGCGTTCTTCAAATAAGTCTTGCCTTTCTTGACGGCACCAGTGGGGCCATGTACCGACGGAGTCCCCACCAACCGCTCTGTAGCAGCTGGGTGTTCAAAAATCATAATACCGTGCCAAGATCACTCGGAGACGACTAATCGGACGCTCATTCCCATTCCGCAAGGGAAAGTGTGTTTGGCTACACGTCAATGCATATGCCTAACGCAATCTTCTTAATTCTTGTGGTACCCTATTCAAATTGAAACGTCTAAGTGTCTTCGACTTCTGGGATGCATGTCATCTCGTGCGTACAACATAAACATCAAATCGCCTCTCCATCACGAAGGCAAATCTACCATCGACTCCTCCCCTATCCATTTTAGCCTGCAACACTACACTGCCTGCGTAGGTCTAGCCTAGAGACCCAATTATGTCACAGCATCATGCACGCCTGGCTAGATCCTCTCCCGAAAGCTGGTGCCCTGTTTTCGTTCCAGTAACGACGGCCCAGCATACTGGAAAACACAAGAATTGGCACACTATCTTCACCTCCCACATCAGGCCTAATAATACCACTAAACCTCGCAGCTTGCTCCACCACCTCCGCCACAGTGACGGGCTTCACCAGAGGCTTTATCGGAGGCTTCACCGCAGGCTTTATATTAGTAACGACAGCGAAGTGGAAGAGGTAGAACAAGTTGGAGGTAGAAGAGGTAGTAACGATTTTTTTGAGATATGGTAGGGCGATAAGGCCTAAAAAATGGTGATTTGGGCTCTCCGATATAGAAGCCTTAGTATTAATGAAGGATCATTGTTATTGTACTAGTTTGTCATACAAAAGGTGAGAGGTAGGCATTTGGGTGTTGCGTCGGGATTATCGGATTTAACATGGGCGTAAATGGGGGCAGGGTAGACACGATTACTCCTTCAAAAACCGAAGCCTTGAATTTAGATACCAGGCAATGGCTAAGCGAGATATATAGGAACTTTACCAGTTACGAAGGTAGTCATTGAATTACGATATTGAAGAAGATGAAGCTATTCACTACTATTCTTAATGGGGTGTGTGCGATTTTCTCAGCGCCAAGGATTCAGGACCTTTTGTGCAGACGCTAAATATTCATGCATTAAGCTTGCATTAAATATGCACGACCTTGCATGATGTCTTACTTGACCTTAACATCAACAGCATTCATTTCACTAGACGGCCCTTGGCGTTCTTCCAACACAGGAATAAATTAGCGCTGGATTCTGGTTGTACAACGATGCTGCGTGGGTCGACATCACTCACTCACATACTCGATAAGTCCCTCGCCGCTGACCGCATGTTTCTCTACAGCACCGCCACCACTTCCACTCTCAATCCCTAATACGCACACGCAGAACCCGTTCTCCTGGTCAGACGAATGTTGGTGCCTAGCAGCTTGAGGCATCACCGTAAAGAAGGAAAGCGAATTACGTAGATTGGTTTTGTCCCTTTGTCAGGCTGAATTTCGGTCACGGCAGACAACACCCATAACCACGTCAATTAAATTCACTCGCAAAACAGCCACCTCTGACGGGCATTGGAGCAACAGTATTCGATCACAATACAGTCAAGCACGTTGCCGAATACCGTGTCATGACAGTTCAAACGCCACGACACCATAGGGTCAAATCTTCGACCCGTCTTTATCAATCCACAAACACCTTATCCTACACTCAATCCCACGCCGTGATGGGGAACACACCCAGCTTCCTGCAAGGTGATAGCATTGGTTCCGTGCCTGGAACAAGCGTATCCATGCTTCAAGGCCTAGCCTATCCTGTCGATGAAGGAAACGGAGCGCTGCCCAATGACGGACTGCGGTTTTTTTCCTTCTTCAAGCTCCCACTAGAACTTCGTCGAGAAGTCTACAACTATGTTCTAATCGAGGACAAGCAGCCGTTGCGCCTTGTAAAGAGAACGAAGGCCGACGGAAAGTCCAAGAACGACTCCATTGCCCTCTTAACAACAAGTCGCCAAGTCAATCTCGAAGCTTACCCAATCTTCCTTTCACTCAACACATTCGAGATCTGCGGCACCAACAGCCATTGGCAATGGTTGAAAAAGCTCGGCCCTGACGGTCAACAGGCGCTTCGAAACGTTGTGTTCTCCACTGGCTCGCTATCATACAATCACAGCCATTTTCGCACCTTCAACATACTGGCCGGATGTCCCAAGATATCGTTAACCCTCAACGTTCATTTCGACCAACTCATGAATCTGTACCGCATGGGTATCTTCCGCTATCTACATGGATTCTCTCGGGCAACTTGCGCTCGGACGACTGTTGAAGCAAACGGAGACTTGGATGCAAGATGCTCAAAGCACGGAAGTGGATGGCGTTTACTTATACCTTGCGAGGATTCTTGGAGCGAATATGCAGGCAAGCGTGTTCAAGTGCTGCTGGAACAATCCTTGTCGGCATGCCCAAAGAACTGTAAGGTGCATAAAGCGAGGACGGAACCACATACTGCAAGCGTTGTACATTTCATGTATGGCGACGGGTGTCCGGTTTGCTATGCTCGTGTTAGTAGTGGCCATTAGGCCCCTCAAGTCTTGCCCAGATCGATACATTGTACATTAAAAGCCCATTTTCCACGAGCGCAGCGACTACTTCCCATGACTGTGCTTGATGATCAATACTTTGAGAAAGTTGTTACTCTTTACACGTTCGTTCATTCGTTCTTCCAGAGTGGACAGTCACGCCCCTGCCACGCCTGTTGAACTTTCAGTGTTGCTCGCCTGGTCGGCTGCCTGCCGAACTCCCAAGGCCAAGCAGACCTCTATGGCTCCGGAAGTAGACTCGGATCTACTTCCCTGACAAATCACCGCTTCAAAAAGAATAATCTTTCCACGTCCGACATCAACTCACTCGTCTTGCTTCCGCTACCCTCTATTCTACCTCACGCCCCAAGGCGCTGCGCAATAAACAGAAAGCACGCTCCACGTTACGATCCTTCTGAAGCTTTGCTCCGACTTTATCTTAGCCGCTCTGAAGTACCCCCAAGAGGCGGCCTCGCATGGTTGCACTCTAGCTCGAAGGGTACTAGCTACTTGTAGAGTACAGTCTGCTTTAGCATCCGGTTCTGGGATCACGGATTTAAGAGTGGCCCTACCCATCTTGAGTCTACTGCAAATTTGGTGCATTCTTCTTCGTAAGACTTCCGATTCATGGCCACTTCTTTCGTCGAGTCGAGTCGGTCTTCTCGATCCCCGCCTTGTTGCTTGACCAGCTCCACATCTCCTTCCGAGGGGGTAGAGCCACGGTAACCTGCTACAGAAACTCCTGACATTTCCCGCTGAGTGACGCACCCAGCAAGGAATCTCTGACACATCTTGCGCCAAGCAAAAAGAAGTCAATGGAAACGCGGCCATGATTTCCACCTCCGAGATCTCGTCTCGAATGAGAAGATGTGAAATGTATTGCATCTATTGTGTTGTGAATGCCGAACTGGTCTGTAACATTCAGCTTTGCGTTGCATACTAACACGAACTTCAATAAAGTAGCCTAGAACCTCTGACACCTCGACCATGTGTTCCTCCTACGAGCCTCCACTGATGGTTTTGCGAACTCCAAGTAGGAGAGAAATAAGGTCCAGCATTGAGCAAAGGCAGCTCAGAGCTAGTTAAACATGGCGGCGTTGTGGTTCATTACCAGCCATATGCCGTTGGACTGTCTTCCTTGAGACTCGATTGCCGGAAAACCCCGGCAAGCATAGCATCCGCCAGCACACTTTCAAATACTCGTTTCAACGCGCCATATCCTCCAATAAACCGACAGTCACAGTCCGGAAGTACCGGTTACCACCACCGCCACCACCATCACTTTCCCCATATTTCCCACAAAGAGAATCTCCACGCCTCTACCTACATTCCCAGAGCTGTTTGTAGAGTCCAAGAATTGCAAGTTGCCGTCTTCGCTTTGGATATTAATGTTCTTCACTTCGTCAGTTTATAACCGTCACTGACCTACACAACGCGAAATAAGCGCGCATTATATAACACTCCACACATGCATCAATCAACAAAGAGCTTCTCATTCCAAGTGTATATGCGGGAATCTACGCCTAGTTGAAGTGCACTACTACTTTCTGCACTGCGGCTGAAGACCGTAACCCTCTTCACACAGGTCGTCCGCGACGATCTTTGAGGTCTGCATAGATAGAACCATGGTCAATGCCCGCAAACATGCTTGACATCAACCTTTGTAACATCCCAGCCAGCCTCTCCCATTCAGTAAGCAAGGAAGCAACGCGTCGGAGCCTTCGAGAAGTTATTCAAAAGATATCCACCGTTCAGCCGTTCAGTCATCCCACATAAAACCTTTGCTCAGCGTTGCATATATAATTCCTATGGATGATCAGTCGTCACGTCGCTTGCCCCATCTGTTCCAGTTCCGTCAACTCTTCCTCGTCATTTGATTGTCTGGGGCTGGTAACCTGGTCCTTCGACTCATGTGTGTGTAGCTTCATATTTACAAACATAGCAAACAAGCCAAGATCATAGCAGATCCGCAAAGCTCCCGCAACCACGAAAGCGATCCAGAACCTATCATTACCGGCGAGTAAGCCGGTAACACTAGGACCAACCGCCGAAGCCAATGTCCTTAACATGCTTGTAATTCCCATGACTGCTGTACGCTCCTCAGGTTTCACTACGGCTGCTATAAAGGCTGTTCTTGGCGCCTGATCCATATTGTTCAGACCCGTGCGAATGAAAAACAGAGTCACAGTCAGAGGGACTCCCTGAGGAATAGGGAAGAGGAGAACAGCCGTGGAGGACGGAAGATGTGTGAAAACCATGGTGTTAATAAGACCAAGGTGTCGAGCAAGGGGCCCGGCGAAGACCGTGGAGCAGGAAGAGAGTAAATAGCTTGCAGATGTTATGTCTCCAAGGGTTGACTTTGATAGATGGAATTTTCGGTCGATGTAATAATAGGTCAAGGATAACGAAACCATTCCGTCGGCCAGGGAATCGATAGTCAAGAGAAACCATAGTTTGTACATAATCAAACGAGTCTCTGACGATATCTGAGCAAACAGAATTTTCTTCTGAGGTGTTTCCGGCTTGTGAACCGGAGCCGAATTCAGGTCCTGGTTGTCCTCATCATTGTCCTCATCCGCAGCTTCAGCCCTTTGCTGTCTCTCGTCAAGCAACCTCTCAGACGCCTCAGCTTCCGGAGGCGTCTCTGCAACTTCGCACTTGTCGCTCATTAATAGCGTGAAGATTATAGTCACTATCCCCATAACTATGTACAGCCAGAATATCGCATGATACGCATTCGTTATTGTCCAACCGTTGAGCTTTCGTAAGAAATCAACAGCGCGTCCAGAAAACTCGGTACCAGCAGCCGACCCAAGGCTCGAGACTGTCACATACCAGGACAGCACATCCGAGCGTGTCTTAGGCGTAGTGAGATGGGATATCGTCGACTCTTCGATCGCACGGAAGGGCCCGAAATCACCACCAGTCGCGCTGATAACACCAACCACGGCAGCAACGAGGAGGATCCAGAAATTCTCGGAAATGGCAAACACTGCCCCGGATAATACCATCAAGGAAGCGCCGGCCAAGAGGATGCGGCGCCGGCCGACTCTGTCCGCCACCAGAGTCATAAAAAGAGAGAGGAGAACGTCTCCGAGGAGGGTCAGGGTCATGAACAGCCCAATCTGGAAGTCTGAGAACTGAAGAGAGGAGAAGAAGAGAGCCATGATAAGGGAATTCGCTCCGTAGGCGAACATGCGGCAGGATCGTCCGAGGATAACGAGCCACGCATCGCGGCCGGTGTGATAGACAGAGGCGATGCCGAATTCATTGTAAAACCATTTGATGGGCATGAAAAGGGAAGACATTCTCCGCCACTAGAGGTCTGTGATATGGGTTAATCAGAAGGGTCACTAGGATGGTTTCGTTGGGCTTAGAAGACGCTACTCAAGCGTCTTAAAAGAACTAGGAAAGGGTGCCGATCACCGATAGCTGCAGCATCTGACAAGGATGCTCGCTCTGCCATGGCTAAATTTCGGGGCTTTGTACAGCGTTCGATTAATGAGGTGTAGAGTTCGAAGAAACGCAATCGCTTTGGACGACCCTAGTTGCTTGGTCATGGATGGAAGTCCTGGACAGCGCTAGTAGAGCCCTAACCCTACTCTCGGAAGGTGGCCCCGTAGTGGAGGACCTGGGAAGCGGGAGAAGAGGAGGGCAATGTCAGCTCCACATTCTATGCCCTAGTGCACCTCTTCGAAAGGGCCCCTTGCAAGCGCATGCCCCCAGCTAGAGTCGCCGATGGAGGTCTCCCAAATGAGATCTACACGCAGATCATCAAGCATGTTACCGACATGGAGACACAAGAGTCATGTATGGAAGTGTCGAGGGCATTTCGTCGTGTTTGCCAAGAAGACCTCCTGTTCGCTGAAGGCATAATCTTGGAACCTTCCCACGCCTGTCAAGGCTGCGATGAAGCGGATAGTATCCCTGACTGGTTCGAGAAGTACGACGTCGCCACCGGGACCCACTCACAGGTTACATGGAAGGGAGCCGGCGGCTTCCGTGACAGCGGAGGCGAGTCGTGGAAAGTAGCAATTGGGTCCAAACCCAGCAAGAAAAGTCTTCTAGAGGAGTTGGCGTTCAGATTCGCCAAGGTCTGATAAGCAAGCGCCTTAGTGGCACTCCGGCTCCTGATATTCTACACATGCATCTCTGCGAGATTCCGAGTGCAATATGCTCAACTGTTCTCGCTGCTAGATAGGTTCTTCTAGAGTAATCTATGGAGAGTAAATCCCATATTCTCGAAAACCCGCCTCTGATGAAAACGAAATGGACGTAGACATTGCGAACGCCGAGTCCACGCTGTAAACATTATCCTGAGATGCACCATCCTAGCTCCTGATCCATCAAAGTCAACACCTTAGACCTCCAATACCTGCAATCCTATCAGGAGGACGAACTCAACAAACGATCTCCATTCGAGCAAACACCATGGCCTCAAACTCATCCTAACATCCCAAACATTTACACTAAATACCTCATTACCACCCACCTAGCGACTCAGCCCAGCATCGCACCGCAAGCCCCCAATCCCCCAGCAAGCTCACCTACAATCGGAGACAACCTCTCAAAAGCACCATTGAGAATCTGTCCAAAAAGCATCACGATGCCGTTGATGACAGAACTTTGCATCCATATTGTAGTCCGTCACCCCACGTCTACCCAGCGTCGATTTTACCTCCCTACCTAACTAAACAAAAAAGACAGCGCCGCCGCTCTACCGTCGCGCGATCCGATCTGAGTGGTTGTCAAAAGGAACTGATACCGGTACCATACATCCGCTTTTGATACGTTGGCCACCCACCCCCCTCTGCACATCCGGGTGCTGTCTCCCGACTGAGTGATCAGGCCGGGCGCAGTCTCGGGGTGTCTCAAAGCCCGTACCTATCTGCAGGGTCATTTATTTGCGAACATGATTCTCGCTCCCTTCGGGGGTCGCTTTGTATGCACTCGTTCGTTTACTCATTTGGTGCGTTGAAGCTTAAACAGACTAGCCCTTTCGGGTTGAGAGGGTTGTTGGTTATGATCAATAGATATTTATGTTGATCAGGAAGAGGCTATTGAGAACAGAAAGTAGAGTACGTCGAGACTTACACCTATCGTACCTGCGAACTGTAGCCTAGTCGTGCCTGGATGCGGAGAGGGTGTATATGTATCACGTCAATTTACAATGTAACACATTTGTATACTTACTTCGGTAGATAGATAGATCAGCCGGGTGATTTACGTACATACAATCCACCTACTGTCATTGCAATACGCCATTGTCCCGTGACATGCTCCATCTGTACATACAACATGCGACCTCGAGTGCCTACAGTCCTTCAACAGATAGGGTGAATGGAGCGTGGCTGGATAATACACCACCGGTAGACCATGGGTAAGGGGCAGGAACGTCACTGTGGGGTTTGGAGTATGGGTTTTGAGCATGAAGCTTCTGAATCTTGTCTTCTAGGAGGATGGACTTGCGCTTTCTAGATACCCGCGACATCGGATCTGTTTTCCAGATCTTGCGTTCTGAAGAAGACAGTGCCTGCAGATTCTTGGAAACTCTACCATGGGGCGTGGGATGCTCGGTGTCCGAACACTTCGAATCGCTGGTACGGTAGCTGTTCAGCAAGTGAGCAAACCGGATCTGGAATTGGCAAAGCAATAGATTGAGATGAAGTCAGCTGCAGCTCTGACGAAATTCTATCACTAAGTGCAAATTCTTCCGATCACCCCGAATGATTATTTGGCTCCATATTCCTTCAGCACTCTGATTAAGACTTGCTGTTCGCTTTTGGGATAGACGTGGTGGTGCTCACGAAGCCAGGACAACACAGATTTCCCATCATTTCTCTTTGCCGATGGATCGGCCCCCCTTTCACATAACAGCTTCGCTATGTCCTTTCGAGTCACAGATTCAGCGCAAATCGCGCACCATTCTTTGTTACAATCCTGGGGATGTGCGTAACAGAGGCTTCTATGTAGCACTGTCTCGCCGTAATTCGTTCTTGCTCTTTTGTCCGCTCCGGCAGCAAGGAGCAGCTCAATGCTTGTTCTATGGCCCCAGTAAGCAGCGAGCACTAGTGGTGTTTGACCAAGGTCTTCGCGTGCTTCCAGGTTTGCTCCAGCTTTCAACAGCACCTCAACTACCCCAGTATGGCCCCAATAGACTGCGTCATGTAAAGGTGTTATACCCTTATCATCTTTCACATTGACTGACGCTCCAGCTTTCAACAGCACCTCAACTACCCCAGTATGGCCCCAATAGACTGCGTCATGCAAAGGTGTTATACCCTTATTATCTTTCATATTGACCCACGCTCCAGCTTTCAACAGCACCTCGACTACCCCAGTATAGCCCCGATAGACCGTGTGATGCAAAGGTGTATCACCCTCATTATCTTTCACATTGACCGACGCTCCAGCTTTCAACAGTACCTCGACTACCTCAAAACGGCCCCAATAGATCACGTCATGCAAAGGTGTATCACCCTCATTATCTTTCACATTGACTGACGCTCCAGCTTTCAACAGCACCTCAACTACCCCAGTATAACCCGACCTAGCCGCGTGATGCAAAGGTGTATTACCCTTATCATCTTTCACATTGACTAACGCTCCAGCTCTCAACAGCACCTCGACTACCTCAGTACGGCCCCAGAAGGCCGCCTCACTCAAAGGTGTAGAACAAAATTCGTTTTTTGCATCGACTGACGAGCCAGCATTCACCAGCATACTAGCCACCTCGGTATGACCATTTAACGCGGCTAGAGAAAGCGATGTATTATTCCCCCCCTCCCTCGCATGGATATTCGCACCGGCTTTTAACAGACAGTCTACTGTCGGTGCCCGACCCCAAGAAGCAGCCAGTGAAAGAGCGTTCTCGGATTTCTGTTCAATATCGACGCCGCTTTTCAACAAGATTTCAACAACTGGTGTATTTCCCTTTACGGCAGCAAGGTGCAAAGCAGTAAGACCCTGTTCGTTCTTTACATTGATATCTGCATTTCGCTCAACAAGTAGATCGATCAGGGCGGTGTTTTCTCCATTCGAAAGATGGTGCAGAGCCGTCTTTGCATTGGCATCTATTGCGTTCACATTGGCGCCCTTCCCCAGCAGATATAGAAGTGCCCCTTCTGTGTCAGAGCGGCTTCCCACGCCTTGCCCAGCTGCTGTCTTGGCCAGCTCAAGGAGTGCGTCATTGGAATTCCACTTCTTCGCCTCAAATCTCATCATGAGAGCCGCCACTAACTCTTTTGCAGATTTCTTGTTGTAAGACGTACCCACGTTGGGGTCCGCTCGATGTCCAGTTGGAATCTGTTCGAAGGCTATATCGAGATCGAGGTCTTCCTCAATACTGACAGATTTAATCTTTTCGTTGGGTTTCCGGTGTGCGAGCTTTTCCTCGAAGATATCCTTCGTCGGGGTTTTCCTTCTATTGTCCATTCTTTTCGGGGGGCCCGGACCCTTGCCAGTCTCTGAAGTAGACCCTGGCATTCCCGCTTCATTGATCTGTTGCGACCGTCTGCGTCTATTCAAGCCGATACTGCTGACGCTGTCATCGGGCATCAGCTCACTGGCGCTATCAGATTCTGATCTCGGTTCCTCGTAATTAACGGTCAAGCGGGTGATCCACTCCTCAATGTCGCACTTTCTTAGTTCTTCCGAGAGCTCTCCAGAGCTGGCAGATGATGGATGTTGTCGATCTTTTCCACTCACAATGGTAGACTGCGATTCAATAACAGTACTTGCAGAGGCAATCACTGCCTCTGCAGTGCGCTTCAATTGCTGAGTATGTCCCGCAATATGAGGATTTCGGAAGTCCATCGGTAATTTGTCATCTTTAGTAGTCCACTGTGACGAGAGGTTCTCAACTTGCTTTATCAGACCTTCGACTTTCGAGACGAGAGGGAGGATGGTATCGATTTTTGGATTGATGACATTGAAGATATTATCATTGGTCCGACAATTGATGGCCCTGTTAATGACTGAGCACAATGTTGAGCCATATATGGCAACGAGACTTACAACGCAGCTGTTTGGAGCCCCATTTCTGCGCAGATTCCGAAGTCAGCATCGTCCTTCGCGGATAATTTCTCGAGTTTGCAAGACAGATATAGACACATGATAGGAGAAGAAACAGGGTCATTGCTCCCAGTTACGACCCCAAAAAGGGCCTGGATGGAGGACAACCAACTCCGAGAAGTACGTACGAAGGATGGTTGAGTGCCAATGAACTCTTGACCTGATGTTGCTGATCTCTTCTGAATTGATATTCAGTTGTACCTGCTTCACGGCCTTCTTGAAGCCATTTGTGACTTTGCTAGGAGGCCCGAGGCGATCAAGAACCTTCTGCAGAGCCTCGATTGTGCGCTGGGTATCTTGAATAGCATTGTGTATTGGGTCCCAAGCGCCATCTGTTCTGGACGAAGCATAACTTGTTTGAGCGATGACGGTATCTTTGGGAAACGCCTCGATATCCTCCAGCACCCGGGTCAGGCCTCGAACCTCTCCTTGGAGGTCCTCCAAGGACTTGCCAACCTTCTTCGCTGAGGTGATGAAGGTGTAGAGTGTCGTCGTGACAGAGTACAAGGTTTTAAGAGCCGGGCCGACAGCGGCCGCTATGGAGACTGGATCCATGTGCTATATCCGAGACAGTGCTCGAACTTAGTGATAGCGTTGATCGGTAAGTATGAACAAGCTGACATTTGAGTTGGAGCTTTGGCGGGGTAATCAGGCAGCACACCACGCCTCGCTTGCGGCTGCCTTGTAGAAGTCTGGGCATTGATACCTTGGTACCGGAGGTACAGTCTCAACTACAGCCTTGTAAAAGAAGCCGCATCGCCGAAAGCGCCTCTGAAACATTCAACTGGGCCCTTTCCTTTTCATTTCGAATGATGGATCGAATTAGCACAGGTAAGGTAAGAGACTATGGTATGATAGGACAGCATCGTACAGTAAGAGAACATGGTAGGGTAAAAGAACTTTGCAAAGTGAGAGAGTATCAGATACGGTAGAAGAATATCGTAGGGCGAGAGAGTACGGAGGCCCGCACACAAAGTCGAATGCCAAGACTTCTTCTACCTTACGCCAAGATCTTGGATAACGCCCTGCCTGGAGGTTGCCTTCGACTTCGGAACTGCGCCCATCCTGACCTCACTTTGGGGTCCATTGTCCCTACCAGGCCCAACGGAAGTCCGCCCTCCGCTACAGGGTCACCTTCCGAAAGTACATAGCGCTTGTCCTGCCAAGCCAGGACCCCTGAACCCCTGCCAAGGCCCCATCGTCACCGAGTCGACCCCGCCAACCCCTCCTTCCTTGATTTATCTCCAAACATACGATCTCCTCGCTCTTCCACTCACTCACTCACTCACTCATTCACCCACCTACCAAGACCACCCACTCAACAGCCAACCCTTCTTTCAATCACAACTACCCCTACCAATTACACACACCCACCCCAATCTACACACAACTCCCACCTCACACACAATGGACAACATCGAACAAGACGCCATGAAAGACATGTCCGGCGGCGGCGGAGGAGGAGGAGAAGGAGGAAACCAGCAGGGCGGAGGCCAGTCCAGTGGCATGGACAAGACCATCGATCAGGGTATGCCGCTCCCTTTCTCTCACCTCTCCACATCACCTTCCCATCCCATCCCATCCCATCCCATCCCATTCCCCCACTTCCCTCCCCCACCATCCCATCCCTCCACCCCCACCACCACCCGCATCCGAACCGACCCGACGCTAACGCCCACGGCACCGCAGGCGTGGACAAAGTAGCCAGCGAAGAAGGCGTGCCGGGCATGGCGGACGGGGCCATCAACAAGGAGGTGAACTCCGAGGTTGGGAAGTTCACCTGAAAGGCGGCTGTGGATAGGGTTGGTGCGAGAGGGGATGGGCTAGGGACGTACATACATACATGCGTACGGTTGATGCGTATAGAGGGGACGAGACAAGGCAAGGGAAGGGAAGGGAAGAAAAGAAAAGATGAGATGAGATGAGATGAGATGAGAAAAGGAGGGTGGAATCTTGCTCAAGACAATCACAAGCAACTTTCAGGCTTCAACTTCAGCTTCAGATCAGATCAGATACCCTCTCTACATCACTATCCACAAATGCCTTCGTCAAGATGCTCAACCCCTAGGCAAATCGCCCCACGCCTAACCCTCTAAAGCCGCCCCCTCTCACTTCCCTATCCTCATCCTCATCCTCATCCATCCATCCAGCACAGTCCCCATCCCACCCCCACGCCCCCTCCCTCCAATCCACCCCATCCCACCCATCCATCAATCTCCCACACCAACAGCCCACCCCCCAAATTTCCAAAATTACATACATACATCAAGACCAGCTCACACCACACAAACCCGAGCGAGCGGCACTGTTCCCTTCTCCCGCTCGATCCGTGGCCGCTGTAGCGCAATGCCTTGCTTCTTCTTCTTCTTCTTCTTCTTCTTCTTCTTCTTCTTCTTCTTCTTCTTCTTCTTCTTCTTCTTTTTCACAGCACGCGACGCGTACCGCCAACGAGTCTTTCTCTCCCATACGTCTTGCGTCCGCTTGTATCATACCCGACCGATCGATCCTCCTCGTAGGCGGAAACCTCTTATCCGCAGGTCGTAGCAATTCTAGCATGGTCGGTTGGGTATCCGAGTCTGATCTCTTTCTTTCTTTCCAGACAGCTCCACAACGGAACCCCACGACGGGTTTCAAATCCAAGTGCGTCGTTCGCCCGTCATGGGCCAGCCCGCGCTCTCCATCTTCTTCCTCATGCGGCGGGAGCGCTCCTCGCGCGCGATGTTGTCCACGTCGTTGAAGGCGTTGAAGCGGGACACGCCGGCCGGCTTGGTCTTTTGTGACGTTCGCGTTTCCGTCGCGCGCTCGATGTCGTAGGTATCGTGCCCCTCCTCTTCCCCCTCCTCCTCCCCCTCCTCCTCCTCGTTTCTCCCGTCACGGATCGGCATCGGCTCGTCCGTGGGATCGGGAGGTATGGGTTGGTTGGCGCCGAAGGAACTCCTTTCTGTCTGGTAGCCCTTCCGTAGCAAGTGGCGGATAGTCTCTGCCGGTTGCGTTGACCGCAGCGGCTCGTCCTGGAAGTCGGGAGGTAAAGGTTGGTTGAAGCCCCAGGAACTCGAGGCCGTATGCTTCCCTCTGCGAATCATGTCCCGGATAGGTCTCAGTCCGGCGTTCTCCAGAGCCGGTGGAGCAGTGTTGTGACGGGGCCATTGTTTCAAAGACCATCTGTTCTGGCGGTCCGTGGACTCGGGCTCGGGGCTGGGACGGGCTACGCGGCCGGCTGTGGAAGGTGTGCTTCGCTCGGTGTCAAGTATGCCAAAAATTGCGAAATCGAGGAGGGGTTGCATGGCGGCGAAACAGGCGCAGAGGACCCCGGTGCTGGTTTCGAGGGCGGTCCAGACGCTGAGGTCAATGAGATCATCTGTGGAGGAGTTCTTAGCTATTTACGTTAGAAGGGAGTCTGGGTTCGCGCACAGGTAAAGTCAACCGAATGTTTATGGACGGCAATGGTGTTCAAACGAAGAGTAGCCGCGATGATGACGCTGGAAAGTGCTCGTTAGCGAGTTGGATCGTCCTGGGGATTGCTTGTTACTCACAAGCCGCCAAGGGTGAAGACGAACAGAAGTCCAGCCTTGTGTGACGATAGAGTGATGTGGGATCTCCACAGATAGGGCAGGGGAAGAATCATGATCACGACATCCAAGATGATGTTGGGTATTTGTATGCCCAGGAAGTAATGCAAGGTATTAACGCAGGCTTTGTTCGTAATCTGGGTGTCCCAATAGGCATTGATGGGATTGCAATTGAATATTATCACCACTAGTGTCGTTATTCCCCAAGATATGACTGACACACCAATCGTCGCGGCGTATATTTTGAGTCGAGGGACATGGAATATGCGGTAGAGTAGGGACAGTATCGAGCATTTAATGAGGACCACGGATACTGGGTACATTATTTCCGAAGCGTAAAGGTAGATCCAGAAGTGCCTGATATCGGAGGCTGTCGCCCACTGTATATGCTTTCCGAAATTGAAATGCTGTACACCTGAGGAAGCGAACTTTCAGTCGCCAAAGCCATGCACGCATGGGTGTGCTTCTTACAGTATATCATTAAGATACTAGGGATCCATGCCACAGGCTGTTTGCGAATGTCAGTCGCATGTTCCCAGAGAGAGTTGCGCGGGCATCACTTACCAAGGCGATCAAAATCAACCAGTCATCCCACGAGAGTTGCACCCCGGATAATCTCCTAGAAGCAAAGCGAAGGGCCACCGCTATAGCCGACAAAGCGATCATAACAGAACATACTCGGACGAGATGGGGACCTTTATTCGCATAGATGTCGAAACCTGGAGCATTTGAAAAGCTAAGGTAAGACATCAATGAGGGTGACGGGCAGCGACGACGTTGAAGACGAAGGATAAAAGACACATTGGTACATGCAGTCCCAACTGACTTCTCCAGATAGAAACGCGAAGTCGCGATCCATGGGCTGGGTCTAAGGTACCCAAGGACCCCGCCGAGAGCACAGACCAGCGCCGGCCACAGAAAGGCAAAATAAAATATAATAGTCATTGAAACACGAGTCAGTGCGGGAAAGTTAAAGTTCCCTGAGATGACGAGGCACAGCGACGTGAACCTCTGAACCAGAAACACTACCCGACCCGTGAGCCAGCCTAGACCACAAATGGGCAGAGAAGCAACGGGGGAAATTGATTCGGGCCTATGACTCGTTGGTAATTGCCACGAGACACGGCTAGAGCCGAGTTGAGCCGCCAACGTGCATTTGCACATGATTGATATATCTCTGACGGACAGGGTACATCTCTGTTTCAAGTCATTGTCGTATTTCCTTGCTACCTTCTGTCTCGTTCCGAAGCCGGTGTAGTCACTGTATCGACCAACGTTTCGACCTTGCCATGGCGTCAAACAAAATCCAGTGGCTAGAAAGTCGAGTCCCTCTAGGAAGAGGATGTCTCCATCGAAATTGGCATGTAAGGTAAGGTAGTCTGGTAGCTAAAACTCCAAGCTTTTCCCTTGTAGCTCTCCCGTACCGAGATCGCTAGCTCCGGAGAAATGGAAGCATTGACCGAGTGGGTACTGACGATGATTGGTCAATGCATCCTACTTTCAAAGCTTGTGACGAGCTTGTGTGAAATTAAAGCAGATGGTATACGATACGGTAAAGCGAGCTTGCCGACAGCAAAGACCAATGAAACGCTTCAATTTTACTTTACCATCGTCTGGGAAGGAAGAGCGTCAAAAGCACCTCTTCCAAGAGACCAGAGCCTTTGCGCCGAGCAAAAACACAAAAAAGCACCTCAGTTTCTCTGAAGAGAGCAAATGGAAAGGGTGGCGGAAAAAGAGGCCCGTGACCAGAATTTGGATGTAAGCAAGCTACCACTCGCACAAACCAAATACTTAGAAAGGCACTCTCCATAAGCCAAATTGCGTTCTCGTATTCGAGAGTTCTGCACATGTCAAATGTGAAATGAGACTTAGGTACGACAGCACTTCCGTAGCTCCTCCTAGCCGGTGATCCTATAGACTGTAACGGACTTCATCATTATTTGTTAAACATTTCACATCTCTCTTTCTGGAAATCATCGGAGCCAAGGCCCAAAGAGCCGAAGGGTTGAGCGATATCATCTTGAATACGGTGACGTTGAATGGTGAGCGATTGAAGCCGCCGGCAATAGTTAATCTTCAAGATCTGAAGTAGTGGTGAGACTGGCTGGCTGCTGGCTTGGTCCGAGAAGGACCGCCCGAAAACATCGGCTTCTAAATGCTCAAAGGGACTTTTATATCTCTCAAGTCGAATGGTAATAGCAGTATCGGAAAACGCAGCGTTGAGCACGCGTCATGCGTCCAAGTTTGAAAATTTAGTATCATCAGACAATCGCTTCTCCATCTGAGGCTCTGAGCAGCTCTGCCTACCCGGCTGCGCGGTACTTGTCAGGGACCGCTGGAGCATCAAAAGTCCTCTTAGCATCTGATTGTGAAGCAGACCTCTGAATGACAACGATAGTGGAGATCTATTGACATTGAATGGCGCTTGCATGGAGAGAGAGAAAACCCTCCAGTTGAGCCGATCCTGCCAAGCATTTACCTACCTCAGCACGTGCTCAGGTTTTATCTTTCCGTGCCAAGGCTTGGCGTGCATTCAATTCATAACGCGGTGGGCTTTCGACTTTTTCTTTTCTCGCAAGTCACGTTGCACCTGCTGTTTGCAGGAACGCTGGTGCAATGATGTTATTTGAATTGGAAGATTTAAAAAGATCATAAACGTTCCTTCGTGGTCACGTCCCTCAGCTTTGTTTATTTATTATAAGGTCTGTGGTCCAGACTTATTTTACAGACGCCAAGGACGATCAAAAGCTACGTAATGCCTCGGGCCTCAGAATGCGGGGATATGGGACATCACGGCATTCGTCAGCTTTTCTTCTCTCTCAAACACTCCTCTCTCATTGCTCAATTGATCCTCTCATCAATCGCCCTTGCAGTGTCCTTCCTGCTATCTTCCTGTTACTTCTCAATTTTGTATTCTATGTTCAAAAATCATGGTAGACGGTAAATCCATTGCCCAGAGCCGGCTAGGCCAAGTCAAGGACTTCCTTACACTGAACAAGACCGCTACGACCATCCCTTTCGACCCCAATTGCACCAAGTTTCCACAGCGGAAAGACGTTCCACAAGCCCCTTATGCACCTCCAGGAGTGCCGACGGCTTGGGTATGGGGCGAGACTGATTTCGTAGGGCGTCTCAATCTATTAACGCCGACGAGGGTTAAGGCTGCCGCGGCAAGCGAAATCAAGACGGGCGACATTGTCTCATTGAAGTAAGCCAGCCGCTATGGTCAACAGAGGCGTGCTAAAAGCAAGACTGTAGTCTCCCATTAAATCATCCGGAAGTTCCAGCTTTCGCCCGAGAAAGCTTCAAACACGAGATCAAGACTCTGGCCGAGAATATTGCATACGATGATAAATACGAGTTGAACACTCAGAGTGGGACGCAATGGGACGGGTTCAGACATGTTCGTCTCACCAACAACCGGCGTACGTCTTGATGTCCGCTAAAGGCTTCTTAGTTTGGCTGGATACCCGCCCCAACCTTCTACAACAACACCCACGGCGAGGACATTGTCGGTCCCAAAGCGAACCACAAATGCTCCATCCACCATTGGTCAGACCACGGCATCGCAGGTCGTGGTATCCTCCTTGACTACCGCTCTTACGCAGAGAAGAAAGGCGTCGCTCTGAACTCATACGAAGCGGATCGCATATCATATGCAGAGCTCGAGGCTTGCGGAAGAGACCAAGGCATTGATATAAGGCCTCAAGCGCAAGGAGGTGATATACAGATTGGCGACATGTTGTTCATCAGAAGCGGGTTCATCAAAACATACTACAGCAAGCCGGTAGAGGAAAGGAACCAGCTAGCACTACGACATCATGAGCTAGGGGAGAATGATGGCCAACGGTACGCGGGCGTCAAGCAGGAGGATGCGATGCTAGACTGGTTACACGATTGTTACTTTGCCACTGTTGCGGGAGATAGCCCGACCTTTGAGGCGTGGCCTTCGAATCAAGGTCTCTATCTAAGTCTCGTCTTGGAGTGAAGCCATGCTAACCCTGTTTGGCAGAGTATTACATCCACGAGTACCTGCTTGCGATGTGGGGCTGGTAAGATATTGGACCGACTAGCCATAGAGCCTTTCAAAGACTAACTTGCGGGTCTTAGTCCTCTCGGAGAAATGGTCGACCTCGAAAAGCTGGCGCAGACCTGTAGGGAGAAGAACAGGTGGACTTTCTTCGTTACTAGCGCGCCCGCAAATGTCCCTGGTGAGACGCTACTCCTGCCCCTTTATTGCTTGTGCTAGATCGTGCTAATGCTGGACCTAGGTGGCGTTGCCTCGCATGTGAATGGTACCGCTATTTTCTAGTCGTCTGCTAATGAAAGAAGCCATTCCCAAGCTTCATGCCCGACGTCTGTACATATATGCTTTTAAGTCATTTCCATGTGCGAAGATGTCTTGTTGAGCTTAAAACGGATTAATTCGTTTCCCGTACCATGGTACGCACATAGGACCGAGCCTTCTGAATCATCTTCAACCTTGGCTATAAGTGTGCGAGCTTTCATAAAGGACTTCATGAAGAGTTGTTGCACTGTTCTTCCATCTCTTTAGTCTTCGATTTCACTGTCAGACTCCATCGACAACGTCCATTCACTCTTGGCCCTAAAGACCACCAGTTAAAAAAATTCCGTAATGTGATTACTCTTCGGAAACGGATACAATCTTGCATTTTGAAGTTTTTGTTGTTGGCAGGGGAGTGATTGCGTCGTGAGAACCCTCCGTGCCCCTCGCCAAGCTTGTATCCTCTGGCGCTCACTCCACCAGAGGGTGCACTGAATTACTTCACTCGGACCTGGTATCATTCTCACCCATCAACTCTTGCAACGTAGAGTTAGGGCCAGTTCGGTAACCACATATTTTGAAAATAACCCCTACTTATTTTCAACTTAGCGTCATATATATACAGGGTATCGTTCGGTTACCATATTTTCAGAATATATTTTCAAAATATCTGAAAATAAGCCTCGAGCCTTGTTTTTTGGCAAAATAAGGCTAAGCACGCTAAAATAATGGATATTCGTGATCAATATACATATAGGTATTAGGGTTACCCTAACCCTAACCCTATCAGTAGGGACACCAGTAGGGATACCAGCAGGGACACCAGCAGGGACACCAATAGGGACACCAGCAGGGACATCAATGGCAATGATGGGGGCAATAGAAGTATCAATGATAGTTAAAGCCTATACATCAGTAGCAGCAGGTGTCTCCCGCCATAATAACGTGGAATTATAGAAATTCAATGGTCACTGATAGAGAAGATGATTTTCTCAATTTTTTACGACGTTTCTGACTCAGCCTCAGAAACAGGGTTACCGAACGGAATCGTATATATATTTTACATATTTTGAAAATAAATTAGTGTCATTTTTAAGCCATATTTTCATTTGCCAAGAGGTGGCGTTATTTAGTGAAAATAAGTAGGGGTTATTTTCAAAATATGTGGTTACCGAACTGGCCCTTAGAGTGCAGTACAGAGATCGGAACCGAAAGTCCTGGAGGGCGCTAGTACAAGCCCTAACCCTAGAGTACCTACCTACCCTCGGCAGCCAGCCCTACTTGTATACTTTAATCGGGGCCTCTACTCCGTAGAATGAGGTCCTTAGGTAGGGCGCACGAAGTGGATCCAGGGACCTCTTTTGGGCGCAACACATATAGGCATTGAACCCCAAATTGTTTCTCGGGATCTCCAAGGCGCATTGTCCAGGGCCGGGGCGCTATCCGAGATCTTGGCGCATGAGTCTTGGCGTCCAGGACTGTCGGTGCCGACCTCTGTAGCGTCAGTCAGTGACACGATGCGGATCGAGCACTTGCGATTGTGTTGGCCGGAGTTAGACAATCTCGTCTTCCGCCGGGGGGCCTTCCCCTCACCGATTAATGGAACGCAGCAGCGCCAAGCGCCACGCGGACTACAGAAACGAGAACATTGCTGGATGACACTCTTGAGATCCTGGTATCAGCTCTTCTTTCGCTGAGCAACGGCGAAGTCTGTAGAAATCCCGGCAATGGCCTCGGCAGTACCCATGCAGGCGTCTTACCGGCAAGCCCATACGCTGCGTTCATTCAGGCTAGGCCGCAAGATTCAGAACTCGTCAACATATCGATCATGTTCCAACTCAGACACTTCATGTCATTTCACCCTTGCTGCTATTGGAGAGGGATGCGAAGCAGCCGGTTTCTTCGGTTTTTTTGGTACAGCATCTCGCCAAGGTTAATGCGATCAGCGCGCAGGAATCGACTGCGCCAATGTCTACTGCCTCGCCTACAGGAATATCCACCACGCTAGAAACTACCACATCGAAAAAGCAATCTACGACTTCTCCGGCGATTCCAAAACAATCCACATCGACGGGAAAATTTCAACCACCTCCAAGAAGACCTCATCAACAACCAAACCTTCAACCACTTCCAACAAGACGACCTCGTTAACCAAGCCCAGAAAAACCCCTCCCACTACCGGCCAAAGAGTCACCAGCACTTACCTGACATCATTCACAACAACCGAGACCTCCGGTACGTACAAAACAACAATAACAACAACAAAAAAGACCACAAGCACACACACAACAACAATAACATCAACCAAGAAATCCAGCACCACCACCGCCACCAAAAGGACCTCCACCAAAAAAGCCACTTCAACCAGCAAAGCCTGCAAAGACTTTGCGTCGAGCTTAAGCTACTATGAAGCCGACGTCGAAGCACTCAAGGCCGCTAAGATTGCTGTCCCTCCCTACTTGGCGGGAGCTCTGACCGCGCTACAAAATGCTGAGGAGGCGGCGGGGTGCGCGACGTGATATAAATTGTTAGGTGGATTCGGATGCTGAACGTATCGTGTATATAGTCTTGATCAATTGGGAGATGTGTACGTTCCGATATGCTGCGACATGCTATCAATCTAGATCAAACCTAAGAATTGCCACTTGAGGACTCGGGCGCAGAAATCGCATCTTGAAGTGGAACGGCCTTCTCAACCTCGTCTTGCGGTGGTGTACTCGACGTCGACGGCCTTGTTCCATCGTGACCCACGATTGCCCAAGCTGCTTTGTCTTCTTCATCCGTTCGTGTCGGGAAAGGGAACGATAGGCATAAGATATGATAAGCGAACCTGTGTCCTAATGAGCCCGCGTTTCAATATGACGGAATTTGGACGTCGAGACTCACCCAGAGAAGAGAAGTCCCTCGAGCCAGCCCAAGGAGGTGAAATCCACGTAGTTGCGTGATACTCCTTTGATCATGGGATTGATTTGGTAGGCGAGACCGGGAAGTTGTGGTACCATACCGACAGTGAATGCTGCCACCGCTCGCACATTGATGCCTGCTGTGTACCAGTAGAGGCCGGATGGTTTGTAAAGCTGGTAGACATTCAATTCACCGGACCTTCTGACTAGAAAGAAGTCGGATAGGAGGACTATGTCAACACGTTAGAGACCACCGAATGAGAAACAGCATTCGACCTACCGCCAGCGACAGGCCCAAGAAACGGTGCCGAGTATCCGTTGAGGAACGCCAAGAAGCTCTGAGCGCTCGCCTCGATTTTCCAAGGGCAGATGGCGAAGCCGAGGATTGCACAGAGAAATTGCCCGCGTCTCAGGTTCATGTATTTCGGGAAAAGCGCCATGGTGTCGTTGGCGAAAGGGACTGAGTTCCCAGCCACGTTCGTCCCAATCATGGCGAAGGCGAAGAGAAGACCGACGAAGAATTTTGCAGCCCGATTATCCCACATGAGAACGATCGTGAGCGGGTTCCACTGGATTTGGCCATATATGACTTGCGACGAGGCTGCCATGACGACGCCGAGGAAGTAGATGAGCGTCATGCATACTGGGAGACAGATGGCTTGAGCAATGGTGGCAGTCCGCGGATTACGGGCGTAGCGCGTCAGGTCAGGGATGTTGATAGCAAAGGTTGAACTGGCGGAAATGGCGGTCGTGATGGCGTAGCAAAAGGCATAGCCCAGAGACATTCCATCCTCGATCTTATTCGGTATTCGGAGTAAAGGGCCAAATCCGTGCGAAGCAGTCACCGCCCATGTGAACAGACAGATCCCGAAGATTGGCATGATGATCACTTTGATCAGGAAGATCCAGCGGGGGCAATCAGATAGGCTATGAGAGCTATGCCAGGATTGAGACCCAATGCGACACTTGCTGATGCAGTCTGAATCTGGGAAGCAGAAAAGCCTTCAGCGATCCAGAAGCCTCCGACGTGGTACCACTCCCACTTCTTCTGATTCCTCGGGACTGGATCTAAGTCTGAATTGCTCCAGCGGGAGATTTGGCCTTCGGCTGTGAAAGAGCCTGAAGAAGGTTGGAGAATCAGGCGTCGGCGGTGGAAGGACTTGAGCCTCTCCATATTCCTTTTGGATCAAGCTGGCTTTAACGACAAAGGATGGGGAATTGAGTGCACAGTTAAGATTGCACAGAGACAGTTACGGTGTAAAGATATTTGAGGCCCCCTTTCAAACCCCATATCTTTGAGCACAGCGAAGTTCTGCTGAATCACTGACTTAGAACGCGCATATGCATGATGATATCATGATGAGCGGTGGCCTCTGCGCCAACAGCGAGGTGACCAATGGATTTGCATGTAATGCTGCAGGTTACCTCATACATTTAGTGGGATGAGAGAGGTATAGCAACGAATTTCGATGCCTAAACAATTCGCACGCTAACTACATGTCGTAATAGTTTTTTGAATGCCGTATTCAAGATATGACGATGGGATTCGAAGCGAGTCTGACAATTTTCAGCTTGTCAATCATGTAATTAACGGACTTGATGATGCAAAGCCACAAGACATTGCGTTCTTTTGCTGCGATACTTCCAGACATAAATGCTTCATGTAGAGTACAAGGTTTCAAAGAAAGCCATCCACGCAAAGTCGACGTAACACATTTCTGGTAAATCTAGTCAAGCCTGGCGGTAAGGAACTCCAGCTATGGTCTTGAATGCAATGTGTAATACCTTTCGGCCTCGCTAATGCTGCAGGCTCACCTCATACACAAACTCTAGTAGGAATGAAGCTTTGGGGAGGCATAATAGCATAGCGACTCGTAGATGCCCACCACATCACCAAGTCGATGGAGAGAGTCATCTTCCTTCTCGACGCATAGATGTAAATGAAGACATGAAGCAACATGATCTTTGAAGGAGGTGGGCGTGAGGGTGTGAGGCAGATTGCCATCCTGTAGGGCTGGAAATGCTTGGCGAGGGTTGGTGTGACTCCAGCAGGATTGACTGTCTTTTCATTGATGGGCAACGGCCCGGCTATATAAGGTACTACAACATACTACGTGTTCTCTGAGTATACGCGACAGGTTCGATAAGACCCTTGGCGAGCTCGTAGAATACGTAACTCGGTCCGGGTTGAAAACCCCAAGAAATGACAAATTATCGAATCGTACCCCAGAATTTGGTGGAATTTGGTGTAGGGGTATGAGTTGGTGATTAAGGGTATGATTCGGTAAGGAACCATAGTTTCGGGGTATGAATGGGTGATTTGCCCGCCTCATTCCTCCGCGTCAGACCAGTGTCGCCGTATCTACCCAGTAATCACCTTGTAACGAATCGGCACCTAGACCTCCAACGCGGGCAGCGCACTACGGTGCCCAAGACCGTAACATAACAGCTCTTTTCCTTGCGAACCCGAGGGATATCTACATATCACTGACCACGCTTCCAGCGTCCGTGTCCCGAACATCCGACCTTCCCGTAATCCCACTCTCCATTACACGATCTAAATCCGGTCTCGGCGAGCCTCGATTCTCGCGCTCTCCTTCCACCCCCCTCTCAGACCAGACTAAATCTGTCGTCGATGCAGACTCGTTGAAACAATGCTTCCCGGACGAGAGATTCTGCATCTGGCTCCGGCGCAGTACGATCGGGATGCTGCCCGACGCGGGAGATTCGATAGTGTGTATTGCGCGCTCGGAGTGTGGGCACGGGCCTCGAAGCTTGCGGACTAGGGGTCTGAGCAAGGGCAAGCAGGCACTTATGACTCCGAGGAGAGCTTCGAGAGAGGTCAAGAGCGCGACACGACAGTAGGTGTCTTGCGCGTGCAAGTTTGTGGGGTCACCGATCGTGGAGGTCACTTGGACGCGGTAGATTGTGATGGCACAGATCCTACGGCGAGAAATGCGTCAGCGGTTTCTTTTTTCTGTTTCCTTTCTTTTGCCTGGAAGCGCCAGGAGCTGCTCGGCTTGAGAGCCGTACATGATACCTATCCCGAAGACGCAGCTTAGCCCCACCTTCTTACTCCTCGCCATTTGCAACCCCCACAGTATCGGCGTCGGTAGGACCACAACCACGACGTCCTGTAGCATATTGAAAATAGCGATAAACATATCGAGCGATTTCTGATCTCCGCAAGAGCCGTCAACCATACTTGGTGCCCACCTGTACGTTATTGGCCAACAGATGAGGCAGTCCGCGATGACTGCGCTCACGCCAAAGATTACATTCACCGCCAGCGCCGCATAACACGCGATGAGAAAGGAGCGGTTGGGCAAGACTTGGATATAGAGGGAAATAATCGCGGCGCGGATTATCGTCACGGCAGTCACCCAGAAAATAGGCGACAGAAACAGGAACTGTTGTACCCAAGTCAGACCGGCTCATTCTGAGACAGACAAGCCTTACCTGGAGGCCTACTACTTCCGGTACGGTGCCCATTCTCCGTAAGAATGGAAAACAGCAACCTGGCAATTGTCATTGACCGTGCTCAGTCCAGAGAGGTATTGCTGTGGGTGAAAAGACCTACTATAAATATTGACACCAGTCTCGGCGAGTGCGAAGATCTGCGATCATCCATCATCAGTGGATAAGGCTTGATCCGTGACGCTTGAGGGATGCTCACCAGACCCAGTACTGTCAAGTAATCATGAAGCGCAAATGTTTGGGTTTTTATGTTTCGTGCCCAAAATCTCAGTACCACAGCGGCGGTTGCGAAGCTGGAGAAGACTACAAGGAGGATGAAGTGAGCGACATGGTTTTGCATTTCCTCAGGTGCGTAGCCGGATTTTGCGGAGTTCAGAGCTCCTTGTGCTGTGACTTTTGACATCGAAGGAAACAGGAGCAAGTGGAACTCAAGGGTGACGGCTCGGAATGGGAGAAGAGTCAAGATTGGTGTGTCGTGATATAAGAGACTACTCTAATGACACAGTAAAGCCGGATAGAAGATATCGGAAGATATAGAAGCATTAGTAACAGCTGGAAGCACGAAGGATTGTATGCCAAGAAAAGGACACTTAGACACGGTCGCAGTTGCAGAAGGGACTGGCACTGCCTAGTTGCGCAAAAATGCGATCAGAACATGTGGAAGAGCAGTACCTAAACAAAAACCGTAGCAAGGCTGCGAGGCACTGCGTTCCCTTATCATGCCTTCGTCTTGAGAGAGAATGGGGCGTTTGATTCGGCGATAGGCGTGTCTCTCAGCTTGCATTGCATGCTGGTAATTTTCAGCCTCTTTCCTCTTCCCTCTTCCTGGGTTAGAAAGCCCCGCCGCGGAAGTGTACAGAACGAAGTGATCATGGCGTACTTCAAAACATGATGAGCATTGTATAATCAGCAGGTCCCATTCAATGTGTGCGCCGCCGCAAGATGGGAGAAGGTACAAGAAACTGCGTAGACAGGCACGAACAAAACGCACAGTATCTGCGAAAGGGGCTGGTGCTGACGCTTTCGCAGCAGCATCCACTTCAGCCGCACCGAGGGAGCATCATAAGTACAGAGAGGGGTTCTCTCCTGATACGAGGGAAAAGAAGATAGGTTGGTGGGGTATTGACGGATAGCCCCGGATATGAAGAAGGCGCATCCCGAGCTGCAGAATCCTGCGGACCATCACCTAGTTTCATCACGGTAAGTGGGTTCCGGCGTTCCAACCGCGCTCTGGGTTTTATTTACTGTGTAGCACCAGCCGCATCATCGGCACAGTCTGGGCCCCATTTGTGGTCAAAGGTTTTGCGGCTTAGCGTGCGTGTGAGCGTGTGTGGAGGTGCGGCTCCTGTGTACTAAGCACTGCTCCCATAGAGGTGTGACCTCCTTCGCAATATTTTCCGGATCGAGATCTTAACCGTAGAATTTGTCGGAGATCTTCGTCAAAATTCAGCCCACTTCGGAAGTAGGTTACAGCTCGGCAAGGGTGAAAAAAAGTTCGGTAGAGGTGAAGCTTCGGCATACTCGCTTCACCCCGGATGAACTCATAGCATATACTGAACGTATCCGTTTCACCCCCGATGAACTCGAGCCGGGTCGAAAATAATATCGGTACTTTAAGAGGGGGATAGAGGCATATACTAAGCATATACTATTAATTTTTTTATTTCTAATTAATATAATAAGTAAATAACTCTTTATTATTAATAATTATATTAATAGATATACTATTTAATAAATATACTATTTAATAAATCTATATATGCTAAGCATTAGCTCCGTATACCTATCTTACATATAGATAGGGATTCCCGTATCTCGCATACGTAAAAATCGCTGGACTGAATTTAATTTTCTTCACCCCCGATGAGGTGCTGGCATATGCTGAGTGTATCCCTTTCACCCCGGACGAGGTGCATATACTTAGCATCTACTCACCCCTACCGAACTTTTTTTCACCCCTGCCGAGCTGTAAGCCCCCCTCGGTGGGCGACTCAAATCTTCTCAAACCCCACCACATTCGGGTTACAGCTCGGCAGGGGTGAAAAAAAGTTCGGCAGTCATTCTGACTCACGAGACACGCAGAACTACGCACATCATCAATTCAATCAATTCAGTCGACTAAATCAATTCAAGCTTCACAGAAATGTCTCAAAATTTTCGCATCCCAGAGCGATGCAGCAGCAAAAGAGCCTTTGCAGAAATCGAAGCTGACAAGCAAAAGATAAAATATCTTGATGGCGACATTGAGAGAGAGTCAAAAGAAATGAAGGTAGCGGAATATTTTGATTCCAAGTACTGGACAAAGCTCAGCGAAGTATCTGAGCTTCAACTGAAGCGCTCCCAGCTAAGTCTCAGGGTGCTGAGAGATGAAGTAACCGAGGGAAGTGCGTGGAAGGAGAACGAGCAAGTGAAGCGATTGCAGGAGGAGGAGCAAGCTCACACACTAGAGGCTCAGATCTTCAGGAAGCAAGCGTCGAGGGTAGAGGTGAACCCCCGCGATGATGGCAAGAACCGGAGAGAATATTTCATGCAACTCTGGAAGACGAGTAGCAAGGGGCTAGGAAATACTGGCAGTGAGACGGGGAGAGGGAAACGGTCTCGAAACACCCAAGAGCAATTCCGGGAGAACTTGATCAAAGTCTGCAGGAGCAGAGACCCCAACCCGAAGGCCGATGAGCTTTGGTGCCCTATCCTGGGCCATTTCTTCCCTGATGACGATGCCATGCGCGCAGCTCACATTTTCCCCTGGACTGAAGGCCAAGTAGCGATGGATGAGATCTTCGGTAGAGAAGTTGGGAATGTGGAAGAGCTTAGTGACGTTCGAAACGGACTCATGCTCTCGAAATACGCTGAGAAACGATTGGCAGATGGCGACATTGTTCTCGTGCCCGACGTATCAAATGCCGCCAGCCAAAAGGAAATCGACGCTTGGTCTGCCTCGGAGCCCAAAGAGTACAAGATCAGAATCCTTAATGGTGGAGCCAAGGGAATGGATATGTTCCATCCGGGGTGGATTCCTCCAAGAAAAACTTGGAACGAGTTGGACGGAAGGAAGGTGCAATTCTCGAGTGACCATCGGCCCCGCGCGCGATATCTCTATTGGCAGTACTGCAAAACGATGCTGAGGCATGCGTTGCAGGAGAAAGGTACAAAAGCGGAGGGCGTGCTGATGCAGGAACGTGGCAAGCAATTTTGGGGGACCAAAGGCCCGTACATTAAGAAGAGAATGCTACTCGCGTTCGTCGAGCAGCTAGGGCACGACCACGAAGCTCTAATGGAAAATGCCATGGTGGAAACAGAGGATGATAATATCCCTGAGTCAGACCCCTCCGCTCTCTTGCTGGCTAGCAGGGAGATCCGCAGAGAGAATCGCAGATACGGCGATCATTGGGACGAAGAGGACGAAGGGGACGAAGAGGACGAAGGGGACGAAGAGGACGAAGGGGACGAAGAGGACGAAGAGGGCGAAGACAGTAGCGACGACGAGTTGTTTTAGGTGTTGGTGTCTGACGTTGGTGTTTGCTGGCCTCTGGGTTTGTACACAGAATGGAGAATTTATCAGTAGCTATCAGTAGCTACTCCGACAATGTTCTTGCCAGTAACAAGGATCAAAGCTCTGAATGTTTGGCAAAGTCGGGACAAAGGTCTTAGACCGTAGTAGGTGGGTCAACCACACGAAAATCAAGTTTTGATTTTTTGATTTTCGCGAAACCATAGAGTACCTGTAAGAATGGCCGCACTATCTTAGAATAGGCTTTAAAACTATATCTAGCCTAAGGGTTCCTTAAAGTCCAACGTCTATATTATATCTGAAAGAGACTTTAGAACTTCATCTTCTCGACTATCGAATGATAATTCCAGAGGAAGTCTATCACTTAGTAGTCCATATCCTCAGTGAGTTAGTGTATATTAGCTATACGAAGTACGCGAATAACTCTTCTCGAATTCCCACCTGAGGTCTCAAGTCAAGGATGACCACAACATGGAAACACTTCGGACGCGCATCGTCGAGGAATATTGCGTCAATGTCGTCCGAAAATTTGCGCGAATATTCCCTCTCGCCTCCGAAGATTGAATGCGAATGGTCGCGTACTTGTAACAAGTCGCTGGTGCGTGTGCGCTTATCTGGCCGCCCGGAACGATTGCAAAATGCCGCTACAATAGCGAAGGAGACCGTCTTGTGGCAAGAGCGATACTCGAAGAGATAGGTCATGCCATTGGTGTTCGTCAAGTAACACCTCAGATTTCAGAGCTTTCTGACCGAGAGTCAGAGTCCTCATTCGATGTGAAAAGCTGCGCGGAGACGGTATTCAATAAAGGGTAGCCCAGCGACTCCAATCAATAGCATTCGTTTCCTCCACTCCGGGAGAGTACCATTTACTTGACCTTGTCGTTCAATCATATCTTGTCTCCCTCGGTAGTTCCACGAAATTGTGACATTGGAGACACATTCGGCGCACTCTCGTTCATGAAATTACAAAGTACATGTACACGCTCTCGAGCCAATGCCAAGCATTCCAGAGAATTTTGAAGACGCTAAGAATCTTGGCGACGACAACCACACCTCGTACCCTTCGATCCCTATTAAAGTATACCTTAACGCAGCGCAGGCGTCACGTCCCCGGCATCCAAAGACGGTACTCTCTCACATTAGTATCCCCACCCAAATCGACTCCATCCCACCTCGGGATCGTCCCGCCACCAGCAACCATGCCCCGCGCCCTCTCCACCGCCCTGCGCGCCCGCATCAAAGCCGACCTCGCCGCCGGTCACGACATCAAAACCATCATGGCCACGCACGCCATCTCGGACAAGAAAGCCCGCGCGATGAAAAAGCTCTACGACAACTGCGGCGAGGTATGGCTGCCGAAGAAGAAAGGCGCCCGCACCGGCCGCCCCCCCAAAATCACCCCGGACCACGAAGAGCGCCTCCGCGCGTACCTCGCCGACCGCCCGGACGCCTACATCAAAGACATGTGCAAGTTCCTCGAGGGCGCCTGCGGCATGCTGGTCGACGAGAGCACGATGTGGCGGACGGTCCGGCGACTGGGGTGGCAAGCGCAGCGGGTCGTGAAGCCGAGGGACGCCCGGGGGTTCTGGGTGCAGACGCTGCCGCGGGACGAGTCGGGCAACGTGGTGACGAACGCGCAGAGGAGGAAGCCGACGAAGCGGCGGGAGCCGAGCATGGACCCGAGCCGGGCCATGGTGAAGCAGCTGATGGCGAAGACGCGGGGGTTCGTCCGGGACTGCATGGCGCGGGCGCCCTTCGACGTCGCGCACGACTACGCGCACGTGCGGCGCGTGCTGGCGCTGAGCGTGGAGATACAGCGCGTGGAGCAGAAGAAGTACAGGCACATCACGTTTGACGCGACGGTCACGGAGCTCGTGGCGCTGATGCACGACATCGACGATCACAAGTTCCGGCAACCTCCCCCCACGCAGAACCACGCCTCTCTCCCATCCCCACCCTCGAACCTGGACCCACAGTATCCGAACCCCTCCCCCATCGACCCAAACCTCCACCTCCCTCCCCCGCCGCTTCAACCCCCCATCCCGCCGACACCAGCCGTAGAATCCCATCTCATCAACCTCGGCTGGCCCCCCCACATCGCCATCACCGTCTCCATCATCTGCGCCTCCATATCCTACACGACCGAAACCCAGCACCCGGACATCCACCTCTCCGCCCTGCGGCGCTTCCCCGAACTGGCCATCGTGCAGGACGCGGACCGGCTCGACGCTCTCGGGGCCATCGGCATCGGGCGGACGTTCGCCTACGGCGGGGCCCGGGGCAGGGATTTGGGGGACACGATCCGGCATTTCGAGGAGAAGTTGGTGAAGTTGGAGGGCATGATGAAGACGGGGGAGGGGAAGCGGATGGCGCGGGCCAAGAGCGAGAGGATCTCCATGTTCAAGGAGTGGTGGGGGGAGGAGATGGGGATGGTGGGGATCGGTGTGCCGGGAGGTGGGGTCGGGGTGGGAGACGATGGTATCGCTTTTAGCGGTGCCGAAATGGGAGACGGTGGCATGGGTGGCGAGACGGCGCGCAGGGCAAGCGATGAAGATCCAGGGAGGCAGCTGATGGAGGCGAATGACGGCTCGGATGACGACGGTGAAAGCAGCGGGGAAGGGACTTCCAGTGATTCAGCTTGAAGGGGGGCGTCCCTAGCGGTTCGAGAATATGTATGACCTCTGTTGCATATGCTCATCTATGATACAACCTGCAGCTCAGGAGCCAATATCAGACAAGGCAAGCTTTATCTACACCCCGCTCACGCTATGTTCATGTGCAATTGTTTCAAGCTCACTTAACCGTTCGTGTATGCCTTATGTTCAATTTGTTCAGGCGAGATGATCGCTCCATGTACACCATACCGAACGCCACGCTCAATGGCAACAGCAAAGCCTAGCCAATTTGAGCTTCGCATCGCTTCGTCAAAGGTACTGTACTATCCAGCATGTCTGTGTCCTAGGGGAGGAAGGAAGAGGAAATGAGAGAGATTCGTGTCTACCGTTCCCCCAGGTTCATGACGACGGAGTATGTAGTATCGATGTTCCGCATCGAATGAGATTGAGATCCTAGGAGAGCTGTCCGAGGGTCGAGAAAGGCTAGTTTCAGTCGAGGACAGATCCGCGGGTTGGCCGAATCTTGCTGATAGAGTTGTGCTCAAAAGACGTCATCGTCCCACTCAAATTCGTTGGTCTTAATGTCAGGTAAAGGCTTATTCACACTCGCTCGTGCAGCTTCTGGGACTTCCGAAATCGTATCTATGGGGGGCTTCGCAGCAGAAGGATCCGCTTCTTCATCCGCGTGAGGCGATTTTTGATTGGCAGGAATAGGTAATTTCTCCATAATAAGATCTCTATGGAACTTTTTCGCAGAAGATAGACTTGGCGGTGGAGGAGAAATACCACGCTTTGACGCTCGGGCTCGGGTCTTCATGGGTGAGACGGAACCAGGACGACCAAGGAATGGTGACGATGGACGATCTCCATGCGAGACTGAAGTAACATCTGTGACCTTTTTCGATACGGTCTGGCTGCTCATATATGCCATCAACTCGACTTCCGTGGCCTCGGGATACTCCTTTCGAAGGTTCTTCATGTCGTCCCAGGCTTTCCCGAACGGAGCGTGGCTATCAGGAATGGCACGCATGGCCATGATTCCGGCTTGATTGACGCTTGTTGGATCGAAGACTGTGCCCTTCGCAGGGACAGGTGGCACTTCATCCTTGTTTGTCATCGGCGAATTGCGGGGAGTCCTTGCATAGACCTTGGGCGGGCGGTTGTGTACCGCAGAGGGATCGTGAATGCCGGAAATTTTGATTTCCTGGGATTTCCTAGGTCTTCCGCCCTTTTTCTTCGAGGAAGAACCTTTCGCTGCCTCGGACTCCAGAACGTCATCAATCTCGGTGTCGGCCCCCAAGGCCTTAGACTGACGCGCTGCTGCATTTCGTGCTGCAATGTCACTGGCCCTCATGTTCCACAGCGCTTGTTTCGCGGCCTCTGCACTCTCATTCTGGGCATTGGCATTGTGCTTTCCCTTTTCTTCGCCTTTGTCGCTTGTGCTTGTGGTAGGACTGTATACATCGACAGCGTTAGCGGCTTTCACATTGTCTCGATTCGCGGCACTATCATTTCTACGGGTTTGCGGCGTCAGCAATCGTTCAGAAGGTAGAGAGGCAAGAGCTCCTGGCACAAATCGTTTTCGTCCAATTCGCGCGGGAAGATCCGGAATGGCTGGGGCCTCTTGAATTGACAGCTCCAATTGTCGACGAGCGATCTCAAGCTTGTTTTCAAGGTCGCTCACTTTCTTACTGAGCTTGTATTGATTTGCGATGTCCTTCTTTGACGCTTCGCTGCGTAGCCCCGGCCCTGCTACATCAGCTGTTTCAATTGATGGCACAGATGGCCCATCCTCAGCGTGTTTTTTGATGGACGGTAGATGAATCTGGGACTTGACTCTCTTCAGACCCTCCAACGAGGGTTTGTGAAAACGAATAGATGATCGGCGTCCAGCACTAGCATCGGAGAAAGGACTTGCAGAACGACGACCTGCCGTTACGGCTGGAGGAGGCATGAGTTTTTCAATAGAGACAATGAATTGATCGCTGTCCTTTCGATCAAGTGACGACCGATAATCGTCGACGTCTACGCCAGAGTCACGAAAGGAACTCCGTCGAAAGTCATCGGTATCCTCATATTTAATTGCTGGGACCTCCTGAGTCTCTGGCCGAGCTGGAGCATTCTGAGTGCCCTTGTAGCCGCTCTTCTTCAACTCGGCATATTTCAGCTCTGCTTTAGCCTTCAGGGTGTCCTTCTCTGGCTTCGCTCGATTCTCCTTTTCTTTCTCCTTCCAAATGCCGTTGAAGCCTTGCCAGACATTGGAAGAGTTGAAAGCATTAGCGATGGCTTTGCCAAATCGGAACATACCCGAGGGCTTGTTCGATTCGATTGCCGCATCGTATTCCATATCCACATCTTCCATGTCCGCACCTGCATAATGTTCCATTGCCTCTTCTTCACGGATGTAGAGACTCGGAGGCCGCTGACTAACTTTGTCGTTCATGCTGCCTTCCACAAACCTTGACGGTCGTATGCTCGACATACTATTCCGTTTTTGACAGGACGAGGGCAATTTTCGGTGTGCCGGCCGTAAAGAATTGTCAGACTCAGCTGCATCATCCGAGTCCTTGAGAGGCCACTCTTCTACCCGCATCCGCTTTGGTGAATGCGGGTCACCGGCCTTATCAGCATGCCGTAGGATATCCTCATCAATCGTAGTCTCCAGCTGTGCTGCTGGGTCATAGCTGTGGGGTCGCTTTCGGGGGTTGGTCCAGGAATTCGAGGCTCGTGTGTTCGACGATGTAGAGCCGTTGGCCTTCTCATTTTCCTGCTGAGCGTCACGTTCCATCTGAAAGTTCCATTAGTACCTCATGCATGTAGGCGGGCCGTTGCAGCAGAAGTGCATGAGTGACAGCGTGGGTGGAGTGAGGCTTGGACCTACCGCTCCTGATAATCTTGTTGCACTCATTTGGCACGCCGCTTATCTATGGAGTAAATATGTACAACGATGGACACGGCACAGCGTATTGCGGACTTGTTCGGTACTCTAATCATGTACGTTTTGGTAAAGCGGTTTTTGTGTACGGGTGGTGCGGGAAAAGTAAACAGACACCGAGAGACCCGCGCCGTTGCCAAGACTTCTGCAAGGAAAGTATGCCGAGACATCCGAAGTTTCACCAGCGGGAAAGCCTTCTTTCGTTCGAACCTTGTCTAATTCACCCTTACCTAATTGAGCTTGGTACATCTTACATCATCGAGCTTCTCACCTATTCTCACTAAGGTATAGAAGGCACTACTGTGCTGAGATTTGGGAATCTGGAAAGCTGCTTTTACGCAGTGCCTGCTCTCTTTTTGAGGCTTTGGGAGTCACCAATACCTAATATTACAATAGGTTGCGTCGTTTTCGGTGTTATTACACCAGTATTGCTTTGTCCAGGTTTGGCTATGACCTTGACTATTCTGAGCACTAGGTGCTTCTCGTTGCCAAGGCGGGTCGGCTCTTGCGCTCCAATGAAAATCCATTCTCCCTCCCATTAGCTAATCGTTTCTCATAAGTAAACATCGAACGTTCCAAAGTGTAGTTCGGTTTCATACAACATATTCGAAATTTTCATTTCAATGCTTCCATGGAATCATAAATTGCAATATGAACTGGCCTATCATTTCCTGTCAGTGTAAACATTATCTGTTAGTGTAAAGAAATGATAGCATGGTCTAGCGAAGTGAGCCTCTGACTCCGCCTCAGAGTCGTTTTCTACTCCAAACATCTACGTCGTAAGTATGGCAGCTGCTACAAGGTCGAAGCTTGATCATTGCAACTTTCGTTCTCTTCCTTCTACTCTTATAATAATCCTCCTGAATTCCTACTCGAGGCTTCTGATTTCGAACGCGGCACACAACGAGTACACGTAAAGCCTTGATTCTTTTTCTTTGTTTCATGATTCCAGCGTTCTTTCCCTAAAGATGATCTCGAGCAATCTTTTCCCTTTCTTTCAGTGTACACTTCCGCTTCTGTTCACGCTGTCCATCGTCCACCTGGCTCATGGCGCCCCGCAAGCCGCCCCAGTATCTTACAGTGTGTACACCTTCCAAGAATTGAATTCGGGGTTTGTATATTTGGCCTCCGAGATAGGCGCGGCCGAGCGGAACTCCGCAACAGCTGGCAATAACAGTTCCAGTGCCACAACATTTTCCGCTGCGGCGTTAGTGGCATCGATCGCCCAGCAACTTGCTCCATCGGAATCCTCAGCGTCCGTGGCCTATCAGATATCCGGAGCATCAGCTGCAGCTCTCCCAGTTCCTTCCTCCCACGAATGCAGTGACAGCATCGTCCGCATCTATAGGTCAGCAAGGAGCGTCTTCGCTTGCTTGGCCTTCGTCTGGGAACGGACTCGTTGCAGCTCCCACTCCGCAAGTAACTCCAACCTCACAACACAATCCCACTTCTGGGGGGTCGCCGGGAAACGGATCGGCAGTAGCGCTCCCCACCGCCTTCTCTGCTTCCCCCTCGAGCCTGAGTGGTGGCGGTATATCTTTTTCGGGACAGGCACCCTCAAGCAGCGCGGGCCTAATTCCCACCATCACCACTAAACCGGGTCCGGCACAATCAGCGGGGGCCTGGAGCCTGATGGCGTCAGAATCGTTGGCGCTCCACCATACACGCCGACCATAGGAGACGGGGATTCATCCCCACCACCGCCTTACGAAGCGCCACCACCCTACTCGCCGTCTCCAAATGGACCGCCAGCCGACCCGGAAGATCTCAATGACCCAGATGATGATGAACCAACCAATACAGACTCACAGCCATCACAGACATATTCACGGCCTTCTTCCATTACATCCAGTGCCTTACGAATGTCCAGCGCCGTATCCTCCGCTTCATGTACCAACACCATGTCCGGTGGGTGCTGCTCGAAGGCAACCGCTCTCACACTTTCAGGTACCGAACCAACCACACTCTGCAATCTTGTTATCGATACCTGGGTCGACGTAGCCTACGACTTCATGACTGGCTCTATCGCCGTACCAGCCTCTGCAAGCCCAACATCGATGCCAGCAGCCCCAATCACAGTATCAAACGCTGGCGCGGTTTTCTCGTCGCTTGCGAACGCCATATCTTCTTATCTCTCCAGTCTATCTCGTGCCTCTGGCCTCCCAAGGAACAAGACAGCCAGCGCAACAGTGGCAGCATCTTCTACCACGCAGCCTACACCCACAATTTTGGTCATGACCACGTAAGTTGCCCTCATTGCGAGCGCGTTTGTCTTTCCGGCGGAGGAGTAAGCACTGACAGGCTAGCATTTCAGTGTGAGTGGGTACGTCTTCTGTTCATCTGGGCACGACACCGCTGGCCTCTCCACGACCACGATCGACCGTACCACAAGATCATGGTGCGCAACGCCCGACGCTACGGCTCCCTCTTGTGGCACTACCAAGTAAGTGCCGTCCTTTTCTTAGAGCGCTTGCTAGTTCCCAACTGGGCGGCGAAGAACTAACGCCACCCTTTCCTTTCCAGCTTGATGGGCAAACCCTATTGTACCTGCGGAGCGGTTATAGCTCCCCTTTTAAGCACGGTGATCGCCGATACTACCAGCTCTTGGTGAACAACGCCCGGAGTCGTAATCCCAACAGGTCCTCCAATCAGCTCAGTTGCACAGGCTGCTCCTCGTCCGACGCAAATGAGTCCCATATCGCCCCCCACCACAGCTCCCACTCCCACCCGTCCATAGGGGCCTTCGAAACCTGGCCTGAAGACAGCTGCGATGACATCGGCTGCACGAGTAGCATCTACGGCTGGGACCTAGGGGCTCGCGCCAGCGGGTCAGGTCATCGATCCCTGCACGAACAGCAAGTACACGTACAATTGGATTTCGCTCAAAACATGCAGAACGACAACAGCAATTACACGATCACCATGACGGGGATCCATACGCTTGGGTACAAAGGGATGAAGTATCTGGGATCGAACGATGGGTACTACGAGGCGCCCAATATAGTTACTCGGACATTAGTTCCGTCAGATGGAGACGAGAACATCTTTTGTCAACCTGTCCCCGGAGCGGTGGCGAAGAGTTATTCCGGGTCCAACAGTCTCGACGAGGATAATTGGACGCCTATTAGTTACTGTCTTCGGTAGTAAGGGAGCTTTCAAGCGAGGACGGGGTCAAACGTTCTATTATTTAGGGCCTTAACTCATGTTTCAATTCACTCAAAGGCCCAGTACTGACCCTGAATACAAGCCGCACATGTGCCGATAGCCTCATTACCGGGGAAATACACACCAATTCCTATTCGAGCATCATCGATCTTTGCTTGGCCTTGCCTACCTAGGTCCGTCCGATTTGGGAAGCCCTTCATGGGCATGAATAACATCGATTCGCTCTCTCTCTGTTTGTCACAGGTCCGTGACTTCGATAATGCGGTCTCGTCTAGTGTATGCATAGCCAGGTGCTAACGACGGGATTGCAAGGTGCTGGATTCTACCGTAGCCTCTTTCGCGGTTTTACCAACCCAAACGACCCGGATCTGAGGGACCCGCCCAGGTTGAATAGCTTTTCCAGGTGGAATGGGAAAGGCAAATTGTATTGGGCCGATATACCGAGGGTGTATATGCCACCTAGGAGTTAAGAGGGGGAATCCCAATGGACAATGAAAAAGGTATTTTTAGAACCTCGAGGGATTTTTGGGCAATGTGCTTTAGTCTATAACGTGGACAACGAGTTTCGACACCACCCTCGCCCAACCCAACAGGTCATCACTGGTCTTCCATTTTACTTCGACTTAGAGTGACAATCTACAGTCCCTCGGCTGTGGTGATCGGGAGTGGGGGCTTGAGAAATTGAGACTTTTGGTGGTGACGCGAAGTGGTGGAGCCCAGAGACAAAGCTCCGACATCAAATCGACGCTCTCACCGAACCGAAGTCACTGTTTTAAGCGGTAGTAAGTTTGATGCCTTGTTCTCTATACACGTTCTTTCACATTGTGCTCCTCTAATGTGTCGACGACGTTGCGACTTGATGCAAAATGTACAAGGTTAGTCGTTTGCAGTTTTATCGCTGTCATATTCAAGTTGCAGACTAGAGAGGGCATGGATGGGAGTTGGGGAGCGCGATAAAGAGAGGCTAAAAGAAGAAGTGCAATAATAGAGTAGTGAAGGGGAGGGGGGCAAAAGGAGGGGCGGGGGGGGAGGGATGGACAAAGAAACGCGAGGGTTCCCTGCGGCGGTGAGACGATCTGGCGTGTTGAGTCCTACCGTCGATTTGAGCAGCATACACGAAATGAAAGCAGGTCACGATACGGAGTCGCCAGATACAATAATAAATACGTATTTTCCACGATGACGTGAACGGCCAGCAACAGGGCGAGGGAAAGCCTATACGAAAGTCGAAGGTGGTGGCATCAGCTACCGAGCAGCCAAACCGCAAAAGGATAGAGCGTAAAGTGCGCCCGTTGCCAGGTACGAAAATTCTTCCACTCTCTAGCTGCATATGCAAGCTGCAGGATGCGGCGATCCCTTCCCAATACCCCTCCCTCTTCTCCGCATGTGATGGTACAACCCATTACCACAGGATGAAATAGGTGTTACTTTGATACACGAGCTTCTACACTACCTGTCCTGCACCTTATTGTCTTTCCGCGGATTGCGAAGATAACACATTCAGTCGACTGGCTGAGAAGGTCCGGAGAACCAAAAGAAACCCCCCACAATCGCATCGACTTCAGAGGACGAGAGGACGATTCCAGATCCACGACACAGCATCGACAATGCCAGTCGGACCCAGCGAAGAAGAAAGTCCCCGAGAAATAAAAGACAATGAAACCAACCCGTACATCTCCAGCATAGCCCTGTACAACCTTTCCCGAGCGCATACTCTCCTCGCCTCCCTCGCCACCAAGCCCAAATGGACCAACGCCGACACCTCCTCCGTCGACTGCATGCACTATGACGGCGACACCGCCCTCGAACACTGCGCCTCTCAGCTCGATCTACAGCCGAACCAGCACGTCCTAGACATCGGATCAGGCTTCAGCGCCACGGGCCGCTTCCTCGCGTCCAAGTACGGCGCACATGTGACCGGCATCGAACTGCAGCGCGAGAACCACGAGCTCGCTCAACGCATCACCGTGCGGAATGTCGACCCGCGCGTCGTGGAGAGGGTACGGAGTGTGAATGCGGACTTCCTGCGCCTTACGCCGGAGAGTCTCGTTGTGGTCGGCGGTGATGGAAAACCATCGTCTGCACGGTTTGACCATGTAGTGTCTTTGATGTGCATAATGCACATACCCGAATCGGCTCGATCGGCTGTGTTCCGACAAGCCGCGCGGTTCCTGAAAGCTGGGGGGAAGATGTACATTGAGGATTTGTACGACAAGTCCTGCCAGAGAGATGCAGTATCGCATCTCACTGAAAGGGAGTTGCATCAGTTGCGAGAGATCGTGGCATGTCCTTACCTTCCCTCTGCCTCGGGATATGTTGCCGATGTAGCAGCCGCGGGCTTTGATGGGGTCGCGTTCGAAGATGTCTCGGAGAAGTGGACAGGATTGGTGCGCGCGCGCACGGAGAACTACAGGGGCTCTGAAAAGCCCAACGCGGACCTACAGAAGTTTTATGATACCATTGCCGAGGTATTTGAAGGGGGTAGTGTCGGTGGGGTCAGATTGACTGCTGTGAGGAGATGAGGATGTCAAAGTGCTATGTCACGTCCGTTCCAAAATTCCGGAAATTACTCCGTTCTTGTTAGATGTCCTCAAACATGTCCGTGACATTGCATTGACCCTCGAAGAACATTCGGTCAAATACTGGTGACCAATTTGATGGGCCAGTGTCTGATAGAGACTCCGCGGAAGCTGTTTGTTCGATGATTGGAAGGGAGCCGATGTCGGCTTTCCTCTGCGTAAATGTTGTTCGCCAGATGATCCATCAGAACGCGTACTTTCAAGCCAGTCATATCATAGATCAATGCCTTAGTGCTCCAATCACCCCGCTCCTCGTATGATTGAAGTGTTACAGGTTCGGCACCCTGGAGACTCGCAGAATCATCAAAGCCTTAGAGCAAAGGCTCCGTCCACCTTGAGGATCTGCCAGTCATCATCGATCGCATGTTATCAAACCTTGCGGAAGGGAGGATTCTAGAGCAAGAGTGCGTGATATGCATTCATTGAGCGATGCGAGAAACGCCCAGTCATCGAGAATGGATGTCTCTCAACCCCACATGCTGCGATGACAGCGAGGTGAGGCCTGCAAAAATCGACTCCCACGAGTAGTGTATGTAAAAGTTGATCCCCTTCATCGAGGACTTATCCTATTATCCCCCCCCCCCAACAATTCTCACCATCTCTTCTTCAATATTGATCTGGCTTTCCACGTTTTCGGAGACCAGATTTGTTGGCCCAGCTTGTTACCCTTCTCCCACTCATACAATTCCTCAACACTACTCACAACGACCGCGTCCCCGGCTTTCACCTTAGCACGGATCAGATTTGCCGTCACGATTCGAGTTTCTCTCCCTTCCCGTTCGTGGTTCTCCCTCTCTGGTCATGGCGAGCATGCGGATATCATCAATGTCTTGTCTAGGCTGGCCACGTCAGAAGCTATCAAAGTTTGTCTGTCAAGCCGTCCTTGGAACGTTTTCGAGAATGCCTTGGGGAAAAGCACTAATCGGAAGCTGTTACTTCAAGACTTGAACGCTCCAAATATCAAAATTTACGTGAAGGATATGCTTGACGGCGATAATGAATACCCTCAGCTCCATGTTCAAGATAATCGATACGAAGAATTGGCAAAGGAAATTGTCAACAAAGCGCAAGGAGTGTTTCTCTGGGTATTCTTGGTTGTGCGTTCTCTTCGCCGAGGTTTGACTAATGCAGACACCCTTCTTGTTCTCCAAAACCGGCTCCGCCAATTCCCGACTGACCTCAAGGAATTTCACCTCCAAAAGCTGGGAAACATTGAGGACGTCTATCACGAACAGATGGCCCAGACCCTTCATATCGCCGTAGCGTTCTCTGGACGACCCTCCCCGTGCTGCTATATTCTTATCTGGACGAGGCAGATGAAGCCTACGCCGAGAACCTGGAAATACAGCCTTGGAGTGGACCATAAATTGTTGATCGATGCAACCTAACGGGGAGGCGGCTAAATGCTAGATGTGCAGGTCCGATCGAGGCTTTCTGCGAGAAGCACATAAACACGATCTTCAAAAATAGAGTAGACTTCATGCACAGAACGGGGAGGGACTTTCTGCTCGGACAGAAGGTGCAAGACCTGCTGACTTGCAGGATGCAACGTCCGTTCGATGTCAGAGCTTATCTATGCAGAGCTCTCTTGGCTCAGATCAAGCTCATTGCTAGCTTGATGCCAAATCATGGCATGAGAGCCCTTGACATGGTCGATCACCGATCTCATCTACTCCCTGACCTTACAAGGACCTTGGACATATTAATAAACGAGGTCTTGCATCCTGTACATGAGATTGAGAAATCTCGTGGTCATACAGAATCTTCCATCCTGGATGGAATTGAACGTGTCATTCTTACCAGAAAGAAATTCCGTCCCAACAGCCCACCAACTGGACTTGTATTTGAATACCGTAAGGCGTTCAGACTTGACTGCTTAGATCAACGAGGGTGGATGTTGGGGAAAGCCATTTTTGCCGGCCTTACCGTGTACGTTAAGGAAAAACTCGAGAGCGATCCTAGATACATCAAGAATGTCTATGGACGACCGCCTCTACATCTCGCAATGCATGACAATTTCCCCAGTCCAGACATGGTACGATTGCTCTTACACTACAGTGCATCTCCGAACCAAGAACAAGCCGGTACCACGCCGTGGAGCAAACTCCTCTATGTTATCCAGCTCGTTGAACCGGAGTCAAAGGGTGGAAGTGGTGACTGGGCTGAACTCATAGATGTAATGGTTGGTGCCGGCGCTAATCCAGATCCCAATCCCTTTGGCAGGGAGGATGCAACAATAGCAACTTTGAAAAGGTTCTGTACGCCGAGCGATGTGGCTCGGTACGTTGTTCTTCTTGAGCAGAGACGCTCGTCAAGGAGAAACGCCAGGCTTAGAATTTCTAAGCTGCTACGACAGCTGAAGGGACGTCGGTGTAGGACGCGGCAATTGGGTGCAAAGCTTCTGCAGTCTTAAGTATACTAGGCAGCAGAGCTTTTGGGGGAGGTATAGTTTCCTCTATCTAAAATGGTGGTACGGTTACCTTATAAGTCTTATGAGTGTTGCTATATAAATGTTAGGGTTGCGAAGATTCAGGGCAAATCCTCTTGCTGTAGAATTTGATGGCGGACTGCCCTTCATGTGACCTCGGAGTCGGAGTAGTCCTATTTGTCTTGACTCTCGAGCCAACACACGGATGCTTATTGAGGCAAGAGGGGCTAATTACTAATTCATACCCCGAAACTATGAATCCTTACCGAATCATACCCTAATTACTGAATCATACCCCTAGGGGTATGATTCAGTAATTTGCCATTACTTGGGGTATGATTCGGTAATTTGCCATTCATGATAAAAATCGCAAAGGAGAAAATTCGCGACCTGGGCCATCCGACCATAGAAAAGAGGAAATATCTCCGACCGTATTCAATGGGTGACCTACCAGCTTAAATACATCAGACGAAAGCCGAGTGGGTGTTAGCAGCAGCCCCCACAGGGGCCCTGCGACGGCCCTACGGGGGCCCTATTTCTCAGCGAGGCACAACGGTGATGATGTAGAATGCATGTAGATTCAGTGGAGGGGCCATCAGCTATTATGTAGCTGATGGAGAACAAAGCACTGCTATCTATGGCTAGCTACATGAAAGGAACAATGATGGAATATGCATGGAAGGATGTAGGAAGGACGCATGCATAGAAGGAACTAGACACGCTGACACTATTTAGGTCCAAATAGGGGTGTCTGGCTGTCAAGCGCAAACACCCCCGGGATATTTAGGTTCAAATAGGGGTGTCTGGCTGTCAAGCGCAGACACCCCCGGGACTAGGCTTTTTTTGCGCTTGACAGCCAGACACCCCTATTTAGACCTAAATAGGGCCCCCGTAGGACCGTCGTAGGGCCCCCGTGGGGGCTGCTGCTACCAGTCGGCTAAATTTGACCCCCCAGCCTGTCTACACCCAGTCTGTAACTCTTACACACAGTCTTCACCCCCAATAGTCTACACAGCAAGTTTGGTAAATTACCGAATCATACCCCAAGCAATTAATCCTTACCGAATCATACCCCAAATTTTGGTGTAGGGGTATGATTCAGTAATTAGGGGTATGATTCGGTAAGGATTCATAGTTTCGGGGTATGATTCGGTAATTAGCCCGAGGCAAGAGTCTCTGGATGACACTCAAGCAGTCTTCGTTGTAGATACCCTTAGCCCAGGTTACAGGTAGTAGACCTTTCCATTCTCCAAACTAATGCAGAGGATCTGCACGAATTGCTGTCATACCAACAGCCAAGACTGTCATCGCTTTAGAAGCGGCCCTGCATTATCACGTGCCTTACGGTCCTAAACAAGACTAGCGTGATATCTCAACCTAGCGTGCTCCGAGAGCTTGAAGCTCATTTCTTCAACAAACACCACCTACACCCCACACCACCTCTCGCCTCCGTGATGCCTGCCACCACAGCCGAAACCCTCTCTCTCGTCTCACGAACCGTATCCGTCGCCCCCCTCGTCCTCCTCTCAGCCGCAGATCATTTCGGCCGCTCAGGCAAAGGTCTACGAAAGCGAGTGGTAGGCGTGCTACTGGGGCAGAACGATGGCAAGAACGTGAGAGTATCAAACAGCTTTGCCGGTGATTCTTTCTTACGCCTCCCTTGTACCTACAAGGCCTGTGCTGATTTGAGGAAACGCAGTTCCCTTTGAAGAAGACGAAAAAGATCCCTCGGTATGGTTCCTGGACCATAACTACGTGGAGGGCATGAACGACATGTTCAAGAAAGTCAACGCGCGGGAAAAGCTGATAGGATGGTACCATTCTGGCCCAAAACTACGAGCGTCGGATCTCGAGATCAACGAGCTGTTTAAACGCTACACGCCCAATCCACTGCTCGTCATCATAGATGTGCAACCGAAGGAAGTCGGTGTGCCCACAGACGCCTACTTTGCCGTCGAGGAGATCAAAGACGTAAATCTGCCCTCTCCCACCTCTCCTCTCTTGGGTTTGAAGCCGCCGCTGACAGGAAGGGGTGGTAAACAGGACGGCACGACAACGAGCAAGACCTTCATGCACACCCCCTCGATAATCGAAGCCGAAGAAGCCGAAGAAATCGGCGTCGAGCACCTCCTCCGCGACATCCGCGACGTGGCCGTCGGCACCCTCTCCACCCGCATAACGTCGCAACTGCAATCCCTGCAAGGCCTGCACCTCCGGCTCCGCGACATCGGCCAATACCTGCAGAAGGTGATCGACAAGGAACTGCCCGTCAACCACGCCATACTGGGGAATCTCCAAGACGTCTTCAACCTGCTCCCGAACCTGTCGAACCCGACCGCCACGCCCTCGGAGACGATAAGTGGAGGCCAGGAAGGAGGGGCGGGGAAAGAGGGCGATACGGAACTGGCGCGCGCCATGTCTGTGAAGACGAATGATCAGCTGATGGCGATATACCTGTCCAGCCTGATACGAGCGATCACGGCGTTCCACGACCTGATAGAGAATAAGATCCAGAACCGGCAGCAGCAGGAAGAGAAAGATGCGAAGAAAGAAGAGGAGGGGAAGGACAAGGACAAGGATGGGAAGAAAGCGGGCGATGAGGTCAACGGGGTCAATGGGGTTGATGGGGAGTTGAAGGAGCAGGAGAAGGATGGGAAGGGGAAGGGTGATAAGAAGCGGTAGTCCGGGTCCGAGTGGCTAGGGATTCATGATCATTAAAAAATAGCGCGGCATAGAGGAAAGACCACGCTCTTCGCGGTGGGAGGCTTTTGATGTACAATATGATTCATTCGGAAATCTATGTACAAGCGAGCAGTCGTCGCTCGAGCTTTTGGTGTCCACATCCTGCGCTCTTCCCACTCACAAGGAGACTGGATACTCCGTCGTCTCGATCTTCTCCGGGTACGTGACCCCTCCCTGTTTCCTGACCTGATCCATCGTCTCCATGATCACGACACTCTCCTCCCATCCCATTCCCGCACTTTCCAACTTCCCCTACGAAAAGGAAAAGTCGATGTCAGCGTCTCTCCTCGTGCACAGATGCCCGCAAAACATGTCTCCCGACCAAACCGTGGCACGAAAAGGGGGGGAATGTTTCACTCACATCCCTAATACATCTACCACACTCATCCGCCTCCCAAAACATGCCCTGTCCCGGAATCTCACACTCCACCTCCCTCACCTTCTCATTACTCCCCTTCTTGACAACCTGCGGATCCAGATCGTCCTCCGCGGGAATGAACCTATAGTGCGTGGGTCTGAACGCCGGCCCATCGACCTGAATCTCTCCCTTCGTCCCTTGGATCCGAATAGCAGGTTTGGCCGTATTGAATCCATCAGGCAATGTCGCGACGCGGAAGTTTGTAAGGGCGATGCCGTGAGCGGTATGTTTGCCGCCGGGGGCAGAGGGGAAGGTCAGCAGGATGGAGGTTTTTTCGTCGGCGCCGGTGCTGTACTTTTCGACGGCTGCGAGGACGGAGGGGGCTTTGCGGTCGGAGGCGGGGACGGTGTGGTAGAGGGTTTGGAAGCACCACGTTAGCGGGTAGACGCCCACTAGTCAGCCCATGGTGTTAGTTTACCCAAGACCATCCTTGGTGATGGGGGCAGGAACCGATGGCTAGAGGGAGCGACTTACGATCAAGCATAGCACCACCCGCCAAATCTGGGTTCACCATCCTATGCTTCGCGCCATCCGCGCCCCACGTATTCTCCACGTCCTGACCAAAGCTCAAATCCGCAATGACCCTATGCACAGCCCCCAACTCTCCATCCTCAATCATTTTCCTAATCTGAATGCTTAATGGGAAAAACCTCGTCCAAACCGCTTCCATCAAGAACAGCTTCTTCTTCTTAGCCGTCTCAACCAATTTCTTCGCCTGCGCCGCATTGACAGTGAACGCCTTCTCGCACAGTACGTGTTTGCCTGCTAGGAGGCACAGCATGGTGTTTTGGTAATGATGTGAATGCGGGGTGGCGACGTAGATTATGTCGACGTTTGGATCCTTGACGAGTTCTTGGTAGGAGCCGTAAGCAGAGGCGGAGGCGGGGCATTTGCAGGATTCGAGGAACTGTTTGGCGCGGGAAGAGGACGATGAGGAGGCGGCGGCAGTGACGGTGTGTTTTATATCGGAGACGGAGCGGGTGGAGGGGTCAATCATTAGATCTTTGGCGAATTCTAAGACCGTGAGTGTTGGTTAGACGTGGGCCATTGAGGGGGTAGTAAGGTGAAATGAGCTCACTCTCGGCGATGCCTCCGGTTGCTGCGTCTCAAGTCAGCTCTGGTGTCGAAGGTTACGCAGCAGGACCATTGCATGGTAAAGCTGTAGGGAGTGGAACATACCTAGGATTCCCCAACGGATAGTGTGAGGCGACGACATGATGATTGACCGTGCTGGCGAATTTTGTAGGTGTTTTGAGTATATATGAAGGACAGTTGTTGAGATGAAGTTCGTACAGAGGCCTCAAGATTTCATAAACGACATTGTCATTTCGTGGGGAAAGCCCATGCGGGGTCGTACGTCACTGGCTGCAGGCATATTAGGCTAAATGCGAGAAACACGCGACACCAGGCGACATTGATCTTCGGCACTCGGGTGTACGAGTATCGAATATCCTGCAGGTCCGTGGTGTATAGGAATTTGAGGCACAGAAAAGTCATGCGTGAGAGTGAATGTGTTTAGATCAAATGTTCATTGTGTTCTGCAGCATGGGATTCGGCAAGCACCCATCTAAAGCCCAACAACCTAATGGGAGAAGAGCGTGTAATGATGCCGAAGATAGAATGGAAGATACTTCAAAACCTCTATGCATGCAAGAGGCATGGTTGAAAGAGGTGCGCAGAAAAGATCGCTCGAGTATGCCGAAGAAGAGGAGACGTGAGAACACAAAATGCACAAATACCGCTTACGAACATCATGCCTTGACCGCTTTTGCATTGCCTGCGTTATAATCACCGACCTAGAGACTGGTCAATTCTTGACCTTTTCAAGTCAACAATGTTTCAGTACTAACCGCCTTCCTCTTCCCCAATACACTATCCGGCGTGCTCGTTCTCAGAGGTGTAGTGCCGCCTTCTTTCTTCACCTCAGAATGGCAGCTGGCATGATAAATTCTAGTCCCAATTTTCATCGCATCCATCCATACAAAGTCCTGGACTTCGTCATTCCATACCATATCGAACTTCTCTTGGCAGATAGGACATGGCTGATTGGCAAGAGCTGGGTCGGATGGTACAGGGATGTGCTTGTTCTTAGGATCGGCTGCAGCGAGAGATGCAGCAAGTGCAGCTCTTGTGGCATCGGAGGAGGCATCTGTAAGTGGAGCATCCTCAGGATTGTCACGAGATTTAATCCATTCCTAGATTTTTTTAGTGGAAGAGTATGGAGAGATAGACAGTGGAATGACTTACCAATTCATCAACGTACCAGCTTCGATTCTGGCCCCGCTTGGCAGAGTCGGCTAGGCGTTGGTTCGTTCGGAAATGCCAATCCAAATGACGGGCCTTCTTCTCTTTACCCTCTGCTGTAGCGAGGAATCGTCTACCGCATGTTGAGCATTGATTCGGTCGAGCTTCGTATAACGTTGAGACCTGGTGGATCCGGGGTCTTACAAATGTTAGTAGAAATGGGTGGACAGAAGATGATCAAACCTACCGCTTCAACGATGTCGATATAACCTCAACATCGTTAATCAATGCCGGACGTGGGAAGCCTCCAGGTATAATTGGTGGGGTTTGCGTGACAGATGGCGGAGGTGCATATCCATGGGAGCCATTGACTGGTGTGCTTGAGGTACCAGAGAAGATACCTTTGGCTTTGAGAGATGCCAGCATATCACCTAGATTGGCCGACGAAGACGGTGTGGACGAGTTGTGTGGGGCTGGTTGCGCTTGGGAGAACGGTGCCTGGGAGATTGGCGGAGTCGCTGGCGCTTGCTGAGCCTTCGCAATGATATCGGCCAAGTTCTTCGACGATAGCAAGGACTGAATGTCCGGATTTTGCGGTGCCGGTACCTGTGCGGGTCGTTGCTGCGGGGAAATTTGTTGTGGAGGTACGTAGGGAGTCGAAACCGAAGCACGAGGAAGCGCCGAAGCCGCTGGTCCAGAGGCTCCATAGACCTCAGCGAAGAGCCGGGCGACCTCATTCCGAGCGGCTTGAAATTCTTGGGGTGTAAGGGTCTGCGACTTCAAAGCACCCTGCAGAGCTAGCAAAGCCTGCAGACGTATTCGCAGCGAGTCGTCGTTGACATTGCTCGAGAATTCAGATCGTGCGGCACTGATGAGTTTTTCGACGTCTTGATGTATGGGATCTGAGTTGTTCGGAGGATGTTGGTACTGGGGATACGCTGGTGGCTGTGGGTAAGGTTGCTGATAATTGGTCGTAGTTGGCTGTGGGGCAGGGTAAATGGCAGTCTGAGGATACTGCGAACGTGCCTTCCCGAGTCAGTAGGTACGCGCGCAGAGTAAAGCGAGTAAAGATCTGATTTACCTGATAGTTACCGTTAGGTATATTCTGCTGACCGTACATTTGCTGTGGCGGAGGGTAGTAAGGACTGCGGGCTTGAGGTGGTGTAGGGGTATTGCGCCACTGTGGATTCGGTGTTGCCATTGGTCGACCGCGAGCCATCATCTCCTGTTGGGCCCTAGACTGTTGCTGTTGTTGCGCCTGGACGGCGGCAGTGCGAGCTTTAATCAATGCATTCTCAATAGGTCGGATAGTTTCAGCTGGAAATACAGGCCTTGGATCCAGTGACCCAGGCACTGGCTCTTTCCATGTCTTGAGCATTTCATCAAGCTTGCGGCGTACCTGATTGTTAACCAAGCTGTAGGCATTCATGAAGATCGTGTACAGATTACGACCAAGGAATAGCGTGTAGGGCGTTCCAACATTTTTAACCACAGAATCTAGGACGTAAAGTGCTGGTAGCTTGCGGTCTGGAGGAGTCTACAGAGATGTTAGGTTCTTCTTACTAACATCTTCGCATGGTCATCGATAAGATATTCCCGACTCCTTGCCATCACAATACTCTTCGGAAGAGGTATAAATACTTACACTCTTGATGTGATTCTCCAACACCCTTGATATTGCCATAGCATGCTCTGTGTTCTCTTTTGCAATGACAGTTAGATTGCTGATCTCATATCTCGAGTTGATAGTCAGATCTTCGAGGGAGTTTTTGTAGTCTTCAGCGACTTCATCGGAAGGAAGTCCAACAGACATGATGGGCTTTGACGGTTGCAAAGGTACAGGAGCTGGTATGGTTAGAGGAAGACGCAGAAAGGAAACGGATGTCTGCTGGCTGGATAAGAGTGGTTTTTTAGGGAATGGTCGTTGCACGAAGCGCTATTGATGATTGCTTTTCCCTTGCGACAATAGGCAGACCACAACCTCAATACGATGCTCTTGAAAAGACAGAGGCACTGATGTTTTTGAAGTCACTGCTAGCTATGTTCAATACCAAGCATGAATGCCTGGTATCCGCAAACACAAATTGCGTTCCACCGCCAGTATTTTTCCTCAGTCTCCAACACCCGCCTGTCCTTCCCCCTTCTCCAAGATTGAAGCCTTAAGCAAGAACGAACCTTTGAAGATATGGGTGGTATGGTGTGATGGTAAGCTGGTAGTGAGCGACCTATCTGGGAGGTGTTGTATTGGATGGATCAGGTAGAAAGGATCGTGGTGATGGTGGTGGTAAATAAGTAACAGAAGTCTGACAAGCCAAGTGAGGTGTCCATTCAAGAACGAAAATAGCCGCTTAGTCACAGATCGGGTAAGGCTTAGCGCAAAATGTTCTTGGCAGCCTCGGCAGCGAGACAGCCTCATGAGGCAGGCGACATTTGTCTTTGTTCTTGCTTCACTACATCATCTATCACTCTCAAGTCTAATTCTCAGTCCTGTCCTTTTCACTCCGGGGTCCAGCTTTCGATTATGAAGATTCAAGTTCTTCTTGCGCTCTTGGCCCTGGGCGTTAACGGACTGGCACCACAGCAGCAGTACCTCATCACATATCCAAAAGATGCTCCACAGTCCGACATCGACGACTACAAGCATACCATAATGGCTGCTGGGGGCCAAATCCTACACGAATACGAGCTCATCAAGTAAGAACACCTGCCTTGAGAGATAATGGAACATGCATGCTGACTGCGTCTGCAGAGGTTTCGTTGTCAAGGCTTCTGCACCAGCTCTCGATACCATTCATACGTTGTCCCAGAAGTATGCGCCGACTATTGAAGAAGACAAGACTGTGACGATACAAGACCAAGGCTTATGAGGCTGTCTGAGGGTTTGGCTTCTATGGAGCGGATAGACAGGATGTCCGGTGTCCCATCGTCAGTCCTCGAGCTACTCGTATAGAGGATGTTTTAGGACGCGGATAACATCTTACGGCTTGTCATAAGCATCTATGTATCAATACAGTCAGGCTGGAATACGGGAGCTGTCCGAGCATTTCTCACAGAGCGAAAAGGGTGCGCTTGGTCCCAGAATACTCACTGAAGGCTTGGGGGGTTTTGACAGCTAGAAGCCATCAGCACGCTTCGTAAAAAACAGAGATTTGATACCCTATACAGAGTCCTTTTTAAGCCAACCTTGGTCCTTTTGGTCCTGTCGATAGTGGCTGGCGAGTCTCGTAGTATCCGATAACCTCCCACATGTAACAAATCCATTTTTCCTACTACCCCTCGTACCATCTCCACCACTACTCCACTCCCACCATATAATCTACTATGAATGGCTTGTATCTAGTCTAGAGACTACATAGCAACTACCCTATCATGAAATCGCTTTACATAGTGCCCTTTGCGACATAAGAAGACTTTATATACACTGCACCCCCCTTAGTCCTTGGGGAAATACCACTATTACTATTAATCTCTCTATCAAAACTTCTCCCCTTAATGTCTATGCGACATTGAACACACGTACGACTATCCTTCAAGTCCTGCCAGTTATGATTACCTCGTAAATGCCCTGATAGTATGATAATAGGGGGTGGAGGTAGATTTGTTACATTAGATCCGGGAGGTTATCGGATAGTACTGCATTCTGGCAAAATTTTAGGAGAATTTGAATCACCGTCTTACGCTCCTTTCACAGAAGAACAACAGTATCTTCAAAGCCAAACAATGTGTTGTATTCAAAAACAATCGGCCTTAAAAGCTCATGAAGAAGTGGCTTTGTCAAGTACCTGGCACGCTAACGGAGCTTTCAAAGCCCGACAGACAAGGGTGCCTTTGGTGCTTTGTTGAACATCGCGTCTCCCCAGGCCACTCCGCAATCCTCGTTCATGCCCTATGCTCACAGCGCCCCGCCAAAATGCTCCATAGCTTTCCTTTCTACTTTTCTCATACCTACCTGAAAACGAGACCACACAGACTACGCCATGGCAACGAATGGAACTCTTCCCCACGGAACCGAGGCGGCGCTGGTCGTCTGGGTAAGTCGCGCTTTCCCCAACCTGCCAAGGCTGCCACAATGTTGACATACATGTCTAGGTCAACTCTTTCCCCCTCACCAATCATGTGAATTCGCTAAGCGAGATGAATGATGGACAGGCTCTTTGGGAGATGCTCCGTAAGTACTACCCCATGCAGTAAACGAAATGCATGCTGATCAAGGCTGTTTTAGGCGAAATACATGCGGAGGCATTTACAGGAGAATTGCCAAGTAAGAAACAATCCGCCTATGCACGGCAGCAGAATTGTAAGTCACTCTGAATGTGAAGCCACTCGAAGCATGAAGGCTGAGATGAAGCAGTGCAGCACGTATACAGGAAGATAGCGTCACACCTAGACGAACATGACGCAACTTTCACTATCTTTACCGACGATGAGTTGAGGGATATGGCTGTCGATGAGTCAAGCACTTCTATTGCCAAAGTGCGTTTACCACGGTCGTGGACAACAGCCACAATGACTAACCTCTGGGTACAGTTCCTGCAGCTAGTCCTCCAGGTGGTCATCACTCCTCCAAATGAAGCCATCTTCCAAAAACTCCGAATTTTGCCAGACCCCACTCCGCAAGTCATTCTGAGACTTTGGCAAGAGACGATGGACCAAGCTGAGGATGAAGAAGTGGACGAAAATAGCGACATGGGTTCCGGCCGAAGAAGTTCGAACAGCGGCTCTAATCTCTCATCAGCTCGGGTTATTGATCGGGAATTGCGGCTCGAGCAACATCTCGCCGAGCTCAAATCACAGCTGGATCGCTGCGAAGCTGAGGTCAAGGACTTGAAGGAAGCAAAGGAACAAACAGATGATGCATACAATCGGCTTTCAGAGAGTTACGACGCTATTCGGAAGGAAAATACCGAGATCGATAAGCAGCTGAAGAAGTTCACCGCAACGCACAACGAGAGGGAGCAGCGGTCAGTGAAGGAATTGGAGACCAAGATCTCACAACAAGAAGAAGTCATTGGTCGCCAAGAAACCCAGATCAATGAATCTCGATCAAAAGAGGCAGAGATGCAACGAAAGATAAAGAAGCTTGATGCGGCCGACGACAGATTACAAAATCTTCAAGATGACTTCGACGTGCAGAAAGTGGAATTGGAGCATCAGACAAGGAAAGCAAATGCGGGTGAAAAGTACAAACAGAAGGTCCAAGCCAGTCAAAATCTTGAGAAAGAGCGCGACTCTCTGCGCAAAGAGCTCAATGAAGCTCGTTCTAGGCTTGAAGAGGCTGGGGATCTCCGCAGGGGCAATGTGAAGCTTCAACAAGAGAATCGCGAAATCAGCCAGACGCTCTCTCGGAGTGAGAGGGACAATACTGAACTAAGGGAGACAAAACAGGCATATCTTGGCGAAATAAATAGGCTCCATCACGACTCGAAGTCGCTGCGGGACGCTCTGGCGCAGTCGCAAGACAGGATAACAGACTTGGAGGAGAGATTTGGAGGCCCGGAACGCCATTCGTCAGTGGATCATACGCTCGATTCCGAACTCGCCGAAGCCTTGAACCACGAACAGCAAATGCAAGTTGCCAGTACTGTTCTACTGTGGACACGAGTACTGATGAGTAGCAGGAAAATCCGGATTACCGAGCTCGAAAAGCTGGTCCGGCAGTTGAAGAGTGATGCGAGTGACAGAGATACTAAGCTCGCCATGCTTCAAGGGCAGCTTGACAGTGCCCGAGAAGACTCAGCCGACCAATACAAACAAGGTTTCGAAGTTCGCCAAGAGATGTCTGTCCTCCAGTCTTCTCTCACAGAAGTCAGGCAGGGCCATTCGATCGAGGGGTCTGTATCCGCCGTCCCACTTGTTGATCTTGTGGCTTACGATGTTAAAAGCACGGAGACATTCAAAAGGATGCGCGAACAAATCAAGGCTCAGCAGAAGCAGTGCGCCCATCTCGAAGAAAAGCTGTCAGCAGCACAAAAGGTCCTCGAGGCAGCAGAGAGTGATCGTATGTCGTCCTTCGAGAATCATTGCATGTTGACAGATCTGACCATTGAACTCTTTGAAGGAGAACTCATGGACAAACCGAAACTTCAAGTTATCGAAGAGGTAAGGATGCAAAACTCGCTAGCAATGACGCAACTCCAGAGCGAGCATGATGCTTTACGAAATCGACACAATCGACTACATGATATGTTCGTTGACCTAACGGAGGAGCGCAATGCCGCCTGGCACGACTCTCATGAAGCTGTCATGGCGAAGGCTGAAAGTGACATGAAGGCCGACGCCGACAGCCAAACCCTCCAAGAATCGACCGACCTCCTGCGGCAGGCTGGGACACTCGGTTCAATTGACGAAAGTAAGGGCATCAAAATATACGCAAGCAAGATCGAGGAAAGCAGAGAACGGCTGGCAAAGGCCCAGAAGGTATGCAAAGAGGCCGCTCTCTCAGACGTCGCTTTCCAGCCTGTTTCTCATCCCCAGCAACCGTCATCACCGCACTCTCACTCCTCCTCATCGCGCTTATCTTCACTCGCCTCCTCACGCCTTTCCTCAACCTCCTCGTCCCGCTTCTCCAGAGGACTCTCGATGTTGGATTTCCGCGGCGGCTGATGCTGACAAAACTTGGCAACAGCACATCGAAAAACAAGATGCCCTTGTCAAAGACCTTGAGGCCCGTCTCGAGCAGACCAACGCCTCAGCGCAAAACAACGTGGAAGACGCCAATAAACTACCAGCAACGAAGGTCAGTCATCGGGTATTCATCACGAGCTTCTCCATATTCAGTCCTCTTCTCGTCGGCGGAATATCACACTTTACTGATCATAGTACCCCCTCTCAGAATGTTCCCACGTCCGCTGAACGCTCATATACGCAAAACCTCGAGCGTGAGATCAAGCTCATTGCGTCCGCGTATCACGATCTCGCAGGCCGGTTGCAGATGAACAACGTCATCTTGCAACGGAGAACAGAAGCTCCGAAGAGCTGGCTGGGTAGGCAGAGGAAGGCGATGGAGGGGGTTGGGGGTCTTGTACGGTAGTCTCGTCCAGCGGGGAGTGGCGGGGCTTGGAGGTGGAGTACTGTTTTGCATAGCGGTGGAGTTCTGTCGCTCTCTATTGGGATATGAGAGATGTTTGGCGTTCTTGGCCGAGCGGCATTATACCCATTTAGATTCATGTTTTCATCTTCGGGGTCCTGGATATTTCATACTTCTTCTCCCATATATCGTGCATGCATGACTTTTGACCGTATCTCATTCAGTGCCTTCCCAAGCAGCTTCTTCCGCAATACGGCAGGCAGTTCACACGCTCATAATTCTATAAAACTAACAGTACCTGCCTGAATGAATCATCCTCGCACAAACATCCATCCGAAAGCAAGCTCATTCCCGTCCTTACACTCCTATCATGAAAGAACTCCCTAGCTAAGGTAAGAGTATGTAGCAGAAGTCATGCATAGAGGGCCATCCGAACTTTAATTTTTTCTAAGTCCTACAGTGGTAGCCCTATAGAACTTTGCGGAGAATCATTGATTTCTCCACTGTAGGACTTAGAAAAATTAAAGTTCGGATGGCCCTCTATGCATGACTTATGCTACATACTCTTACTTTAACAGTCACTCCACCTAGCGCACGTCTTGAAAACTGGAGTATGTAGAACAGTAAGCTCGTCCCGTGCCACTTGACCAATCTTCCCTTGCTATGCAATTCACTCAACTCGCTTGTTCAAGTGGCCCCTTTTGCTAAAAATGATATACGGCAAAGCAAAGGCGGAGCTTGTCTCATTCGTTTCGCACCGTCTTTATCATCCAATTGCTTCATCAATCAGATGGGATAATCCGAATGGCCGCTTCCCCCGGAAAAGTATCAATCGTCGTCACGGTATAGCTTTGGGAACGAAAGGAACAGGCATGTGCCCAGCCGTCTTTCAAACCGTTTTCCGTGATCAACTTCGAGCCTTGCTTGCTTGCTTGTTTGCGCTTACAAGGCCGTATTTGATTTGGTAGAGTTCTGTGTTCGGGGCAGACTTTGGTTGACAACCGCCCTCAACACGACACCCATCCCCCTTCCAAGTCTCAGGGGCTATCGGATGAGACGGTGGGACGTGCAAGGCTTGCAGACGACTGGACTGTTCTGAATCCCAGCATCGCGACTAGTCTAACGCCTCACAGGCATTCATCAGGCTCCGACAGGTAAAGAAGCGGTGAAGAAGGCAAGGATCGTTTCTGCGAGGAGGATAATTAGGGAAGTGTTCAGAGAGAGAACGACCTCCATCGCATGGAACCAAGACACGTTCCTGATTCCTGGTGCGCAACTTGTACATTTGGGCTTGAGGCTGGAAGCCGGAGCTAAAAGATGACGGCGCAGAGGAGAGCAGGCTGCGGAGGAGAAGCGACACGGGCTTCAGTCGAGAAACGGAATACACAACTTGAGCGAGACGCTGGCTTGGGGTGATGTTTCCGGATATTGCTGACAGGACCAAAGTTCTAGACTTGTTGATGATGTGCTCGGAATCGCTCGGAGAAATTCGCGCAAGGTAAATCTTACCGTTTAGAAGGGAGAAGGGGTATGCATCATGCAATAGTCAGCGCCCTGTACATACGGCGATTTTATGGCGTGTCAACCACGTGCATTCTTCCAGAAGAAATGTGGTGCGCAAATTTCGCGTCCACTGCTATGGGTCAGGCTTTTTTTCATTTTCTTTCCTAACGAGGCGTATGATCGCCATCTCATACACTGTTATGATCGCTGCAGGCTCTTGGTCGGCCAATATCGGAGACGTGTCGATGGCTCTTTGAAGACCTCTGCATAAATCCCTCACCGCTTGCAGTAATCAAGGCTGTGACCATCGTGGATGACCACATGGAATCATTGTGCTGAGTCTGGCTAGTCAGACATATAAGGGCGAGGTTTACGCACCCAAACCTTCTTCCTCAACAATTCAACGGAGAACCCTATCTAGTTCAGGGATACCCACAAGTCAATTGGCAGGACAAATCTTCCACAATGTTGCTCAGTTACACCTTCGTCGGCTTGTACCTGGCGGCTCAGAGCTTTGCTGTACCTGCTGCGAGCGGCGAGGATGCATCTCTAGAGCGCCGTGTGACGTGAGTTGAGTCAAAATATTCCATCTCAGCATTCTGACACATTGTTTGTACAGTCACTGTGGCGATGCCACATACTATACTCAGGGAGGAAACGCGGGATCCTGTGGCCAAACCAATCCGGTGTGTCTGCCATTCTCATACTACTCGCAAAAGGATCTTGCTGATGTGCGCTTCCTGTTCTTAGGATAGTGCATATATCATCGCTTTGTCCAATTACTGGCAAGACAACGAGTCGCCAGGACCATACTGTGGCCGTAAAATCCAAATTACGAACCAGGGAGGCGGTGACGACAACAATGGACAGGGAAAAGTGGTCGTGGCTACGGTCCAAGATACTTGCCCCTCATGTGACGAAAATCATCTCGGTATTCGTATTCTCTCTCTAACAGTCAGGAATGTGCTTACATTTCCTACTGCTAGACTTGAGCGAGGGAGCTTTTCAGGCCTTGACAGGTGGCAGCCTTGATCCTCCAGGGGAATTCAATATCTGCTGGTAAGGCCTCGTGGCATGTTGATATTCGATTTTGCTGACTGACACTTCTACAAGGCACTTCTGTAACGCAGATGGCTCGTGTTAGGTAATTGCGATCCTCGAAGGCTGCTGCCGCCGCAAGTCAGTGTTGGTAGTGACGGAGTCAAACATGGCACTGCCTAGTCTATTTCCTTAGCACACTCATTGGCCAGGCGAGGGACGCCTCCAAGGTCTGGTCTCCATCCATCAGATAGAAAGTCTAGTACTGCAGCATAAACTATTCCCGCAGCTGTTACCCCGATGAGTGAGACAAAACGGGAGACGCATGTAGACGAAGGAATGTCTGTCGTAACCAGAATTTGAGGGGCTTAGGAGGAGATGAGTCGCGCGCAACAAAAGGGATAATTCTGATAGCTTGAGAGACCTCTAGTAGGAGGTGATCTGAAGTAAGGACATGCTTCTCGTCTACCGGTATGCGAAGTTAACTGCGGGGTATACAAGTATGATTGGAAAAGAGGAACACAAGCCTGGAAGATGCACCGGCAACTCACCTTGCAAAATGCGACCATTCTAGTATCTGATATTTCTTTGAGAGTGGAGGAATGCCTCCCACCAGACTCCGTAGTATCAGGGACTTCCTCGCGGCAAGCATCTAAAGTAGATGAATCGTGGCAAAATGATGGCGAAGGTGAGTGAGGTGGCTGTAAAGTAAAGTAATCGAATCGCATAATTTACGGTACGATATGCCGTTGCTCATCTTCCGGGCTTCATCGCGGGACGGACTCGGGCGGGCTAGTCGGGCCGGCCTGGCGCCAGGTTATTTCTCATGCTCTCATCTCTTCAACTGTTCGACATCCCCACTTCTGAAGCTTCCGGGTGAAATCAGAGAGAAGATCTTCTCCCTCACTGTCGGGCATAAATTGATACATCTTCGGTACTATGAACAACGGAAAGAGTGGTACCTCCCTGCAAGTGGAAGATTCCGTCACACCGTCTGCACGGCCACCACCTCTGAGAATGAAGCCTACGAGGGATTCATGACCGCCCAGACTCGCATCCCTTCCAATGACTCTGCCGAAATCCCTAGCGTTACACTTAGAGCGCGTCACTTCCACTGCCAGTCCCGGGTCATGGAGGACGAACGATATTTTGACGAAGAGCAGATATGCTTGTCCAAACTCGAGACTACGGCAGAGCGGCATAAATGGATGCTCAATCTATCGATCCTCGGGGCATGTCGACAGACGTATGAAGAAGGAAACATACTACTTTGGACCACCAACACCTTTTCGTTCGATCATGGCACGCCGATGACAAGATTTATTGAGGGCCTTCATTCGACGCAGAGGAACGAACTCAGATACTTCATGCCACATTTGACCAGTATAACGAGGATCTCTTGAGCCCTTCTCCTACCATGGCCGATTCCCAGCGAAACGTCTTGGGACCTTTGTCCAGCATGCAAATACTGCCTTTACAGCACGTGACGGTTGTGATCGGTGATGACTTCAGAGATCCGTATTCCCCGCGACTCAGGTGGACAATGGATAAGAAACGAGAAGTGGCAGAGGACCTTCGAAGTAAGCCCCTTGACCCCGATGGTTGCCAGGTCTTCGCAGCAGAATTGCAAGCGAAGGAGGCCCTGCCATAGATAGCACATGCCGTGAACTCCACCCAAAAAAACGCAAGCACGCATGACGAGGTCTACAACGTGAAAATACGAACCTGACCCAAAGTCACCTGACCATATCAAGATTTATCCAACCCAAAAGAAGTGCACAAACATGACCTCAAAACTACTCATCCCTCACTAAAAATCCTCAAACAATCCATCTAATTCCGGGCCGTCCCCATCTAAACCGCCCCCGCTCATGAAAAAAGGTATGGGACAATGTTCCGCCATTCCAACGCCTCTCAGCCCGAATGATGCATGCCTGGAACGGGGGGGCTTAACAGTATCCTTCGTCTCTGACACAAAGCCCGAGCCCTCAAAATCCCCCAACCCAATCCGGTATCCCCACCATAGTCCTGCTCCAAAGTCTCACTGCTGAAAAAACTTAGCGACTGGATGGCGATACTCTTCAATGTGTACGCCGGTATGTAACCTTCGATCGTGTTAACGATGGAGGCGCAGATGAAGATTCCGAACACGTTCGGATGGTGGGTGTCTGACTGTATGGTCACTGTAGACGCCCGAAGTGGATATTCTGGAAAGGTTAGCGTCAAGTGCAGCGAGTCTTGCCCCGCCGGTGACAGGATCAGGCAGGCTTGCGTTAAGCTATCGTCCGTGTTGTGTAACGTAATGTTTGGAGAAGGGTCAACCTGCATCGCCGCAATGTCTCGCAAAAGGCGTTGACTGGAGCGGGAATGCCATGTTTGCCGCTCGAAGTTTTATAGCGAAGATCAACTCGGTGGGCAGTAGTTACAAGGAAAGCCTTGCAGTCACGAGTGCGGACGATTGATGGCTTAGTGAAAGGATTCATAGAGTTGTATTTGAAAGAGTAGTAGTCAGATGATAGCCTAGTGAAAGGATCGAATGATAGAGGTTCGCAAACTGCCGTGAGAGGATGGACAAAGAGATGACGAGGTCAGAAAGGGGAGTATTGGAAACTGGTGCCCGAGAAAATGATAAGAATTGGGTCTCATGTTGTGCTCTTAAATAGAAAATACACAATGAGTAACTAAAAAGTCAAGACTTCAGGCAGGCACGGAAAAGAATCAGAAAAGCCTCTTATAACTCAAAGTAAAGCCAGGTCGAATAGTTGGGGTCCTTCGAGCGACCATTTTTCTCTTCGGAGCAAGCTTCTTCCCAATGAGCTGGATTACCTTTAAAAATGGCTTGAACACGAGTAGATACTCCAGTCTTCCTTCATAGGTAAGTCCGGATTCAATTGCCGTAGCTACAATATGTAGAGATTTGAAGCTACATGCCTTACCAAGCTACTTGAGGTTTCGGGCACATACTGTGTAAGAGCAAGATGCCCGGGGCCCAAATAACTGTTCCCACCATAACAAAGCATCTAGAGGGTATGACGTGTAAGAGTATCCGGCAATCTTGAATTCTGGAGTGTGGTCTGTAGGTTTTATGTCTATAGCGTTAGCGATGGGTCGAAAACTGTCATGCCAAACGGAGACTCGTTTCGACGAAGGCGGTGCATAGCGCTTGCGTCTTAGAATATTTGATGCGAGGATTTCAATGATTCATTACTGGAGGATTCGGATTTTTCTGTTATCTTGCTGTTTGTTGCACAAATCGGCATCTGTCACTCCACATGTCTGTAGATCACCCGTATCTACCGTACCCCTCCCAACTTCATGTCAGCTTCTCTGGCTTGATGGTCCGGAACTCCTGATTGAGCTTCCCGTCGCCGTCACTGACCGTGGCCCTAAATTGAGCGGAATCCTCCGATCTTCTTTGTTCGTAACTTTTCGCGCTTTCTAGAACGTCCTCAGGATCTCTGACGAAGGCGAACTTCCATATACCGGGCGAAGGCATGTGTCGAAAGTCTGTGATCCCGTCGCATATTTTCCCGAGGGACTGATCAGGGACCTTAAGACTAGCCAGCTTGGTCTTTCCGAAACGCTCTTCAACCGGTTGCCATTCAAACGTTAAGAAGAACTCGCATGCTTGTTCACGCGTTGGATGTGTTAACTCGGTTCGACGTAACGACCGGCAGTTCCTGCACGCGGCGCGGAGATGTATCTGCTTCGTAGGCTTTCCAAAGAGATGGACACGGTCTCGTAGGATGAGCGTCTCGAAGGTGGACGCCAAACCCCTACGCAAGCGGCTTGGACCGTGACGGCGAATCAGAGAATGGAAGGAGAACATCAGTGGCGAATCGTACGTTTTACCGCCAGCGAGATAGTGCCGAGGATCTTCATCGTTCACCCAAGGACTGGAGGGGATCTTGAGATTGATTTAGTCGTAGTCTGAAGACTCCCTCCACCAGACCTCGCGCTTCGTGGTGCTACAAGCGTCCTATTTTGAGGCTCTGGAGGCTTTTGAGCTTCGCCAGGACCCTGAAATCCAAGGCCAAGTCAGACCAATGACGCCAAACTCAGCTGCGAGACTCGTCAAAGTAAGAACATCCTTGCTGAAGATACCAGTCATCAGCACGAAGTTCTAGGCGTTTCAAAGTATATATCTGAACAAGTTGGCTCAGCGTTTCCCGGTACAAAGCTCCATCAAAGACACAGCTGGTAAGATTCGGCAAGAGAGGAAGCAATATTGGTATTGCAATCCCCAAAGATAATTGTGATGCTGATGGCTAGTTGCGCAAGGCGTGCGTAAGATCGCCTCTAACGTCGACAAGGAGAGACTCGATGTATGAGCCTATGCGTGCAAGCTTGTTCTCCCTGGCAGCGTGCTTTGCCATGAAGTGGATGTTCCCACCACATTCTGTCAGACCGGGCCACCATCACAGCTCGGGGCTGCCTGCATTTCCATCAATGTCACAAGGAGAAATGTCCAAGTGAGACCATACCCTGGGGCACGAGTACTTGTAGAACACTCGACGAGTAGATGACCAACTGATCTGGGTCGCACGATCCGATGCTTCGATGATGAGGAATATGATATCTTCCGGGGTCTTCGACCAGATTGATGGATCCATGTGTACCGTTCCACCCATGGTAAATCCAGAGACCGGCGGTCCCAGGATGGGTCAGACAACAAATTCTCAGGGAATCTCAGGGAGTCTTGCACTGCTAACGAAGTTGCAGGATGTTTATGAAAATGCAAAACCTGCTAGAGACGGGGAAGAGCTTGGATTCTTGAAGATGAGGGGTTGGTAGACTGGTATTTACAGGAAGTGATAATCAGGTCGGGAAATCGATGCCGGAGCCGGGCGATATTCGGACAATGTCGGCGTCTATAGGTGTCGGGATGACCATTTCGGTCGCTCTCACCTTTTGATGAGATAGCTGACAAAATGTCATAAAAATTCCTTGTAGTATTCATGAGAGCCTCGTATTACAGATTCTCTCAAAAACTTCGCGACTTTCACCTCTGGATCTGAAGGTTTCTCATGGATGTTGCGCTTTCTCCTCGCTTTCAACCACATGTTGAATCCAGATTGCGGGAAAATTATTTCGTGCTGAGATCTCTCGTTCATTTTCCTTTCAACGTCTCTTAGACATAAGAAGGACGCTCTGGATTTTAGGGTCCGCCAGAGCTCCCGAAGCCGCCGTCGTTACCGCAGAAGCCCACTGGAGGGATCTTGGAACCTATACAGTATGTTGCGAGGGCTGAAGGGAAGGCACTTGTTGCTTCTCGGCGTACTCTCAGCTTCCTTTACTGCCACCTCAGATAACAGTGAATGATATTCCTCGTTCTTGACTGCGTGATCCCAGCCCTGTCTCTCGTAGCTCTCAACGTTACTCCCTATTTTCACCACTGCACCGCTTCCGAGATGCTCCTCTTGATCCTCCCCCATCCTGTACTGGCTATTTCAGCATAGCCGACCTCTCCTCCAGGTCCATTTTGACTTCCAGTCTCTGGCTTCTGGTTGGGCATTTGGACTGTCGAACCGGCGATAGATGTAGTAGCCATGCCTAGCCGCTTCTCGTTTTCTTCCCTGCGAATACGCATGCCAGCAGCCGAAAAGCCTATGAATAGGGCGAAGAGAGGGTCGAGTGTCCTGAAACGATGTTGGTAAGCCCGGGTGAAGATTGTCAGGGAAAGGAAACGCATAGGAGAGAGAATTGTGAGGGAAAGCGCAAAAGAATCATTAAATTTAGATAAGAAGTGTAGAAGCGGCGTCTCAAGAGAAAATCATGGCTGTAAGAGATGCTAATGCTGATAGTTCATGGCCTTGGGAAGAAATAGAACGATAATCTCTAAGAACGTACCTCGAGATGATGTAACTGTAACGTGGGAAGGTAGTAGCCATTGCTGGAGATGGACAGGTGAAGGGATGGGCTTCGAAGAGGTTGAAGTGGTCAAATTTGTGTCTCGAGTGCTGGACAATGGTCGTTGGAGAAGCTAAAAGTTGCAAAGTGGACATACGAGCAGAAATTCCAGGCTTAGCTCAACAGCTTTAATTCAACTACTCGGAAGCACATTGTTTTCACTGTGATTTATAATTCCCGCAAGCTGGGTTGGGGCGTTCTATGGAAGCATCTACTTTTGCATATCAAAGGGAGACGATTTATGGAGAATGGCAGCGTTGGAACAGTCACGCATGATCTGCAATGCAGCCTTCGTTTTGGGCTAATATCAGAGACGCATGGTTGGAAGAGTTATTGCAAGAGCAGTTGAGTCCTAGCCAACAAGTATGACAGCTGTCCGTCCAACTTTCAAGGACAGTCTTGAGAGCAATATTGGTAGCACTTCGCCTGTTCCTTGTCCATCACTTTCCAGAGCAGTAGTGATCTTCTTTTAGCAAAAGTCCAATATCTATCCTCCTTTCATCAAGCACGCACAATTCGCATTGAATCACATGTCCATCCGACCGACTATCCCGAACGCCCGTGGCTCCTCATCCGCCGTTGCAAGCGCATCTTTGAAGGTCCATCGTCTAGGCGTCTGAACCGAACGTGTTCTCGCCAGAGTAGGTGATGTACAAGAAGCCATCCTCATCCTAGAAGCATGTTAGCCATCCGACTTGCCCTCAACACTTTCAGGACCATAGGCGGTACATACTTTGTGCTCCTCGTAGATGGAGCTCATGAGCGCAGCAGTGGGTGGCAGGACCTCATCGACGAAGATGAAGATGGCTTTCTCAGGCGAGAGCTTGATGCGCTTGCGGATGACATAGACGAATTGACCAACGGTGAGGTCGGCGGGGACAAGGTATTTCTTCTTGTCGATGGTAGCGATGTCCGATTTCTCCACTTTCTCGCAGATTACCTAGACGCAGACAGCTATGTCAGAATACTGTCTTGTCAAGAACAGGAGCCTTGGAAGGATGTCTAATGACTTACAGGAATACGATCTGCATATTTCTGTCGGATACGCTCAGCTTCAGCCTTGCGCTTCTCGAAAGGGTGCTCGTCCTTGAACTTGGAACGCATATTGACGGTAGATATGGATTTGTGTGATGAGTGTAGTTGTATGAGTACGGAAGTTGATGAAGTTGTGAAAGGGATTTGTAGGTGTGTAGATTGGTGACGGAGGCTCGGAGTGCTGTGTCGACGATTAGGCCCCCGCGATGAGTAAGTCTTAAGGCGGTAACTAGCGTTATCCTTCGCCTGTGACTGTGACACTGGAAAAGGGTCAACACTTATTTACTCTTTGTAAATCACATGCAAAGGTCACTCTTCTCTGTCAGTGACTGACAAGAGGGATGTGTTAAAAAGATAGTCTCAGAAGCTTCTGTCATTCAGGCAGTGTATCTTCCTTGTCTTCCTTGTCTTCCTTGTCAGCATTTCATGATCCTAGTCTTGGCAGGCAAGGCGGGGCGAAGTTCTCAGCCTTATGGTCAAATTAGGAATAGCTCTTCATCAAAAAGAAGCGTCACTGAATTTCTCCGAGTCTCTACAAGCCAATGTACCAACCTCGATCTTGAACAGACAAACTCCGTGCCATCTGAAACGAACTCGTTCAGCCATTTCTCTCACAGCTTTTTGTTTGACAGAGTCTTTCCCCAATGGCTCCCACAAAGACTTGCATGCGATGGGCAGGCAATCCATTCTTGCAAGATGCATTTTCCTGCCGAAAGCCACTAAGGCGTTATTACTCTCGCCCAATTCGCCCATACTCTTCGACCAATCAATCAGCGAAACCACGACCATATATCGATCCACCTAAGCGCAAACCGCTGGTGGGAACGAAATCCAAGGCAACACCAGCAAACCCATCCTCCATACCTAGCAATTCACCCAACGCGAACCCCAAATCGGGAGGAGTTGCTGCTCCCTACTGGCGTATATCGCTCGGCGTCGTCCTCTGCGGCTCCCTAATCTACTCCATGGTACCTTTGCTTCCTCCCAACTCATTTCGAAAGCTCACCTACATGCATGCCAGTTCTCCTCCCCCCTACAACTCGAACCCCCCTCCATCGCAGACCGAGACACCCTCGTGAAGCGCGAATCAGGCGTAACGCCCTCCTCGCCCATGCGTCTCCGCATGGAAGAGTTCCTCAAAGCTCAGCAGAAGGAGATCGTCTCAACTCTCGAAACTCTGGACCCTTCGAAGAAGAAGTTCCGCACAGATACCTGGACGCGGCCGAATGGTGGTGGTGGAACCTCGTGCGTGCTTCAAGATGGTACCGTCTTTGAAAAAGCGGGCGTCAATACAAGCATAGTCTACGGCACCCTTCCTCGCCCAGCCATCGAGAAGATGCGCGTGAACCACAAAGCCTTAGACCCAGACGTCAAAAGTCTCGAATTCTTCGCAGCAGGTCTCAGCTGTGTTTTGCACCCTCAGAACCCCAATGCGCCAACCGTGCACTTCAACTACCGCTACTTCGAAACCATGGACGCGGAAGGCAACTGCAACGCCTGGTGGTTTGGTGGCGGCACGGATCTTACACCTTCATACCTATTCGACGAAGACGCTATACACTTCCACCGCACGATCAAAGAGGCATGCGATAAGCACGATCGAGGCTACTATCCGCGCTTCAAGCAATGGTGCGATAAATACTTCTACATTCCCCACCGAGGCGAATCTCGCGGGATCGGAGGTATATTCTTTGACGACTTGGACGAAGAAGAAAAGGAGCAGGAACAACTCTTCTCATTCGTCAAGGATTGCTCGACCGCTTTCCTGCCCTCCTACCTCCCCCTCATCGAAAAGCGAAAAGACATGCCCTTTACAGAAAGAGAAAAGGAATGGCAGCAGCTGAGAAGGGGACGATATGTCGAGTTCAACCTCGTCCACGACAGAGGCACGAGTTTCGGCCTGAACACGCCTGGCGCGAGGGTTGAGAGTATCCTGATGAGTCTGCCGTTGACGGCGAGGTGGATGTACATGCATGACGCGGACAAAGGCAGCAGAGAGGAGAGGTTGGCGAAAGTGCTAAGGGAGCCGAGGGACTGGGTGTAGACGGAGCCTAAGGAAGGTATATAGATCTCGGCTTCATAGCTGCTCCAGAAATCTCAACTAGAGTAATGGAAGACCTTCTTCGCGATGTTTCTTTCGGCCATCATCTCAAACAATCCAAACCCCCACTGCCCAACCAATCCCTCCAACGCGAACCTACGCGAGCCATCCAGAATTTCATCCTCAACAAACACATCACCGCACCAGTACCGCCAGATTCAAATCCCTGCACCCACCGTCCTGTTGCGCGATCGCCGTACGTAAAAAACCCGCGCGCGCAGTGACCACGTTTCCCCGTTCCGAGTGCGTGCACGCAATCCATAGATCGAGACGTACCTCATGAACCGCGCCTGCGCGGCCAGATCTCGCACCCGATGTGACAGCCACCACGGATCGGTGGTAGAGACGGAGTGTGTGGTATGAGTATGTGAGGGAATGGATGGGTGAGTGAGGGATGGATGAGCGTTTTGGCCGGTTTCTTTGCGTTGTCGATGGGGTAGGATAGAGAGAGAGAGAAGAAGGAGGAGGAGGAGGAGGAGGAGGAGGAGGAGAAGAAGAAGAAGGAGAGGAAGAAGAAGAGGAAGGAGAAGAAGAAGAAGAAGAAGAAGAAGAGGGAGAAGAAGAAGAGGGAAGAACAAACAAACGTCGAGGCTGCGGCGAGATTCTCGCTCTTTGTCGGTGAGGAGAGAGGGATAGGGTAGGTAGTACGATATTCTAACAGGATGGAGTAGGGAAGAGGGGGGGGGAAACACCCTACCAACTCCGGACGAAACGCCGGCCAGGCCTCTCTGAATGCCCATCTCGTTGACCGCGACAGCGGCCGCCCAGACCCCGAGCCAAGATGCCATGTCGAACTCTCGGTCCACCGGTGCCGTGCAGGTGTACGGAGGCGTTTGGAATCGTCTCAGCTGTTGTTCCGTAGGTTTGATGGCGCGGACACTCGGAGATATTTGGTAGATAGGATAGACAGACAGAAAAATGCAGCACTGACCTATCACAACCCCCCCTTTCCGCCATCGTGGAACCTGCACGGATTTCCGACGAGATGGGGGATATTGCCGAACGAAGCAAAATGCGTGAATTGGGCGAGTGGCAGTTGTGCCTGACAGCTCGGTGCGATCGCCTTCGTCTTGGTACTATGACTTAGGCATGCACGATACATCCGGCCGGTAAGACTGGACCTGGATGACAGGCCAGCAAATCGACAGCGGAGGATGCAGTAGTCAAAGCAGTCCACGGTCTCATCCATGGGAAAAAACCCCGTCCTACCCACCCACCCAACCCTCCACTCAAGCCACCGACCGGCCGTAGCCGCGTGCTCTCGCCGCGCAACACGCATTCGTCTCAGACGTGTTCGGCATCCGTCGAGGATGCAGCGTCCTTTGCCGCATCGCCAGTAGCGCGTGCGGCAACTCCGATGGCGCACAGAGCGACGAAACGTCGGTATCAGAACTCCCGCACCGTGACCCCGAGAACCGGAGCGTTGACCTTGCCGCGCAGGAGCCGATGTGGAAAGCGGGCCCTCACAGGTGCCTTTCATCCGACTACCGTAGGTGATGGACTCGGAATCGGTCGGGATGCTCTTCCAAGCGTCTAGACGGCTTTCCTTGTTCAAGCCGGACCCGTAGATGCGGCCATGGCGAAGGACAAGCGTCGTTGGTAGCGTTGGTGAATTGTACATGAGGAGTTGCGCTGGGCGTATTGAGGGTCGCGAGAGTGCTTGAAGCTGTCGAAGGCCGGATTGGAAAAATTGATAGCTGGATCTGGAGACAGAGGGGCTAGTCCGTGAGCGACTGCGAAGAAGATGAAGAAAAACAAGTGTCGGCTTGTGAAAGACATCAGGATATTCCATAGCGTCATGCAATATCAGGATTGTGGTCGGAGCATTCAAAAAAAAATAGCTCTCAAGAGACTGCATTCCGTGTGGTTTTGCAGCAGTGGCAGGCGACGATTTAGTGGTCAGCCACATATGAAAGGAATATGGCATGGATGACGCTTATAGCGATGATTGATACGACGAAGCGGAGCGGAAACGAAGCCCGAATGCTCGTCAGACATGAGAGAAGAGCGACCCATTGTATCCATCACAATGGGCTGACTGTCTGCGAATACATGCCACCAGTACTTCGTCACAGTGGAACCCATCTTAGCTACGACATAGATAGTGTTCTATTCAATAGTGTTCTTATCAAGCTGCAATACACGATGAACTCACACATATCGTTGAATCCCTGATAGATCTCAAGGTCAGCGTGACAGCAAGTATGGTGGCTAGGAGGTTCCTCGCAGGGTCAAGGTGGGTTGTGACCAGCGATTTGCTAGGAACAACGCTAGTATCCCATGGGCATCGCAAGGGTTTACTTTAGATCCTTGGAGTTGCTTGAAACACCTTTGGTCAATTCTGCTTCTGGTGCTGGCCTTCAAGCTCAGTAATGTAGGTAAGGTACTCGTGCCAAGCCTTCAGTGAAACCCTGCCGACAAGTCCGGAATGGCAAGGACTTCCCATCCAAGACAATGTCTTCCATGCCTGCCTGAAATCAAGGTTGCATCCATGAGGGGGAAGCTAATGATCGTAAAGGAAAAGCCTTCTGTCAGGCATTTCGGTCATATACAGATCTGATGGCAGATACCCTGTTAAAGGATACCAGAATCTGTGACTGGGCAAGTCTCATATCTGATGATCACAGAGGGAATCCTTCGCCGTTGCCGGAGCGGATTTGGGCATGAGACTTTCTCCCTCCGTCTCCCCCCGTCTCCCTTGGATGTATCCTGTTCTCACAGAAAGCCCGTCGCGTACTCACATGGGTAGATTCTCATCTAGCAAACTATTTACCGTCTTGAGGTACGACGATGGCAAAGCATAGATCGTTGCAAGTCTGAAGGCTTCAGAAAGTCCGTTCAAGGCCGCCAATTAGTCCCAGGCTCGCGAAGGTGTCGCCGAAGTAGCTGTGCTGGATACTCCAAGAAGAATTGGTGGCTGAACCGAGTCCTCATAAAGTAAAGCAAAGTCGTGTACTGCCAAAAGGACTCAAGCGACCAAGGTCAATGATTGAAACGCCCTGTGACGAAGTCTTCATCGAACGACCGATATGTAGCCAGCGTAGGTAGGTAGATACTCCGTAGCTCGCATGCTGCATACCCACAGAAATAGCGGCTCGCTCTCATCTGACAGATACGCAATTCCAATCCGACGGCCTCGCCTCAACTCCCCCCCGCAATCGCACTCGCTGTTCCGACGTGGCCGAACCCATCGCGCGCAAACCTGAGGGAGGAGGGTCTTACGTTCGAGACGGACCGGAGAGTTTCAGCTTTGGCGACGTCGCCCTCAGCCAAGGTACAGAGGTCTCGATGTTGGACTTGGGGTTTGGTGCAGACGTTGGACTTGGGGGGGGGGGGGCGGCGGGTGGGCACTGGGAAGGAAGCAACATGGGATGAAAAGGTCCGGGCAGGGTCAAATGATGTATGTTGAGGACAGGTCATGGATCTCAGGTACGTACTGGACCGGGAAGCGAGCGTGTGGGGGGAAGGGAGGAAGGGCGGTTGACTTGGAGGCTTGCCGACTGCATGCATGATGGATGACAGGCATAGACGATAGGGTTCTCGGGCCCTGGCTGATCGGCCCTGGATTGCGATGAGTGCATATGTACATGTGCTTGCGCGACGCGGGATGCTCTGTGGAGATTCATCGATGGGGACTTGGGGAGGGAAGGGAAGGGGACCAAGCGCTAAGAGGGGATCACAGTCTGGGTACAGCATGGGTTTTGAAAGTTTTTTTATTGGTTTGCTTTGCTTGACGATGCACCCAGCACTTCCCCTTTGGCTCCACGCTTGCTCATCGCCTAAAACGCGCCCCACACAACAAATGAAAACTGGTAAATGGTGTTTACAGAAATGTAATTGTATCTCCCCCGCACGATCATCCCTCCCCCCATCAAATGGCTTATGTAAAATGAAGCGAATGTGGTGATTAGATGGCATATCGATATAGCTTGATGACATCCATTCGTGACAAGTTTCCCATCGCTGTGAGAAGAATGCGCACGTTGTCCATATCACCTGCACCTGGTAAGGCGACTGAGGCATTTGGACAACATGGCAGATGTAGAAGAGAGCCCTGCTCCCACCCGGTACAGCGCCGCGCCACGTCGCGAAATATGATGCGAATCCAATGCTTGAAGAATATGGTAAGGGAAAAGCGTGAACGTAGGCGTATATATGATGAGGCTATGCGCCGTGTCGCTTCTTGTGGATTTTGTTGTGAGCATGTTGGTGGAGGTGATCGTGGTCGCGCTTCCGTTGTTGAGAACCGCCAACGTGCTCGGTGACCCAGACGATCGGGGCGGTTTCTGTGACGGTGATGATGACCTCGACCTCATCTTCCACCACCACTGGGCTGGGCGATGGAGATGGTGATGGTGATGGCGATGGTGATGGCGAGGGCGATGGCGAGGGCGAAGGCGAAGGCGAGGGCGATGGCGAGGGAGATGGTGATGGCGACGGTGAAGGCGACGGTGATGGCGAGGGAGATGGGGAAGGTGCGGGGGCAGGGCTCGAGGGTGGCGCCTCCGACTGTTCATGGACAATGGGATTGCCAGGTACTACGACGGGCGACACTGGTGCTGGTGCTGGAGACGAGCTGCCGCTTGAACTCCCACTTCCATATGCACCTGGCTTGTCCCAGCAGATTTCGACCAGCAGATCCGCAGTCTCCGGAGCAGCAGTGGTGGCAGAGTTCTCGGTGGGGGTGTTGTACGCTGCCGCGCAGTCTTCAATGCCTGCAGCGCAGGAAACGCTGACTGAGTTGTCGGAGCTGGTCAACTTGACACCGCCCGCCATGAAGGGATAAGGGATACCGTTGATGTTGGACAAATCGGTGAAGACCTTCTCTGCCCAGCCAACAGTGTACTCGAATTGAGTTATCGGTGGGGGAATGTCAGAGCAGATGGTTGTTTCGAGGGCGATTTTGACCGATGGACCGCCAGATCCATCGGCTTTGGTCTGGTAGGTACAAGGGTCGGAGCTGCTGCCGGCGGGGATGGTCAAGACTGTCTCGCAGGAGTCGACGTCGTGGACATAATGAATGTCTGTACCGCAAGAGTTCTTGATGGTGAAGGTACCAAGACCAGAGGCGAGAGCAAAGAAGCCAGGCATGGCCGCGAGGGCGATTGTCGAGTATTTCATTTTTGCGACCGTGTGTTTGATGCGACTAAAGAATGTTTAGGTATGTGATGATGATGATGATGATGATGAGGAATTGGATTGATAAATTGATAATCTATAATGAAGACGGACGTGCACTTGAAGGAGTGAAAGTGCAAGACTGCTTCAAGCAGTTGGGCGTCGTCGTGGTTGCTGTTCGTTGCTGTCGTCGATAGCGTAAAGGAGTGATGCTAATGAAGAGAAGTTGAAAAGTGCGAGAGAGACGGACGAAATTAACGGGGGAAGGAACAGGGAACCTAAGGAAACAGGAACCCTGTCGAAAAAAGGGGTGGGGGGGGGGAGGTGGATAAAGAGATGTAAATTTAGGGATTAGTGTGCTTTGTTTCCGGACTTTGCTTTCTTTTTCGCAAGCGTTTGAGACGTGATGATTGGCTCAGGGGCTTTGAAAAAGGGAAATTAACATTTCTTTACTCGGTAGCGCCCTTTATCCGGTAATAGGCAGTGTCAGGGGTATTTGATATTATTCCGCTTACATCAGACAATGCGACACTGCGATTTGTTGGACCATGGAACCCGCAGTAGCGTCAGGGCAGAGGAGATGAGACGCCTAATTCTACGCAATGCAATCATAACAATAATAATCATAATCATCATAATCATAATCATCATAATCATAATCATCATAATCATCATAATAATCATAATCATCATGTGCCATCGTTGCGAGTTTCCGTCTGGAATTTCTTACATAACAACGGCCAACTGGATGAGACTTTGGTTATGGATGTCAGAACCAATGGTTTCTCAACGGCTACTCACTCATTAAGGCCGGCGATATCCACATGTTACATGCTCATCTCGTGAACCACATGCGCCAATATGCGCAAGGCTAAATTCCCAAAATGAGGCAATTAAAAGAACCACCGAATGACATGTCATTGCCAGTCAATCTTCTTGTAGGTAGATTCATTGTGCCAGCGATGGCAATAGCCGAGGACTTCCATTTGAGTGTGAGAGAAATGGAATGAAAGTCTTCAATTCGGGCTGTAGTCCCCAAAAGAGACAAGGACCAATGATGTGTATTTTTGCCGCCTGGAGTACCGTATTCGTAGAGGGGATTCCTCCTCTGAAATTGGGGACACCCACCAGACCGGCGGCACTGACAGTAACTCCCGAAGATTTGAGATTGTTGAGTGTTCCCGTCGACAATGTAGCTTGTTGTTCTTAACTTCTTCTTGTTGACGTGCTGAAGAATGCTGGAATGCCGGGCTTCCCCACAGATCGTCTGGGCTCGGGCGGAGGTTATGTGCATGTGCATAGCTGCCTGATGGAGAAATCAGCAATCAACGTTGCACAGTATTTTGGAGGAACTTGGATTGGAACTCCGGAGGGCGAGGACAACTGTGAATTGGCTGTGTACCAAAAAAATTGATGACTAAGCTAAAGCTACGGCGCCCCAGGCGGACCCAAATTGCGCTAGGAGCTCTCTCCACCAACAGCCGGTCCTTCTCTCCGCCCATCGGACCCAGGTTGCAGTATACAGAACCGTGTACGCTTCCTCAGCTCGCCAGATCCTCCTCTGCCTTGGTCAGGCCCCGTCCGCGTCCTTTCAATCCGCAATGGCTCCCATCACAGACGACACGGTTGAAGCTCTTCGAGATACCATCCATAAGCTGGAATCTCGGGTGCAGCAGTTGGAGGCCAAGTTAGGGCATGGTGATGGGTCACCTCCGGCGGGCAGCTCGAAGAAACCCCTTCAATCCGTCCGGATGATTTTAATGGGTCCTCCTGGAGCTGGTACGGGCCCAACCACCCAGAAAGCCTTCTCGCGCTAGAGCTTACGTTTCGTATAGGCAAGGGAACCCAGGCACCGAAGATCCAGGACAAGTACTGTGCCTGCCATTTGGTAGGCTGTCTCAACAATGCCTTGTGTGCGATCCGGCCGTGAATGCTAACGATCTATTCTAGGCAACAGGGGACATGCTGCGATCTCAGGTAGCAAAGAAGACCTCGCTCGGGAGGGAAGCCAAGAAGATAATGGATCAGGGCGGGTTGGTCAGCGATGAGATCATGATCAACATGATAAAAGGTGAATTGGAGAACAACCAAGATTGCAAACAAGGGTAGGGGGGGGTTCGGGAAGCTCTGTAGGCACGTTGGCTAATTCGGCTTCACAGCTTCATACTTGACGGCTTCCCGCGAACAGTCGCACAAGCTGAGCGACTAGATGGCATGCTGACAGCGAAGAGCCAAAAACTTCAACACGCCGTCGAGCTACAAATCGACGATGGCCTTCTGGTCGCCCGGATAACAGGGCGCCTGATTCACCCAGCTTCCGGCCGGTCATATCACAAGATCTTCAATCCGCCAAAAGAGACGATGAAGGATGACGTGACCGGCGAGCCATTGATCCAGAGATCCGATGATAATGCGGATACACTGAAGAAGCGACTTGGGGTCTATCATGACCAGACCTCGCCAGTGGTAGCCTACTACAAGAAAACGGGGATCTGGAAGCCAATCGATGCAAGCCAAGAACCAGGGCAAGTGTGGAAGAGCCTACTGGGGGTCTTTGAGGGGGACAAGTCTTCATCTTCAAGTACGACCGGCAGTCTCCTTAGCAGGATTGGGCTGAAATAGTAGGTCTCACCTCCAAATTCCTCGATCTTTGGCATGCCAAATGAAGGCCATCTGGACCAAAAGCATGTTTGATTGGACTTTTCAACGAAGCCACTGGAAGGATCCTGAGCTTGCAGGGCGGAGGACATGGTTTGTACACCATTTTGTACTGCATACGCATTGTAAACTTGCCAGCTCCTCGAAGGCTTTGTGCAATGGCTTCGAGTTCATACTCCTTATGTTCGCCGTGAAAGAAATGACCATCCTGACTGTATTGACCTGACATGATATGACCCTTATGCTTCTCTATCTCCTATGCTGAAATCTTGCATACCTATGTAAATGATGAATGCAGAGAATCCTGAAGCCACCCTTTGAGCGATAAAGAAGCAGGCCTGGTGGGACACTAGCCTATGACCAAGCCACCGGTCACAGACATCAGCCCGCCCTGTCCCTCAAGTGAACCGGAGACAGAGTTTCCAAACAAGCAACGAATACACTGTCCGGACACCGGCCGGAGATCTAAGTGTGCTACAAAACATATCCCCGTTTCTTTTGGCATATGCGCTTACTATGACTAGTGCGCCGAGCTTTTTGCACAGTCTGCAAAGGTTCACTTCCTCTTGTAATCTCATTATCACAATCACATACCAAGTCATACACCAAGACATCAGCCATTAATTGTTGCTACTGCTTTTGTGTTTGAAACGGGATGCAAGTTGTTTACTTATAAAGCCCTAACGACGGGAGCGTTAATTCAAAATGTAAGCGAGGACCCTGTCGATCATACTGCTTTCCCATCCAAAGTCTGAACACATGAGTGAGAATGGCAAAGTTCACCACCCTCCACTTTCGTGCTACGCACTCTCAAGCTTGATGGGGAAGCTCTGAGCTGAACTCTGTCTTTCTACCAAGCCTTGTTGCGATCTACCTACCTGACATCACTTCCAAGCACGCTACCTCATACTACAACCTCCTCGAGGCCTCACCTCACTTCCGTAGCTGACATTTGGCACCAGGTCTCTTCCCTTTCGCTTGCAGCGTGAGAAACACTGCGAGGAGCTCAGCAAGACCAAGCCCAAATTCCACGAGGCCACTGACATAGAAGAGAACGAGGAGTTCTCCTGGCCAGGTGCGCTAGCTGACGTCTTCGCGCCTCAACACAACAAGCGAGTAGCAGAAAACACCGCCTCCCTTGGCAAGCGCGTGCCTCTTACAGCAGCCGATAAGAAGAAGATTGACAAGGAATCTATCGGTCTTCCAATTCCCCGCACCCTCAAGCTGTTCACGTATAATTGCAGGCCTTTTATCCTTGAAGATACTATCCCTTTGGAAGAGTATCGCGAGAGATACCCTGATCAGCTCGTCCAAATCCGTATCGATATTGGATCCGGCCCCGTCTTTGAGACCCGCCGATCACAGTTGTACTCAGCTCCTGCAGTTCAGCAGCGGACCTCACTGAGCGGAACTACTTTGCATTCGACGACCAAGCAACAAACCTTTGCGGCCCTTCAGGAACTGGCGCCAAGACCTTCCGAGGATTTTCAGACTCGTCAAATTTCTAACAACACTGCCTCTCCAGTAATCCTTCACTCACACCAGAACAACATCAAGCCAGAGCTCCTCCTGAAAATCTACACTTGGCTGGATCACGTCAGCATATCCATAGCGGCTGAGCCAGAATCCTTAGACTCAGTCTCAGATTTAGTCATCGACGAGGAAGTTTGGGAGTTGATTGAGCGAAGCGCCCGTCAGCGGAAGTCCCGTCTTCGCCAAATACCTAACACCATGTCGACCGAAATCAGCAACACTTCCGTCCGTGGAAGCAACAACAATCGCCCCAGTGGGAGCTACCGACGTCCTGGTGAGGGCAACACTCACACAGCTACCAATCTTATCAAAGACCACCCTGGCACATCAGCCCGCGAACCTAAGAACATGCCTTCCGGAAGTCAACTGCCCTCGTGCTGGAACGACGACATGGACGAGTTCATCTGCCACATGGAGGCACAATGCGAGTTCAGCACCAAATCTATCGTCAAGGCGTTGAAGCATAGATTTGCAGGTTTGAGGGAGGTGAGTGCTCCATTCTTCTCGTTCAAGCTCTTGTGGTTGTTGCTGATGACTCACTTAGCATGTGATCCAGGAAGAGGCCATCCAGCGTCGGATCGACACCCTTGACAGTCAGGATAATCCTTACTTCAAGAAAGGAGCGGAGCTGGCTATTGTTCAGGCTGAGGCGAATGGATATGAGGTTCCACCATTCGATCCTGCCAACTATCCTATCATCAATTGGGTATGTTGAGCCTTCTCCAGGCCTTGAGTCTCTGAGATCTGACTCTTGGTGTATAGGAGGTCAAGCCCGACCACATCGTTCTCGGCTCAAGCCCAAGCAAGGAGGTCATGAACCCAGATTACGAGTACAGCCTTCAACCTCGCGTTGCAGGCGGTGTTGACATTGACACCATCAAAATTGGACCTGACACGCCCAAGAAGACCCTCCCTATTCGCACTCGCCAAGAAGCAGATCGTCGCGTCCAGAACGGTAAGTCACCTCTCACTGGTTCATGCCCGTATCCGAAGCACTGAAACACCATTACAGCAGCGACATACTTCAACACCAAGGGCCTGAAGGGTCTTGCAGACATCACCAACATTTCTTCAAGCCGCGACCCGAAGCAGGAACCCAGCAACGAAGGCGGGTTGGCCGACATCACCAACACCATGTACAACGCCCGTATAGCCTCCAACCCTAACCACGACCTCAATGGCAGCATATTGAGCGGTCAAGTATACAGTACACCCACCAAGAACTCCAAGAAAGCAATGTCCGAAACCAGCAACGATACCATCCGAGCCATCAACAACGGGTCCCCCACTCCAACCCGAGGACTCTATCGCTCTGGTCGTGACAACGCCATGTCGAGCTCTACTACAGGCACCAGCATCTTGGGTTTTGGTCGTGAGGGTTTTGGTCGGGAGAATTCTGGTGGCCCTACTATCCTTGAGCGAAGGAGGGCTAGACAGGAGAATCGTGATTCGTCGCTGGTCCATGGTGCTGGTGGTTCGCCAAGGACTCCTTGAAGTATGATTCATACTTTACAGCCAACAAGCATGATCGGAGGACTATTCAATAGAGAACGACGAGGAACGATTGGCGGACGAAATCGATATTCGGCGAGAAAGCTGTGGGAATTGCGATCATCACGTCTCACGGCGTGATATATTGCGACATTCAGAACAGAAGCCCAAGAGCTTTTTCCTTTCCACGTCCGAAAGCCCATCATACGTTTTATGATTCGGCGATAGAGCCATAGGAACTGTGTTATCCCCACGTCCTATGGCCCATCAGGCATTTCAAATTTCGATGATGAAGAAGCCGCGGGAACTGTGTCCCTTCACGTCCCAAGGCTCCTTTTCTGCACATTAGCTAGCGACACCACTCCACTCACGTCAGCCATTTCAGCGGTTCAACGGTACGAAATAGACGGATCAGACAGGCCCATAGCAAACCAAAAATCAAGCATACATAAACAATCCCCAATGGCCCGCAAGCAATCATAGATCCGTATCTCCACACTGCCCCCAAGCCCCTCAGCCACCCCACCCAGCAGCCCACCCAGCCATCTCCTCCCTCCCAACCTCCCTCCCCTCAACCAACCCCCCAGCACCGTCCCACCGCTCCGCCAACACGCAAGCGAGGAGATGCTTGCAAAGCGGCACGTCCTCCCCCAGCATCGATCCGCCCCACGCCGCATCAAGCACCATCCCCTCCCCACCGCACTCCTCATCCCCACCACCCGGACCGCAGCGATGACCAAACGCCGCAAACGCGTACGCCGCGCAGCTGCAACTCCACCCCCGGACCCGGACCTCATAGCCCGTCTCCCCTCCCAAGCCCCCACACCGCGAGCCCCGGCCGGACGACCGGACATGATAGAGTACGCTCCCCCCGCCCCCACCCTCGCTCAATCCCATCCTCTCCGACCCCCGCAATGCGACGTTTCCCCGCGACGACGGCGCGTAGAGCAATTTGGTGACGAGGCGGCGATCGAGCAGGTCGAGGGCGGGCAGGAGGGTGGTGGGGAAGAGGGCGTGGAGGGTCTGGAGGCCGGGGACGGCGCGGGCGGGGAGGGAGGTGGCTGCGTCGTTGGCGGCTGTGGGTTCGGGGGGAGGGAGGCTGGTTAGGAGGGCGGTGAGGAAGGCGCGGGGGGTGGGGAGGGGGGGCGGTGGCATTGGGCGTGCGGGGATTTTGGCGGGGCGGGGTGGGCGGGAGGGAGGAAGGGGGCGTTTCTGGACTGTCGCTATGGATCAGGTGGGTGGGGCTGTTTTACAGGGTTGCTTTGTGGGAGTTGTTCGTATCTTACACTACCATCGGTCTGTCTGGGGCTGTATCTATGACTCTCGCCGGCCAGGTCGACCGATCCTCCGCACTCCGGCCATAGGGCTCTGCGGGACAGATTCTCGTGGGTATTTATAGTCTCTGCTGGTCGCACGCCTTCGTTACTTTTATGACCTCAAGATTTCTTACCCTCTGGTCGGCCTTTTCCGCTGGGCGAAAGAGCACAGGTGTATACGGATCATCGGGATTTCTTCAGTCTGTCGATCTGCCTACGGGGGAATTGGCTTACCTCTGCCTCCTAGCTACTTTACTACTATATTGGTCGGAAATGTGAATATAAAGAATGCTGGTTCCTGAATCTGCGTCGGTCTGACATTGGGAGAGGGAAAAAGCCTGACTTAGTAAGTACTAGTACTTGACAGCGATTGATCAAGCGTGAAAGCGTTTTCTACAGCAAATAGGCCACAGTATCCTGCGATCTCTACTTGACAAATGTGTAATTCTCTTTGGGAAATGGACAGAGCAACGAGACATATTTGAAGAGCAGAAATACCCTTTCACTGCCGAAAGATGGCTTTTCACCTACCCCTATTTTCGTAATCATTGGGAAACTAGAAAATTAGCATTGAGGCTAGCACCCCCCTCACCCAAAATCCTACTATAGACATGCCCACCATATTGTTATTCTCACAACCCTCCCCACACCTCGCTATCGCTAAATATAGCTACTAGTATACGAAATAAGCGGCCCCTTAATAGATTTGATGAGGAGACCGCTTAAATCATCGCCGACGCTATTAAAGAGAGATCTAAACCGAAGAAATCTTCTAAGTTGAAGAAGAAACTCTTTTTACTTATCGATAATCATCTGCAAATCTGAAAAGTTCCTTTCCGCACGATTTCCGCCGGGTCCGCACCATAAGCACGATTTAGCCTATTCAGCAGACTTTGCCTATATCCAACCCTTTCCGCCGGTTCAGCAACTATCTTAACTCTTTCCGCCAGTTCTATCAGTTTAGCAACTTCAAAAATTTTCAGCAACTTAAAAATTTTTGCGTAATGCACTCTAATATACTCTAAGTACTATTCTATATACATATGATATCAATATATATCATTATCAATATACGCATCATTATGCGCTATATCAGAGTATCACCTACGCGACTAATTTCATTAAATCGTCCAATTCCGTAGCCAAATTTGAGTTGGCGTTGATACTCGTCGCCGTAGAACCTTGCCGTCGCAACGTCGATTATTAGAACTTTTCTTTTTTCGTGTGTATTGCTGTTATTCTCGCGGTTAGCAACTTCAAATTGCTAATCTAGCAGAATTTTAATAAAATTTTAGGACAGTTGCTGAACCGGCGGAATTTGGGCGGATTCTAATCAGAGTTACTGATCCGGCGGATTTTGTGATTTCCGCGACACACGCGCGATCAGCAATTTCAAATTTTGCAGGAACTTTTTAGATTTGCAGATGACCCTAATATAATCGATATTAGCCCTTCTTCTATTATCTAATTTCAACCTATTAACCCTTCTATAAAATTACTAGCTTATTCGATTAATATGAGTATTCTATAGAAAGAGAAGAAGATACGCGCCCGTTTTATTATCTCTAAAAAATTCGATTTCTATAAGTTTAATTTGAAGGCTATTTAAGAGGTTAAATAAAAAGCGAAAAAGAAAGACTATAGAGTAATCCTTTAGAGCGCTATTGCTACGCTCTTATTTTTAAAAAATATTAAGACTATAAATAATTAATACGGTGATATTACTAAGTAAGAGAATATTAATAATCTAATAAGATAATAATTAGTTAAGAAAAAGAGAAAGGGGATTATTATAAAAATTATATATATCTATAATTCTAAATAAGATTTCTCTAAGTTAGAAATCTTTATTATAAAAGAGTTTTTTTTAAAGAAGTAGAAAAAAAGTAGAATTATCGACTAGAATATCTCTTTAGATAACTTCGATATTATATTAGATGATTTTAAATTATTTAAATTTAATAAAAAAAAGAAGAAGAAGAAGAAGATACCTCGATTTAATAGTACTATCGCTAAATAAATTTAGTATATAAAGAAGGCGAAGAAATTAAATAGAAAGCTTAAATCTAAAGGTTATAAGATTATAAAGCTATAGCTATATAATAAACTCGATTATTAAGAAAGATCGTATTACTACTAGTAATTAAACGATTTTAAAAATTTATATTATCTATTTACTAGCGATTAAATTATTAGATAAAATAAGGCTATAAAAAAGAAATCTAATATTATTATTATAAATCCGTCTATAAGAATATAAGAGCGATTAAGAACTTAATAAAATTGAGTTAAATAGATAAAGGCTATTAATAAAGAAGTTAAGTCGACTAAGAAGAAAGTCTATATAATTATTAATACCCTTACTTCTACTTCTATTTCTATATTAATTAATATATTATTTAATAGATTAGATATCTTATTCTCGCTAACGTAAGATCTTTAATAATAGTAGTATAATTTATATTAATAGTAGTAATTTTAGCAGTAGTAATATTAGAGTTATTCACTCTATTAGCCTATACTTTAATAATCTTAAATCTTTCTCTTATAATAATACGCGTATACTTAGACTTAATTTATTTAGCCTCGCTTACTTAATCTAATTAAGCTATTATCTTATTTAGATATAGTTAATTAATCGTTCTTTAAAGCGCTTTAGCTATTAAGTAGTTCGATTTAAATAGAGAATAATATAGATAAACTGCGGAGGGCTTATTTTATCTAATAAATTTAGAGAAATCTTAGTAAAGAAGCGATCTTTATAGACGCTCTAAAAAAGATTAAAGTAGAGTTCTATATACTAAAGTAAATACGTTATATATCGCTTTCTAATTAAAAAGAGATAGAGGTTTTAAGAGAAATAATTATACGATTAAGAGATAAAATAAAGAACTTTATAAAAGTGCTACGGTTTTATACTATTATCTCTATAGAGAGAGCTAGTTATTAGCTATATACTTTTTTAAATACTCTTATTAAAGCTATTCTATTAAAAAATAAGATTATAAATAGAAGTAGTAAGAAGGTAGATAAGAAGGAGAACGAGGATAAGGAGGCCTAAATAGCTATATATCGAAATTTGAAAAATAAGATTTAATAATTAATAATTAGCGCCGGCCTCGTAAAAGTTATAAGAATCTTAAATATTTAATATATTTGAAATTAATTAATTATTATATAGTTCAAATTATTTAAATAATATAAAATTATAAGTTAAATATACGCTATAAGTTAATAAAAAAATTAAGAGAATCGATAGTATTTTAATATAGTAACGTTAGTTAAAAGAATTTCTTTTTTAAACTACGCTAAGATAAGACTTAAAACTCTATTCTTTAGATTTTCTCACTACTCGAATAATAGTTCTTATCTTCCTCGAATAACTCTTCTTTCTTCTTCTTATAATCGTTTATTAATATATCGATATAAGCGAAGTAGACTTTAATATAAACTTCTATATTATACGTCTATATAGCTAGCTTTAAGTATTATCTAAATAATATACCCTTCGCTAGCTTAAAATACCTCTTTAATTAAGTCTTAAAAATCGAAAAGAACTCTTTAATAAAATTAAAGTTCGGTGAATAAAGGGGTAAATATAAGAGTATAACGTTTTTATTTTTATATATTTATCTAATACTAGCGGTATAATATATAGAGTAATTATTTATAACGATAATCGATTTTAAATTAGAAAATGAATTATATCGAGAGAGAACTTCGTTTCTAAGAAATTACTTAAAATAAATATTATTAATATTATTTTAATAAATATAATAATAAAGAATTTTATCTAAGTAGTATATTAGTAAGATACTATAACGCTTAGAATATTTAATTAAGATCTAAATCGTAGATCGAATTCCGAAGGCTATATAGCCTCGCTTTCTCTATATTATATACTTATTAATAACGCTCTTATCTAAAAAGATAAGTATATTATAAATAAATTTACTAATTTTTAGAAAGTAATAATTATAATAGATTTATAAGCGTTTTAAGATCTTATAACGAAGACTCTTTTTACTAATCTTTATAAAGCGTAAAATCTTTAAGATCGTAAATACGCTTATTATTAGAACTAGCATAGATGCGATATTAGTATAAGTGAGATAGAACGAGAATAATAAGACTATCGAACTATGTATGTGGGAAGGAGATATAATATAATAGAGGATACCTTCGTTAAGGCTCGCTAGCCATAGAGCTAAGTAATGTATTAAGAGTACGCTCGTAATAGTACTCCTCTCTCTTAAATAGCCATAACCTTCATGGCTGATAGATCGGAGATATAGGCCTATTACTTATCTTATATCTTTAAATATTCATAGTCGATATAGGCCTTAGCTGAAGATAATTAAGATCTCGAAAATATAGCTATATCTTACTTACGTATTGATAAGATTCTTTAAATTCTTCTCCCGTCTAGTCTACTTGCCGTAGGCCTTCGAAAGAAGTAAATAATTTTATCATATATATATGTTTTGTGCTCACTGAAAATCCATAAAAATAAAGAACTTTTAATATTAGTATACTAGGTTAAATTAATATCTTTCTTTAACGGCGACGGCGATAATAATATTACGTTCCGGCGATTCCGCTAGCGCGTTATCTTACACTTTATTATAGCGTTAAAAAACTTTTAATTTAATAAGAATTCATAAAGAATTGAATAAATAATAATCGAAAAATAATTTGCCATACGATGGTTACCTAATTTCATATTTATAATAGAGAAGAAATCGATGAAATAATGCAATTTGATTAATTAAGGTCTTTCGAATCGAATCGAGTCGTAAGCGCTAAAACTCTAATTTAATATTAAGTGAGTTTCTTCATAGAATATCATATAGACGATATCGATAGAGGCTATCGACGGCGATAGTAAGATCCATAGATAACGCACTATGGCTTCGAAAGCTTTTTAGACATATAATAATAAGAGAAGTCTACTTAATAGGTTTAATATAAGGCTATTAATAAGCAATATAAGTCTAGAAAATCGATTTCCTAGCTATAAAAAAAGGAGGCTATTCTAACATCGAATAATTTTAATTCGTTTAAAAATACGATATCTAAAGTATTGCCGGGTCGCTCATAGAAAGCCCTAGCAACTAAGCTCGTATACTTCATCGACATTCATATCGGGTTCGAAGTATTTATTATGCTTTTATACATAAGCCCAGTTCTCATTTATAAGATCCTCTATCTTAGTAAGACTTAAACCCTCTATATTAAAAGTAAGGCGAGTTATAATCGAGTATTTACTCTTCTTTACGTTAGCCTCGGCCTTTACTTTTACATATTACTCCGCGAATCTTTAAGCCTTCTTTTCGGCGAATTCCTTAGCAGATTATTAATATTAAAGCTATATTCTCATAATACGTTTCTTTAATTTAGATATAGTTTAATCCCTTGCTAATAGATTCATTAAGTTACATAAACGGAGTTTCGATTTCTTTCGTATATCGTTTATCAGACTATTATTTCTAAAATTATATTTAATATATTTAATAAGATTATCGTAGAATTTAAGAAATAATTAACTTTCTTAACTTATTTTATCGTAAGTATATTAATAGGTTATCTTAAGAATAAATAAGAGTATCTTATATACGTTACTTAAATAATCTAGAAGATTATCGACTATAGAGTATAAGCGATATCGTTATCTAATAAATACGTGCTAACTAACTTCTCCTTTAAGTCTCGCTATAATATAGATAATTTTAAAAGCATTAATAGAGAAATAATCATTATTATAGATAAGCTTATCTCGAATTCTCATTTTCTAATTATTAAATAATATTAAATTAGTGTTTATAAAGATAGATAAATCTAATAGCCTTGAACTGAGTGGCTATCTAGTTTGTGATTATCGATTTACTTTAAATATCTTAAAATCTTATAGAGTAAGTAGTAATAAAGATAGAGGCGGAGGCGGAGTAGAGATATTAGGCGAGTTTTAATCTTATATCTTACTCGAAACTCTATAATATCGCTAATATAGGTCCTTAGTAGATAGAGATCGCTACACACGTGGTATATAAAGTTATAGCGAATTTAAAGGCGAATATCTCGTATATAAGTTTTCGTAAGTAAGATAGAGCTAACTACGATATATAGGAGATCGTAGCCTAGAGAGAGTATTCTTATATCGACGATATAAAGAGCGATATCTTAGTATTAATATAGGTGAATTTAAAGAATTTATAATATATTAAATATAGATAAGAACGAAGCGAAGAAGATAGGCGTAAAAATGGCGATTTTAGCTAAGTTTTCTTATAAAGATTTATTATAATATCGAATAGTATCTTAATCGAGTAAAATAGAGAGATCTCTAAAACTCCGATACTGTGAAAATATACGCGAGTTGAGAAAGGTAATAGATCTCTATATTAAGTGTTGAAATTTTATTTCTTCGCGGGGGTCTATAACACTCGTTTCTTAATTAATTAAGTTGTCGTAAAGACTATAAATACTCTAAATAGTATTCTTTCGAATAGTAGAAAGTTCGCCGAGGATCTATTAATTGATAATAAACTTTTTATAAAAAATGAAGCGGAGAAGGATTTCTTATATTCGATGTAGGGGAGTCGGTTTTTGATAAATTAGACTACCGTTGATGGTGTAGGTTATTTAATATAGATTATTTAATATAGATTCTTTCGAATAATAATAGAGTATCTATATAGTAGAAATACTCAGCGTTTTCTTTATCAGGCTCGATCGCTTACTTTAAGTAGAAAGTGAAAAAAATTCATTAATTCTCTTCGCCGGGCCGAGGGGGGTACGAAGGAGCCTTATTATAATATCAGAACCAGCATAGATGTGATACCAGTATAGGTGAGGTAGAACGAGGATAATAAGGCTACCGAACTATGTAGGTGGGAAGGAGGCATGATATAGTAGGAGATGCCTCCGCCAAGCCACTAGGCCATAGGGCTGAGTGGTGTGTCAAGGGTACGCTCGTAACACTACCCCCCCCTCTCAAATAGCCATGGCCCCCATGGCTGGTAGACCGGAGATGCACGCCCATTGCTTGCCCTGTGTCTCCAAACATCCATAGTCCGTGTAGGCCTCGACCGGAGACGATTTGCCGAGGTGTAGTGGTAGTAGTCGAAAACATCGGATCGCATGCTGGTCTTGACTGTGCTATCCATACCTGCCATACCCAAATTGTTCTACAGAGATCCTGGAGATGTAGCCATATCTTGCCTGCGTACCAGCAAGATTCTCCGAGTTCTTCTCCTTGCCCAGTCTTCTTGCCATCATCCTTCGGTAGAATTGAAGAAAATCCAACGCATGCATTCACCTCCAACACCTTTTGGCAGCCTGGCCTGGGAGCTTCACTGTAGATTTGCCCTGTGTCTCCCATGCTCTTGCCATCAAAAATCCATTCTCCGCTTCATTTCCTTTATCTCAACTCATAGCCATCTTGCTTCGTAGTGCTATCCATTGCATCCATCCGCCTTGTAAGCCTACCGCTTCGACTGCCGGTACCCCGTAGGCCTACCCGTCCTAAGCTGCCATAGCGAGTACTCAGCAGCCAATGACCTGACTGACATAGACCACTTCCGTAAACTCATGCACTTGTCGATTCGTAGGTGTGATAAAGAGGTAGGTGATAAGAATCGAATGTGTTGAATGCCATTTGGTAGCAGGCTCACTATGTGTGTTGTCGACATGCTCAGTGAAGAGGTCGAATCGTAGTCGTTTCGGGGCTGTTCCCGTCGCCATTGTAGCAGGCTCACTATGGTGTGGGGGGGTTTGTGACGATTTCTTTCTACTATCAATTCGCTAGTCGTACGAATGGTCCCTGTGCCTTATTTATCCCTCGCCCACAGTTTTGGCGAGGCCGTTCCGCTGTCACACTGTGCTCTTTGGAATCGAGTTACCCGTCTGGTGGGCTTACCCAGGGATACGATGGCTCAACTTGGTTTCTTGCCAAAGCCCCTGCCAGCGCATTTCTTTGAATTCGTCCGCTAATTCGAATGGAGTGTGTCCGATTGCATTTCTCTTCGCCGGGTATACGAAGGAGCCTTATTATAATGTCAGGACCAGCATAGGTGCGATACCAGTATGGGTGAGGTAGATCAAGGATAATAAGGCTACCGAACTATGTATGTAGGAAGGAGGCATGATATAGTAGGAGATGCCTCCGCCAAGGCCCGCTAGCCATAGGGCTGAGGGCTGAGTGGTGTGTCAAGGGTACGCTCGTAACACTACCCCCCCCTCTCAATAGCCATGGCCCCCATGGCTGGTAGACCGGAGATGCACGCCCATTGCTTGCCCTGTGTCTCCAAACATCCATAGTCCGTGTAGGCCTCGACCGGAGACGATTTGCCGAGGTGTAGCGGTAGCAGTCGAAAACATCGGATGATTTTTTTTTTGCCGGATCGCATGCTGGTCTTGACTGTGCCATACCTGCATTATCCTTCAGAGATCCTGGAGATATTGGCCATATCTTGCCTGCGTGCCAGCAAGATTCTCCGAGTTCTTCTCCTTGCCCAGTCTGCTTGCCATAGTCCTCCATTTTTTTTTTGCCTTCAACACCTACTGGCAGCCTGGCCTGGGAGCTTCACTGTAGATTTGCCCTATGTCTCCCATGCTCTTGCCATCAAGTCCATCAATAGAATTAAAGAAAATCCAACGCATACATTCACCTCCAACACCTTTTGGCAGCCTGGCCTGGGAGCTTCACTGTAGATTTGCCCTATATCTCCCATGCTCTTACTATCAAGTCCATTCTACATTCCATCCTTTATCTCAACTCTATCGATTCATAGATGTAGTAAAAAGATAGGTAATAAGAATTGAATATATTGAATGCCATTTGATAGCAGGCTTACTATATAAATACCGCATATGCTCTTATAGTAGGCTTACTATATATATTGTCGATATACTTAGTAAAGAGATCGAATCGTAATCGTTTTAAGGCTATTCCCGTCGCCATTATAGTAGGCTTACTATATGTATTATCGATATACTTAGTAAAGAGATTGAACGTTTACTGCTATTGTAGTAGACTTACTATATATGGGGTTTATAATAATTTCTTTCTATTATTAATTCGCTAGTCGTATGAATAATCTCTATATCTTATTTATTCCTCGCCTACTATTTTAGCGAGGCCGTTTCGCTATTTTATAAGACTCTTTAAAATCGAGTTACCCGTATAGTGGGCTTATCTAGAAATACGATGTCTCATCCATTTAAGGCGTCTTGACAAAGCTTCTATCAACGTATTTCTTTAAATTCGTCCGCTAATCCGAATAGAGTATGCCTGAATTACATTTCTCTTCGCCGAAGAGTATAAAGAAGTCTTATTATAATGTTAGAACTAGCATAAATACGATACTAGTATAGGTGAGATAGAATGAGGATAATAAGGCTATCGAACTATGTATGTGAAAAGGAGATATAATATGATAGGGAATACCTCCGCCAAGGCCCGCTAGCTATAGGGCTGAGTAATGTATTAAGGATACGCTCGTAATACTTATAATAAGATCGAATTAATCGAAAAGTTTATATTATATCTTATTTAAATATAATTACGACTTACTCTCGATAAAGGTTCTTAATTTAATTCTTACTACTTAAGATATCTTAAATAATCGCTCTCTCTTAGTTATAATAAACGCTATATAAATATTAAAGGCGAGAATATTATCGATAATATGATATACGATACTCTTTTTAATATCTTTAATAAAAGTAATAGAGATAATAATAAGTCTATTAACGATATAATATTAAATGCGATTCTTATAGACATCGGATAGTAGAGGAAACGATATTTTAGAGGCCTTCTATATATTAATAGAAGGCTCGATAAAAGAAATATTAAGAATTCTATATTAGCGAGTAATTCTAGTTTTAATTTAACGATAGCGAGGTATAAGGAGAGTTATAAGAATGATAATATGGTGGGCATGTCTATAGTAGGATTTTGGGTGAGGGGGGTGCTAGCCTCAATGCTAATTTTCTAGTTTCCCAATGATTACGAAAATAGGGGTAAGGAACAAGAAATTTCTGGAGGAGTGAAGGAACTTTCTGCTCCCGAAAACTGGATCGTGGCCCCAATCTGCTACCAAACAGAACGAATCGATTACTCCGGAAAGTATTTACCCTGGGCAGATTTCAGAGTCAGCGTCGCTGTTTTGAAGTAAAAATCCGAGGAATGAGATAAGTTTGGAGAGCAGAAAGAACCCTTCGCTGTCGGAACATGGCGTTTCACCCAAGTAAAAAGACAGTGCTGGGAGGTGAAGAAGCTTTCTTCTCCCGAAAAGATGGCCTGTGGCCCCGATTTGCTACCAAACAGGAAAGATTTTCTCGAACAGTACCACCGTTCTGCTTTTCCCGACTCTTTCTGCGTTGATACTATGGCTTCGAAGGCTAGCAGAAGGTCAAGGGACACGTTCCTTTGCTTGTTACGAACGTGTGAGGGTGCCCAAACCGCTTGTTCAAGGATTTGTACTCCCGTCTGGTTTCCATTTCTTCTGATACAGGCTGCGAAGTATGCTTTATGTTCATTCAAGCACGCGCAACGTCGCCCAGCTATTCCCTGGACCGGATATCCTCGTGACGGCCCTTGTTCGTTTTGCCAGTTGGGGCGAGTCTAAATCTGGGGGAAAAATGAAGGGAAGGGCCGTCATTCCTTCCGATGAGGAGCTTAACCTGTCTCCGTATACTCGTGAAGTCTTTGCTCTCCAGTATCGCCTACTGTCTGTGGTTCAGCACCGCGGCACCAGAGCGTATTGGTCACTAGACGACCATAGCTAACTAGCATCATCCGCGATGTGGACCAATCTATTCTGCGGGATAGATGAGGCTGCAGTTACGCCATATATCTTATTCTGGGCCAGAGTGGACGAGAACGTAGCGGCGGAATCACCAACGGACGATGAAATGGCCTCGACGGATTAGAAGGAGTCTGAAAAGGGGAAGAAAGTACACGGGGAGTGATTCCAACCGCGCTACTTCTTTGGGCTGCTGCCCCTTGACTGAAAGCAATTTTTCCGAGGCACATGCTCGCGACTCGGCAAAGACTGGGGATTCTCCAAGGTTTGAGACCGTTGAGACCAGTTCAGATCCTATATATTTAGCCAACTTAGGGGGTTTTCTCGCTTCTACATTTAGGGTCCAGCACGAGGATCGCATGTCGCCCCGATATAGTATGGGATTGTTCGCAGCGCAAATGGCGGCTTTGGAACACGCCTTTAGCACCTTTCTTCGGCCCAATGACCCCTACAGCCATTGTATTGCTTCTAGTTTTCTTCGAGTGTTTACTTTCAATTGCGATGGAGCAATTTTCTCGGTATCGTAGAGAAAGACCATGGCTAGCCAACGATCGCTACCTGACATTAAAATGTTCTCTCCTCCGAGCTCTAGCACTACGATTATGCACAACCCTCTACGGCAGCCCCAACCATGCATCCTGCGAGTATTTATCGCACGGCGATGGCCTGTCCAGTGGCTACACCGGCATCGGAAGTACCGACCGAAAAGACCATCTCTTCGCACGACCTCTGACCTGGCGACCGCCAGACATCACCAGTGTACAGTGGGACAACAGAGTGGCCCTGCCGATCATTCGATTAAACGCTAAGTTGATCCAACGATGCCTCCACGGCCCCTACTGAGGCCAGCCCCAAGTCTTTTGCAAATTAGCCCTACTGCCTCTACGGGACAATTTCCAGCGACCCAAGCCACTACCTCGATTCCGCCCGCACGGGCGACATGATCCAAAGAGCTTGTGTCTCAGCCCTGGCGGAGGCCACTCCCGCTCCGGCGACAACAACAACCGCCTCCTGTCCGTCCTCTACGCGCGCGACTCCGACATCGACAACAGAGTCCGCCGGCAGATCGCCCATCTGTGGACTCGAAACCGCAGACGGCGACATCGTCCCCGGCGCCAGGAGTGAATGGGCCGGTGTCGATGATACGGCCTCTTCGACGGGATCTGCCGGAGCTGGGCAACGGTGCGCCGAATGGTCCGGAGTGCGGGCGCTATTGTTGGGGCCCCGGCGGGCCTTGCGATGGGGCGGGCGGATGCTGGGCATTGCTGATTGCGTGGCAGGGGGTTGGGAGTGCTTTTTTTTACCGGGAGGTGTAAAGTGCCGTATCGGTCATCTGATCTGCTTTCTTCTGGGCAGGAAGGGCGGGAGCTGGTGGCAGCTGCTGCAAGCAGGGTTCCGAATTCGACGAATAATGTCTCCGTCGGCAACGATTCGATGACTGAGGGTGCTTCGACAGCCGACTTGGCGTGTCCGTGTAACTGTACCTATGTATCCAGAGCATGCTGTAGGTCAGCAACGGGCACTGTGCACGAAGCGCCGGCGTCGAAGCTGGGGATACTAGAAGCGCCGAATTCGAGTCTCGTTTGTGATGGTACGACGGGTCGGTTCCGGTCGAATTGGTTGGACAGAGCATTGTTGAGGTTGTAGGGATGTCGGGAACATGTACTTGAGTTTGGACGTTGCTAGGCAACTGTAAATATCCACTTCGCTCTTTTACGGATCCATTGAATTAGTCCACAATGCTATACCAAACCGCAACAACCGCATCGAGATCCACCACATCAGAATACTCCCCATTCAACCCCTTGTCCCCCTGCTATCCCATCCACTGGCAGGGTTCAATAATCCGGAGTTCCCAACCGAACATGAAAAAGTCCCATATCTAACCCATCGCACTTCAACAACAGGAATGCCCACAAGAAAAGATTCGATTTTGCAACTATTCTTCTTAACAAGGTCTAAAACCTTGCAGCTGAAACTTTTATCGTAAAGGCTGTCGCTCCAAAATTATTGTGTTGCGAAAAGAGCCATTTTTGATGTCCTGCCAAGACTTATCGAACCCAAGGCGCCAGTGGATGGGATACGCACGCTGGAGCAATAAGATTGCAAATCCAAAAGACCCGTAAGCCGTCGCGGCGACGTCATCATCGCTGTCGTCAAGCACTCAGCGCGCGGCGCAGTGCATAGCCGCCGTGCAGAGGGATGTGCCGCCGAAGGAGCTTGGAGCCGGCGAAGAAGGGGCCTATCTGACGAACAATTGGTAGTGGAATGGGGCCCTCAGATTAGCGGGTTTGGGATGAGGAAGCAAGCTATCCGAGCCCATTCAGAAATATGTGGCTGTTTGAGTGTTGTAAGCGTCCATCGACAGGCTTGTGTCGAGATGATAAAGCTTGGCGCGTACATGGATGGTCCAAGAAAGCCAGGCAGTTTAGGATGGAGAACTGTTTCAGTAGTGTTATATTGACCCGTCGGATGAGCATGAAACGTGGAAGGAATGGTTCTCTCGTGATCGCCATCACACCACCCTTATTTTTTCCTACCATTAAGCGAAACCCATGATGGGAAGTTTTCAAAGAAAACGAGTCCTGACCCCAAGCACAACCTTTTCAAAGCGATAGGAAATGTATTTGTGCAACCACCTCCTCGGGGTCTAAGCACACCACCATACTCAACTGCTCACGGCTCTTCGCCAAAATCGTCCGTCCCCGCGGATCTTTAGGTGGATCCCGATCGCACCCAGATATATATCCGAAACATGGCCGCGACTATCGATATGAAACCAATCGTGAATTATGTGAAACAGATTGATCCCTTTGGAGTTGAAACACCCCCACAGGACATTCACATCGTCAGGTCTGGAATTTTCAGGATTCGAGTGGATCCAGTAGTGGGTGGATGTATGCTGGTACCCGAACAGAGTAAGTGGCACACGAGGGATAGGATCCTCCGTTGCGGTGACGCCTCTCCATGCTTCTCGCGACGCCGTGATGGACGTGGCAGCATTTACAGGGTTCGAGTTCGGGGACGTGAACTTTGTCCATTTTGTGAAATCTGAGGCCCAGCTTTGCTGGGACTTGGAGCCGCGGAAGAAAAGGACAATGAGCTTGCTACTGTGGGAAATGGCGATGAAACCTGGTGCAATTGGCAGAAATCCTTATTGTTCCTTTTCCGCAGGATCTTTATGTTGTACCGTGGTCATCAAAACGGGCGGTATCCTTCCATTAGATATCGTCATGTACTCCCCCTTTTCCACATCTGGACAACTGCCTGCTGGCACCTTTGAAAAACTATCACCAGAGCACTTCAGCAGACCACCCGTCGAGTTATTATTGCCGGGCAAGTACGAAGCGGCTGCAGAGTGAAAAAGGAAGCGAAAACTGTCCAGTAAGCTTTGGTCTATGCCTCTTTCTTCCGCCGGGTCCTGACAGGTGTGAAACGGAGGAATCCCAGATCGCAGTCTTCCGGGTCATCACCGCAGTGTGTTGTAACTGATACACTGCAAGCGACGACAAAACAGATCAAAAGGAGGAATGGTCTTGTTGCGAAAGAAAGGTACATTATCAGGGGAATCTTCAGAAAGATGAGAAAGGCAAGACCCGTCAATCGTGGTCGCTTTGCAGCGATGTACGTAGCAACGGATTCCTGCAGCCAGTCAAGATGTTGCAAGCAGAAGGCTTTCTTTCCACGCACACAGATGTGTGTAAGGACATTTCGTCATTGCGTGACGATGAGAAGATTAGCGAATGATAACTTGGCTGTACAGGACACTGCGAGTAATTGAAATGTGTACAACCATCGGAAGTAGCCCAGAATTGTTTGATTTAAGTGAAGTAGGCGTCGTGCCGCAACGGGACACAACGATTGGGGGTGTGTTTCTTAATGCAAAACTGGCGAAACATAGCACCATTTGTAAATTTTGCTTCCACCACTTGGAACCTCAGAAACCGCACGGGTCTCACACATACAGCTCCTCTTGAGGGTTCAAAATATATGATCAAGTGGAATGTAGATTTCGAAGAAGGGAATGTGAAAGACAAGGACTCCGCCGGAAGTACGTTCGCGGATGGGCCGTAATATAGTAGGCTTGGAAAGCTATATTGCATGTTGACGTTGGAAGAGTTGGAAGAGGTGGGAAAGCCTGCGAAGCATGTTAATCTTCAACTTGTTTTGATCAGGCGAAGACGGCTGGTAGAGACTGGAAGGAAAGTATAGGTAAGCTGTCAGTCAGACGTGATGGCAGTCTGAGGCGCTACTCTTAGTAGGTTTATAGCCTATGAATCCAAGTCCATTGTAACGAGGATCAGAAGGCAATATCTTATACTGAATCCTTCATGTTTGATCTGTGTTGCTTCATTTTCTTAGCGTCCCACCAAGCAAGACTACTGTCGATCTCCCGCCACTAAGGATCTTCTCGATGAGGATGCCTACAATTTCTGACACCTCGAGATTCGAGGCACGACAACTCGTGCACTGCGCCTCTCATGACCTCTAATGTTCCGAAAGGGAACATCAGACAATACGAAGAGATCCATGTTCACCAAGTCTATGAAGAAATAGCTTCACACTTCTCTTCAACTCGCTACAAGCCGTGGCCAATCGTCGAGCGCTTCCTCAAAGATCTTGCCCCAGGCTCAGTTGGTCTCGACATTGGCTGTGGGAACGGCAAATATTTAGCTGTTAACCCAAACGTCTTCATCGTGGCCTCTGATCGATCTGTCAACCTGGTCAAGATTGCGAGCAAGCATCAGCCTCATAGCTATCTGCTTGCGGATAACCTGACTTTGCCACATCCGCTTGGATTATTCGACTTCGCAATATCAATTGCCGTGGTCCATCACCTGTCCACACCTCAGCGTCGGATTCAAGCAGTGGCTGCTGTTCTCGAATTGCTTCGACGATCTACAGGAGCAGAGATTGGGGGAAGAGCGTTGATATACGTGTGGGCACTCGAACAGAAGCACAGCCGCCGAGGCTGGGACGAAGGTGATGATCAAGATGTCCTGGTACCCTGGGTGATGAAGCAGGGGCCCGAAGAGGGCAAGACTTTCAATCGCTACTATCACCTGTACCGCCAGGGAGAGCTTGAACATGACATTGTCGAAGCTGGAGGCGTGGTTTTGGAGTCTGGGTATGAAAAGGACAACTGGTGGGCGATTGCTGCACCCAAGCCGCCATGAAACGGCACAGGCAGCTTTAAGGTCTCACAGTCGATTTCACGGGATGGATCTTCCGGACGATCTGGGTGCTCAAATCACCATTCTTTCTTATCCTTTTGAACTGCACTGGTGTCTCCGTGCCTGTCTACTGTTGTATAGTTATCAAGAGTCATTTGCCGCAGCCATCAGTGCGCAGATCACACCTGCATTGGGATCGACGCAAGCGGTTAGGCTGAATTCCAAAAGCAGATCCGATCAGTTCCGGCATAGCAGGACTCCAAAAGGGGTCTTTCAATTTTCCAACGGCCAACCACGCTCATCTTGAGTAAGGCCTAAATCCCTCCAAATTCAAAACAGCATGTCGTTCATCAGAGGATAGAAGCAGCCGCATGCAGCATGCAACAATGGAAATTCCTGCTTCGTATACCACCACAATGCCTGGCAAATGGCAAAGAAGCGGAACTCACCTGCATACGATTGCAGAATGCTCGACGGCCGGCCCGCTTCCATGCATAATCGATGGGCAGTCGATAGTAAATTACGCTTTCGCTGATTGGAGACACTCTCACACGGCATTCGGGTCCATGCGTGTGGGAGTTGGGAATGACAACCAGTTAACACTGAGGAGCTTGACGCCCCACTGCCGTGGCAAGACCTCCTGCAACCACGTCTGGAGCATGGCCTGTCTGCCTACGAATATCCCGGGCGAATGTGCTAATACAGAACCAGGCGACCAAGGTACCAAGGTCCCGGGCTCATCTTTTCTACAGCACGTCGTCATCTCGCATACGGCATCGGCCGCAATTCCACTCCTCCATTGTCGGAGATGGGAGGGGGTTTCGAGGTTAAAGGACTGTTCATGCGACTGAGCGACTCATTCCTGCAGGGCAGGAGTTCTTCTGCATTTGCTTGACAGCATGGTCTGCGCCTCAGGCGAACCAACCCGGTTGTTGGTTCAATAACGATTTCCCCTCAATTCGCCTCTTCTGCGAGATTCGTGGGGCCCTGCATGGTGCAGACAATACTCTAACATTATTCCAAATACTTCTGTGGTGCATTGGTTCATGCAAACAAAACCGAGTTCTTGCTCCACTCTTGCCTGCTGCTCTATGCGCCTGATCCCATTGGACCACGACATCCGATACAAGCCAGCTGATCACCTTTAGCCCGTCCAACCACATCCAGTCCCTCAGTTTGGAAATCGGATGTAAAGAGTGTCTTGCGTTAGCCTCTGCAAACTCCAGATAAGGCATATTGTGGGGAGTCAATGTATCATGTATCACGTACCATGCACGTCATTGTCCTCCGACTGCAGATCCAGATAAGGCAGCATCCTTCGCTCGTGCCTCGGAACATTGTGCTCCACGGATGATCTTTTCGGTCTGCAAATCAGGGTTCCTGAGGTTGGCCCTGGTTCTTTGAATTGATCTACAGATCCCTACCATTTCGGGTGTGTAGTCTTTCCGAACTGCAGGGATAAACGGGGTGCGGTTTCGAGCACGCTATCCAGCCGAAGTGGTAGCAACAAGGTGGCGCTGCGTTTGAACCGTGACAGGTAGCCTTAGCGTGATCCCGAGCTCCAACGTCTTGCGGCCGTCGGCAGCTCATTTCCCTTCCCCACCACTCATCTCCGACCTGCAACCCCAGGGCCGCTTTCTCGAAGACTTTGAGACAATGGGTTGTTGTGCATCCAAGAATAGCTCCTGCGAATACCCCCGGAATCCCTCGTGTCGGCCGGGGGTTGCCGCTGCAGCACGCACACCCTTGACTTCGAGCACTGGGCGGCTTCATGCTTGACGAGTGCTGCCTGGACTCGAGCCAATCCCAGAGGCTTCCACGCACCTAGTGACCGTCCGCGCTCAACGGCCGAAGAGATCCACGTCCTGTCGCTCTCACGATCACCTGCCAACCATTTCCGAAACAACGGGATGACATGCATTAGCTACACCCAGGCGAACACTTCCGAGATCTCAGCCTTGCTGAGAGAACCGGATGGCGCTAAGACGACCAATGACGGCTCGCCTTGCAGACAACCCTGAGGTCAAGATTGCACACGACGCATCCCCGCCCGTTTTCAAAATGGATCATAGACAACGGCTTTCAAATGTCTTGCATTTCCCAAGAAGTCCTTTGCCCCTTGCCCATCAAATTGCCGGCAACGGGGTGGCATCTGACAAATACGCCCAACATCAACGTCAATCCCGATTGCCAAAGCTCGGAGCCGTTCACCCAATCAATCACCCGCGGTTCTTGGCGCCCATCGTACCCAGAGCCGCATCCCCCATAATCACCACCCGAGTTCCCAAATGCCGACAAATTTGAAACGACAAGCCACACTGTGCATTAGCTCCAGCAGGCGACCCATTTCTCATGCACGTCATCCCTTGCCGTACACGAGGTGGCGCCGCCTTGTGAAAAAATTTCGACAACCAGCCGTGCTCGTGGTCCAAGTTTCGAGGCTTACGTGATCTTAATGATCCCTTGCCGTGAAGGACAGAAATGAGACACGGCCTCCACTTCAATTTTAGAAGCGCTCGATTCGTCCTAGCGTTTTTCTTTTTTCTTTTCTTTTCTTCTTTTCTTTTTTTGCTCAGGCAGGGCACTCTCAGGGCTGTGTGGGTCGCTGGCAAAGTAAAGTGGAGATGCTGCGGATTGGGAGGATCAACGTATGGGACAAGGAGAGGGAGGTCACAAAGCCATCTATCTGCAGAAGAAACGGGCCCCGTGTGTGCGAAGTGATTGTCCCATCTATTGTAGAGTGTATGGTGTGTTGCCAAGGGGGTGGGGAGGTATCTAGTATACAAATGCCAATGCATGCCATGCCGTTGCCTCTGCGAAAACTCCCCGAAAACAGAACAAAACAAAACAAAAATGATATGCCGAAATGCACGCTTCGTGTGTTTCCTTTTTGTGTACCACACCGCACCGTTTTGTAAAAGTGTCGATTCCCCACCCACGCCAATGCCTCCGTAGAATATCCATCTCCGCCCCCGTAGACGCGTCAATCCCCCAGCCAACCCGGCCAACCATCAACGACTGCGACGGCTGGCCCCCGACCCTCCGGATCCGCCGGACCCCCTCCTGTCATGCTCGTGCTTGACGCGCCGGCCGGGCTCCTCCAGCTTGACGCGCCTGCCCGCCTCGGAGGAAGCGGCGAGGTCGGCGGCGATGGTGCGGTCGAGCTCCGCGACGCCGGGCAACCGGGTCGCGCTGCCCAGCCTGCGCCGCCGCACGCGGGGGCCCTCCTGCCGGCGCTCGTCGTCGTCGTCGTTGTCGTCGTCGTCTTGCTCTTCCTCCTCCTCGTAGCCGGGGAAGCCGTGTCCGGTGCCGATGGCGGGGAGGCTCATGGGGGACGGGATGCCGGCGTAGGGGGGGCCGTGGCCGCCCTGGGCGTTGCCGTTGCCGTTGACGCTGTGGAAGGCGGGAGAGGTGATGGTGGTGATGTCGCGGCCTTCGAAGACGCGGGTGGAGCCACGCATGCGGTCGCGCTGGGCGACTCTGCCGGCACTGGGCGCCGGAGCGGAAGCCGGCTCGGGGCGGCTGGTGGCCATGGGGAAAGGGAGTACGTGGGCACGGCGACACATGTCGGCTTCGCCGAGGGCCCAATGCATAGCTTCACATGCGCGCCAGGGCACGCCGAGCTCGGTTGCGATGGGGTTCCAGAGATCGGACTTGAGTCTGCGAGGAAGATTAGCTGCTTGGTTCGCACGTTTGCGGGTACGGCGAATTTGGTCTTGCCGTTGGTAGAGTTTGGAGAAGAGAGAAGGATCATACCGATCGTAGACTCTCGCCAGCTTGTTGCGTTGCTCCTCGTCCCAGTCGGCTCGCTTTTCGAGGTAGTTTTGGTAGTGCAGTCTGCAGCTGATGGCGCTGCGGCCTGGTATCTCAACGCTGATGTCGTCCCATTTCATGCCACGGCCACGGAGTACGATGATTTTTGCATCTTCGGCTGGCGTCCATTTGCCTCTGTTCTTTCTGGAGGAGTCTGAAGAGTGGCTGCCGCTCGGTGGGGGACGCTTGGCAGATGCTGCAGCTGGATTCAGGCCTGGATTCTGCTGGAACACTGCTTGAGCTGTGTTGGAAAGCGGCGGTGGCGGCTGTGGCGGGAGCTGCTGAGAGCCGTGGGCTGGCTGTCGACCGAAGGGATTTGGTGGAGCCGTACCGGCTGAGTAATGAGACAGAGAGCAGGAAGCTGAGGAAGACGGCCTATGCGAATATTGGGTATGAGGGGAGGTAAAGCTGCTTGATCGTGAGAAGGCAGAGGGTTGTGTCGTCCTGGATCGGGGAGAGGGACTCTCCTCGATGAGATCTCTGATATCCAGCTTGGCGACCGGACTGAGGAGAGGGTTTTGGCAATCGCACATCTGGACGATGGGCTCAGAAGCTTGTTGCAGGATGAAGATGACGCAAGATGGTGAGGCTGTGGTGGTTTTATGAATCAAGCAGAGGGTGTGAAGCCTGGAAAAACTTGAAATGATCGATGTAGTATTATGGTCCCTCCGATGAGATTAGAGTCGGAGATGATCGACCAAGGGGGGATGTATCATTTTAACCATCAAGTGTTACCAATTCCCAGATCATTCAACGTGTCCGATGTGCGCAATCGGCTTGCCATGATGGAGCTTAGACGCGAGTGGGAAGAGCCAATAGGGTTGGTTATAGCGGACCCGCGTCTAGCATTGGGCGGACGTCAATGAAACATCACTCATCGCCTTCAAATCTGAGTGAATGCAGAGATCCGAAGAAGCATCAAGAGCAATGTGCGCGATGTACTTAAACGAGAGCAGGGATGTGTCAAGCAGGTAGCCAGGCCCCACGTTACGAGATCTATCCCCCCGCCCCCCCCCCCTTCTCTCTCTCCCTCTCCCTCTCTCTCGGGGATATTCATCCGGCTATCGTAGCTGCATAGCCTCCTGTTCGCATAACGCCCAAAGGGAAAAGTAAGGTAGCTGCCGGACTTTAGTGCAGCTGGGCTGTAGAAAGTTCGACGCTATGAGAGGAAAAGCGACAGGACGAAGCCTCTGACCTATGTTTGGAAGAGAAAATAGCAAGTGGATTTTTGGCGCGGGGGATGATAGGAGAGACAGGAGGAAGGCGGCGAATGATCTGTCAGCGGAGAGTGATTGGTGGAGGAGGCATGAAACATGCAGATGTCATTCTTAGCATTCTTAGCATTCTTAGGCCCAGCCAAGAATGTCACCAGTCAGCGAAGGGAGAACGAACGGTGATCTGCAGCGTTAGAGTGAGGCTTAGAATTCTTTAAAATGACGCCGTCCGAAACCTTTGGAGCCCGAATGAACCGTCTAGTCTGTCTAGTAGAGGTCGTCGCGACGCTGATGTGTTTCTGCAGGGTTTGCCTCCCATCTTGCCGATTGGCGGTGAGGGCAAGCATCATCACCGATTAGGAGAAGCTCGGTCAAGCTCGCTTGAAGTGAGGCAATTCGAGAATATGATACCCCGTAGCACTGCAATCTCCACTGGCAGCTATGCAACTGACATGTCGCCTTCGAAACAACAAACGTTGGAGTGCTGCCCAAGGCCATTCAGCTCATATTTTGGCTCTGCAGGGCGTGCAAGCCCTAAGTTGGGCCGACTTCAGGCGGTGAGACAATAGGCTATGGATGTTAGTACAGGGTTCGTCAGGTAGTGTGTAGGATAGTGGCAAGCAGTCGCAAGACAGACTTTGCGATTGTTTGCAGGAAAGGTTGGTCTGATGTGCTGGCCCGTACCGCTCTTGGCGTCCAGGTTGGCACATTTCATCCACGACGCGCGCAGTGCAAGAAGCCGAAGATGGGGATGGATCAATTGTGATACAGCTGTATCACCAGGATATCCAAGTCAGATATATGGGAAAAGGAGGTGAGTTTCCAGCTTCAAAATGTTACTCATTCTCAAAAGGCATGTGCATATTCTGCAGCAGAAGAAAAGTCGGTGGGAAGGAATTGATCCTGGTTCAGACTTCAAAGAAAAGCGCGCGAAGGAGCGGTCAGGAACTGTCACTAATGCATGCACCTGATGCAACTGGTTCAAAAGGCTAATGCAATATGCATCTGGCATGCAGATCTTGCGAGATGATTAGACTGTGACGCTGTGAACGTTTTGATGTTTGCTACGCCTGCTACGGTATTCCCTCTCTGACAGCGTTAAATCGTCGGTCCTCATCTAACCGGGAAAACACCAGACCAGTCTAAACAAACCGTCAGGCTCGCCCTAACGTACGAACAAGCTACCTCACCTACGTCAATTCCACCGGACTAGGACCTGCAATGCCTCAATCCATGGCCACCGCACGCGATATACCCGTCCTCATCACATCCAGCGCCTCTTCTTCAGAGCGCCGCATCACCCCGTCTTGGACAATTGCACATCTCAAAACCAAGCTAGAGCCTGTAACCGGCATTGCACCCTCGTCCCAAAAGCTTACCCTGCGGCTGCCGGACCAGCAGCGAGAGATTCCGATTGAAGCTGAGGATGAGGACGGTGTTGAGGTCGGCAGGTGGCCCTTGGTCCCCTATGCCGAGATAAAGGTACAAGCGGCATCCTTTCTTCATCATTGCGGTCATTCGTTACTCGACGCAAAGCCAATTACTTTGGCACGAAAGAAATGCAGATTGAGCTGTCATAACTGCACGTCCCTGCATGTATCATTCTGCCGGACTCCCGGACTCTGTTCAGCTTCAATTCCCTCCCTTCACTGTGGCACCTGTTGCATCCGCCATGCGTATTATGATATTCTGCAATCGAGCCGTGAGGCTGTTTCGCCTTGACGGGGCGGCCCTCGCGATTGGCCTTCTGAATTTCAACAACTGCCTCTTTCGATCAGCTTCTCCTACCACAGGACCTCATCTAACAATCGACTCTCAAGGTCACATCTCTCAACCCGAACCCCATCTCCGCACTACCCCCGCTCTCCTCAGTGCCCAAATATGAGATGCCCGAATCCAAGTACGAGGCCCTCCCCGACACGGTCCGCGCCTACAAGAAGGACCACCGAATCGGCCGCTTCGACCCGGCCGCGCCGGAGATCCAAGAACGGAAGGTCCGAGAGATGTGGAACGAGGTCGAAGAGAGGGGTGAGTTCCCATCGTGGTGTCCAACCTGATTTCTTTCTTCGTGGCTCCTTCACCAGCACCGATCCAAACTTCACCGTCCTGAGCATGACGCAGACATCACGCCCCCCTCGCGCTGCCGCCTCTCCGGCTCGTCCACCAAGCGGGGCACCGTCTCCTTCGTCGGCCCCATCCCCACCCTGCCAGGGCCCCCCGGCGCGCCCTGGATCGGCATCACGCTCGACGAGCCTGTCGGCAAGAACGATGGCAGCGTCCCCTCCGGCGAGCGGTATTTCCAGTGCGGGAAGAACAGGGGTGTCTTCGTCAGAGCGGAGAGGGTGGAGGTGGGAGATTTTCCGGAGTTGGGGCTGGAGGCTGAGGGGAGTGACATGGAGGAGATATGACGAGGGAGGTTTGAGGGGGGGGGGAAGCGGGAAGTTGTACATTATGCCGTATGTTAAGTTCACGTATGTTATGATAGAGATGATGGAAGTCTGAAAGTCATGCCTCTAGCATTAACCTTGTCTAATGTTCTATTCTACGATATGATTCTCAATACGGCATCCACAAAGGCTTCCTCTTCTTCCAAGGAGCTGTAGGCTCAACTCCGACGCAACGTCTTGGATCTCCGTACTGCTTGACCATTTTCGAATGATGTTCCCGTGCTGAAGCTCACCACCAACTCTCTCCTTATTTTACCATCAATTGCCACAACTCAATGATGTTCTCATGCTCAATGAGAGCATAATGCCACGTCGGGATAGTCCTCGTCCCCTCCCGTTTCCTCTCGTTGCTGCTTCAGACCAAAGTTGCTCGCCGAAGGCGTGCTCCACATGCTGCCGACAGTCGTCAGCGTTCACATGGCCAAGAGTAGAGCAAGGATGTGAGCGGTGAAATTCTACAAGCAAGATTAAGGTTGTCACCAAAGGGTCACGATATTGGGTGACGGATTGGCTCACATTGCCGCTCGGGATCTGAGGAGGTAGACGCAATCTCAGGGTTTCTTTGAGTTGTCGGGTCCACACGACGGTGGAGTGGGCATCGCACTCTCGGAGTCGTGTCTGGATCATCCGATTCCACTAAAGATACCGTACCGCCGAGGCTATACGCGAAGACCTGCCGATAGCCAGCTCGTCTAAGAAACCTCCCGCATGGTTAAATTTCGAGCTTCGGCGACTTTCCAACCATAGTACCTGAGATGGAGTGTGAAAGTGAAGCTGATGTCGTGCATGGCATTGTGGTGCTATCGCTACGCTGCTCCGGGACCCGCTTCAAGAACGCCGTCCTTCTCGGCCGCGCGGAAGTTCAATGGCTGAAATCTTCTCAACGCGATGAAACGTCGTTCCCACAATATAGGCAAACACTGGAGCAACGCTTTGGCCTCTGCCAACAGCTTCTCCTTCTCCTCCCCTTTCAAGATTGTCACCATCTTGTCTACGGCCCCATTCGTAGCTCGATACAAAGATAGAAGAAATTCGACTTGGGGTTGGTCTGACCGTTACAGGTATGTTTGGCACAGTCTTTCCGGTCTTGAACTATGTGCCAGCATAGAGTTCGACAGCGGGCGGCCATTTGATCTCTTCTTATTGGCAGCGCTCTCGTTCAGGTCATCCTCAGCATCTCTCTTTCTTCCCAAAGATGGAGTGATACCTATGTCCGTTGCTATGGCGTCTTCGAGCTTTTACCGCTTACTTTTGGCTTGTTGAATGAGAACGGCTTGAAGATGCGAGCTTGGGAAGCTGCTGCCTTTAAACTATTGTCGCAACTCGACCCCGGACGTGGAGTCAAAGTCGACCACTGCTGGAATTGCAGATGCCGGTCTCTATATTTATATTCTGGTTAGAAGGGAGGATTCACTTTTCGCGCTGGGTCTCCAAACAGAGTTCGCATGGCTGGGGTCGAATACATAGCTAGCGAGTCCATCACGGTAGCATTCGAAGAAGTGGGCGAGTGCGAGCAGGGAAGGCGGACGTTTCTGATGAATCTGCCGTAGGAACCTTCATCAAAGCACTTCCCCGGAAGTTGGAAGTCGGGCGAGTTCCAATAATGCGTCTTCTGGAGCTGAGCTGCAGAAGCGGCGACAAGCTGCTTGTCAATGCCACAACGTCCTGCGATGCCGAAGAGGTATTTGAGACCAGGGTTGACTGGCAAGTCGAGACTGTAGTAGAGGCGAATGGCCGTGCGATAGAGGGAGTTGTTGCTGTTGAAGGCGTACCAATCAATGTCGACCTTTATTTCAGCTGTAATGGCTGGTCTCGGCCTCTCGTCCGCGGCTGAAAGCCAGGTTATGACTGCTGTTGTAGAAGCTGGGGCGGACTGAAAGCTTGCCTTGAGATTCGAAGCCAAAGTACGGCTGGTGATGCTGGTATCGTGATTGAATCAAGCTCATACTCTCATCTGCAAGTAGCATACTCACGTACTTTCCTTTGATCGTGCATAACTTCGGACTCGAAGTGAGCATCGCAAAAGTCTCTGCCAACACCCAGTCCACTCTCTTCGTTACTTCTTTTGACTGGTCTGACAGTCGTTGGCTGTTTCGCTGCTCTTCTCACTCCTCGCCCACCAGAGGCGTACTGCCTCGAGTTCGACTTGAGAGAAACCGCTGAGTTCGGCAGCCATGACCGAGAACCGGGAGTCGTCGTGGGGCATAATCCACATGTCGACCGGAAGACTCGAGTCCTTCTCTGACATATCGAATTGCCTAAGGTCTTTACTCGCCCATCAGGGGTTCGCTGCTTCAGCTGCGAGTTTATAGCCCTAATTGATGCCGGCAGCGCTCTCGGTAACGCGATCTTGAGGATCCACGGTTACATGTTTATGTACAATGCAGGTTCAGCTGCGTAAAGAACCCAGAGGCGTAGAAGATGAAATGATGGTGTATAAGATATGATTGTTTGATTTTCTCAAAAGACCTCTTCCGCAACAGGCCTGCCAAACCAACTCGTGAGCTCATTAGATTCTTTATCTATTGCACCGTCTGCTGTAGTCGAGAAGAAGTCAGTCACCCGCATGCCTTGCTCGTCATCTTCCACCGGCCAATCGACTTTGGTACCGGTACCCTTGGCTTCGAGCAGATCTTTGGCCGTACTCCAGCTGAATCGGCACTCACTGCCCCAACCAAACACGGGATTCATATGCCCTTTTAGCCATGTTGTGCATCTTGCATCTGACGGGTACCCGGATCCCCAGCCTTCTGCAGCTGCTTGCGGTTCTTCTGGTGCATCAGCGGCAGATGCGTAAGTCTGATAGCAGACTTCGAGCGCAGCATCTCTGGTGACTTTGGCGCATACGGAAGCAGCTGAAACGCAAGGGTAAAGTGAATCAGCTTTCTTAGCGACGGTGATCATTGTTGTTGGAAAGATGCGTTCCAGCTTCTTCTGGTACATCGCAGGATTTCCAATCGTATCGATGTAGATCTCTCGAACATTGATTCCCTTTGCAAAAACATCTTTTATGAGGTCGATGGTTGCGTCCATTGCCTGAGCATTCAGATTGTAGGTTCCCGCGGGCTTGAGCATACCAGAGCCTATGTCGCGGGCTGACATGACCCTTGTTGCCCACCCACAATTTTGATAAAGATCGGTGCCAGGAGTGCAAAGAGCTTTCATAAGTGAGGAGCGAAAAGTTGGAGTGAGGACTTTGGAGTCATCAAAGTGATGTGTCTGGGCGAGAAGTGATCGGTGTTGTATAAGTGGAAGGTAGAATAGACCGTAGACCATAGGACCTTTTAATCGTGGTGAGTGTTGCCATATTGACGAATAATTGAGATAAATTACCGAGTACTGGGCCTCTGCCCGCCTCATCGACACCCAGGATACACTCTGTTGAGAGATTCCGAGATACAACTTCGGAAATCGGGGAATGATGTGTGTAAGATGCTCCAGCGAGAATGGCTTGTCCGTGAATGGAGGGCGCAATGAATACGTCTTTAGCAGGGGTTTCTTGAGGAATGTCCTGTGAAGCCATGTCTTGAGACTCAATTTCTTCCATGTTGGATGCAATGATTGTGAATAACGAATTGAAGCTTTCGAGAAGATCGAATGGAAGGCGCCTCGAGTAAATGCCTTCATCAATCACTGGGAGACGTGTTGATGAAAAGCGCGTAGTACCACTGCCGAAGATTTACCTTTCCTGCGCTTAGCGTGTTAGGCCTTGTTTTGCTTGGCACTCTTCTTCACACCTTCCCAGTCCGCATCACGGACTCGACGCGCATTCCTTCACCCCCGAACTTTTCCATATAAAGCTTTGTGCCGTGTAACACTAATCTGCGTGGGGAAGGACATTCATCTGCATTAAGTTGGCATAGGAGACTGCGCAAACCTCACAGCATCACCAAGCCATGGCTCCAAGAAAAACACCGCGAAAAGAGAGGGGACCTGGAGACTACACAGCGCTTGGCCGTAAGGGAAGGTGGGCAATAGCAAAAGCTTGCAACCTTTTTTCTCACCGATAGCTCACAATCAACGTCTAGGCGAACTGGTGTCGAGCTCAAGGATACCGGTGTTAGAGATGAGAACGGCATGGAGCCCATACCTTCTTTCTCCTCACCAGCCAAGTCGGTGTTCCATCCAAATGGCATATCCCACGACGTTACCGATTCTGCAGATGATAGTATGGACATTGTTGAAAGTAAGCCATATACACTATGAGATGTGGGTCAATATATTCGATTATTAACATCCTATTTTCACAGGTACGATACCGGAGCCTTCCGAACTGGTCAGGAGCACTCGAAACGGCAGGATCAGCCTCCCGCCACGTGCGACTTCCCCCATCAAAACTCATCTCAACTCATCACCTAGAAGGTCCATGCCTCGATCTGTGGGACCAATGTCTTCACCCTCACGGAACCTAAATAATGGAACTCCTACCAGAGCAACGTCACATCCGCCTCCGAACAGGGTCAACAGGCAGTTGGATTTTTCGATGGATAAGCCGCGAATGAGTATAGAGAGGTCGCCGGCTAAGGCTTCAGTGCCTAAGCTAAAACAGCCCAACTTAGCCTCTGCTACTGGCAAGAGCAAGAACAAACGGCCCTTTGATCTAAGTATGGGGAATGACTTCGATGATGGAGACTCGGATGCATTGAATGGCGAAAGCACTACCAACGGCATAATATACGATGAAGACGATGCTATTCTGCCGAATGGGGATGATCACGCTACCGGAGAGTCCACACTAGAACCGGGAATGCCAAGGGAAGACTACACCGAGCAACAACCGCAAGGCTCCGAGCCCGAAGAGAGCCAAATGGCGGAACCAGAAGCCACTGCAGGAGCCAAGGAAGCCAAGGAACCGAAAAGGAAGCCAGGGCGTGCACCCAAAGCCGTGATGGTCGACCCAAATGAGTCTCAGATGTCCCTTTCAATGCCAGCGCCTGCGACACCTCGCCGTGGAAGACCAAAGAAGGCGAGGACTGACATATTCCGAGACGAAGAAGTAGAACAACCTGCTGCCCCTCTTCCTGCCCCTGCCCAAACCAGCAAAGGGAAAGGAAAGAAGCCGACCGAGCGCGACCCCAACGTGCAGATGAAGGCGACCAAGAAAGCGAGCGACAAGCCATCATCTGTGCGTGCTAGGTCAGCGTCCAGGTCAAGATTCAACCCACGTAGCGAAACCCCAGCGAACGACAACGGCGCTCTTCTCACTAGGAGTGGAAGACACTCTATCAAGCCTTTGGCAAGCTGGCGTGGGGAGCGGTTCGTATTCGGTGATAGAACCACTGATTCCTTACCTGGGATCAAAGAGATTGTCCGAGTGGACGAGGTGGTCGAAGAACGGCCAAAGCAAAAATATCGATACAAAAAGAACCAATCACGAGCGAAATCCCATCTGGAAGAGGTTGAAGAAGAGGATGAAGAAAAGGATGATTGGGAACGAGACACAGGTATTATGCATGCAAACGTGATGGATTGGGATCCAAGTACAGGCAAATTCAATGAGGAGAATACCTGGGAGCAAGGTCCGATCCCCCTGTGGAAAACGCTGTCCTTCCTCACCAGCTCATACTAACTCCGAATTAGAGGTCGCATACTCATTCGAAGCTATCGAGATGCGCGACATCAGCGGTGCCGATTTCAAGTTCGCAAAAACCCTTACTCTGGATTTCTTCGGCTCCGGAATGGTCGACCTGCCACCTGGAGGAGCCAAACGCGTCAAGAACTCTAGAAAGATGCAGATGGTTTTTTTCGTTTTCTACGGCCGGGTTGAAGTTAGTATGGGTACGCCGTTGAAGACGTTCAGCATTGGCAAGGGAGGACAGTGGCAAGTCCCTAGAGGTAAGCTATTTCGCTCTCTTTCGCTTTTCATTACTGCTTGCATGTTCCATTCGAAAGCAAAACTAGCGCGGAGGCAGAAGGAGCAACTCTATCCACGATTTGTACGCACCCACACCCACGTTGTGGACGAACTTCAGGCGTTAGTGCGGACCTGTCAACTTGCATTAGCTAAGATCTTGTCTTCTATGGCAAGGGATCTCGTTGCTGCTCTTGCGTTCAATTCTAGAGTCTACTGTGGATGCTGACTGGATGCCTGGATAGGAAACTTCTATTCGATCACCAACCGCTCCCCCACAAAACCTGCTCGCATCTTTTTTGCCCAGGGCTGTGAGGTTCTCGCCAACACTTTGGATGAGAGCGCTATGAGCTAGATGTGGGATGGCGTCGCATCAACAGATAAGGCCTGTGCTGCCAGATGTTGATACCAATGGGGAGGGTTTAGGGTACTTACCGGCGTTCCGGCCACTTGGTTGCATGATGAAGATGACGCTCTTCCCACCCAGCAAAGCGATAATTTGGTTTGGGCGTACATCTTCGGAGGCATTGTGTGCCGCATATGTGTGCAGCATACTGTATTTGTGTATTAGGATCATTATGAGATGCCTGCTCGATGAGATGATTAGTCACTTGCTCGACCTTCGAAGAGTCATGAAGCTCCTGCTTACTGTACTGCTTCGTCCAAAATCCGTTTTGCATTGGATTGCCGTCCTCAGTAGCATACACAGTAAAGCCAACCAAGATTTCACTTTTGACATTGAGATAGACGCTAGATTGCTTCGCTCTGCTCCATGGGTCTGAAATATCGCTGTACTCATACAATAATTCCCTCCCTCCACACCGTCCACCAAAAATACACTTCCAAAACCTCCCCTGCCTACAAAGTAGCAGTAGGGAAATAATACTCCCCCCATAGATAATCATAATCCTCAACCACCACCCCGACCATATCCAACACCGCCTTCCCCTTCAACCCCCCCGCCACCCCTTTCACGACCCCACTCGTCACGTTCTCATAAAAAGCCCCCCGCATCCCCCACCACGCCATCCCCCAACCCCGCCTCTTCAGTTCCTCCCTCTCAACCCCCGATAATCCCCTGATCCCGCCCACGACGCTATCCTTCACGTCAGCCTTGCTCAATTGCCGCGCCGCCATCTCCATGCTTAGCCCTAACAGCCAGGGGCGCCAATCCTTCCTGTTCGCCTGGCAGCGCTGGAGGGCGAGGGCGTAGACCACGGGGCGCAGGATGTAGAGCAGTTCGGCGAGGTGGCCGGGGAGGGAGTGGAGTTTGCGCACGAGGCGGTGGGCGGATTTGATCTCGTCGGCGGTTATGACGCGGGAGGTGAGGAAATCGATTATGCTTTCTCCTCCTCCTCCTACTCCGACGATTCCAGTGGACGAGGAGGAGGGGGGGAGTTGGGGCAGCCGCATACCCGTACGAGGCATTTTCCATTCGCCTCCTTCCGCTCCGTCTAGCTGGGCACCTTCTGCGTATGCGTCGTCGTCTGTGGGCGGAGTATCGACCCTGCGCTCCGTCCGTTCGTCCCCGACGCCCGTAGCGATGACGGGGCGGGAGCCGGAAACGCGCCCCATGCACAGCCGACACACGGCCTTTACGACCTCCAGCACCACTATGACCCGCCACCGGGCTTTCTCCCCCGCGCGCTTGGCCAGCATCTCGAGTAGCAGTTGCGTATACTGTACCGTCCTCAACAGCGCTGTGCACCGCGCGTAGACCCTACTCTTGGCCTCCCAGAATCTTTCGTACCGGCGTTGCGGGGAGAAGGGCGGCGAGGCGAGGAGGTGCGTGTTGTATGCTGTGAGTAATGAGAGGAAAGTTTGCAGCGATTCGGATCTGAGGGGCGTGTCGGCGAAGCGGGTGCCGGGGAGGAGGTAGGTGAGGGAGCGGAGGGCGGATTCGAGAGAGGAGACTTGGGAAGAGTTGTGCTGGACGAAGGATTGGTAGGTGGAGAGCCATTGTGATGGGATGGTGGTGTAGGTGGTGGGGATGCGGAGGCGAGCGGTGAGGGAGGTCGTCGACGTGGAGGGGGAGGAGGAGGGTTTCGGAGGAGCGCCGTCAGGGATGGGGACACTCTTAGGCTGGTCGGTTGTCATGCTGCTGAAGGTCGAGTTCAATGCTTCAAAGTGTTGCGTTGCTGCTATCGTCATCAATGTTGAGCGCAGAAGTTGGAGTCGCGAGCGCGCTGATTTGCCGAGGTACCTCAGCCTAACAATGACAGGGATCGCTTTCGGTAGTTCAGGAACTCTCACTTTGATAGAAGCACAAGGTGACAGGGTTTGCCAAAATTTTTACGACTAGACCAAAAGGTGGTCACTAGTAGTCCATCACTAAACAGTAACTTATACTAAGGTAATTATAGGCTTGCAAGCGTATGACCGCTTGCCCACATATCTCACACCGCAGATCTGTTCAGTAATCAGCAACGCGGTACCTGTTTTGGAAATGGTATGCACTCAATGGTCTCATATCAATGTAGAATGATTGTTCATTGTCATGTTCTATAAAGAAGTATGTAGTAAGGATGGAGGTGACTACCTATCTATGGTGTGAAGCCACGCTAAGGCTATTTGCCACCATAAGGCGTAGTCACAACACCTATTTGGAACTTAGTAGTGTGTAGAAATCCTGGCCTCCTATTGGCTGATTCCAACACTCCCACACAGTCCAAATGGTGGGCTGGAAACACTATTAGTTCCAACACTCCCACACAGTCCGAATTTGGGCTGCTCCCTATCCACTCTTCTTGAGTCCAATTTGGTTTATGAATGTGGCAAACTTGTCATTAGTAAGGGCCTTGGTAAGCCCGTCCGCAGCCATTTCATTTGTGGGAACCCATTCGAATGTGACTGCCCCCGTTTCCACTTGGTCCCGCACGAAATGCCATTGGATATCAATGTGCTTCGTGCGTGAGTGAAAGCGAGGGTCCTTTGTCAATGCTATGGCCCCCTGGTTGTCTGCTTTGATTAGTACTGGTCTGCCAGGTAATCCGAAGCCAATATCTAATTCGCTTAGGAGTCTGGTCAACCAAACAGCTTCCTTTGCTGCCTGAGTCTGAGCCATATACTCAGCCTCACAAGATGACAGTGCAATGGACTGTTGTCGTTTAGACGTCCAACTGACTGCCCCACCGTAGAGTAAGAACACATAGGCTCCAAGGGATCGACGGGTCTCTTGGTCCGAGGCCCAATCAGCATCCGTGTAGCCTTCCAATGCATCAGCCGTCCCATACGTGATGCCATGAGTTAGTGTTCCCTTTAGGTAACGGATGACTCGTTTGACGGCTGCAATGTGTTTCGAATTGGGGTTGTGATTGTATCGAGAAAGAATTGTGACGGCAAAACAGATATCCGGACGAGTCTGAATCATGGGGTACATGATCGATCCCACCATTGATTGGTACTCCTGAATAACTTCTGGTTTGGCCTTGTCGACCAGTTCCTCTTGTAGTTGAGTGCCCACTACCATTGGTGTAGGGGCAGGTGCACAGTTAGTCATGTTGAATCGTGACAGTACCTTCCTTAGGTACGTCGTTTGCGTGATTCGAACGGTTCTCTCCCTCCGATTTCTCTGGATTTCCATACCCAAATAATATGAGCATGGCCCGAGATCGGTCATGGCGAACCGTTTGTGCAGGTCTCGTTTGAGTTCCGATATCAGTTTTGATCCTTTTGGACCATAAATCTGAATATCATCCACATACACGCTAACGATGAGTCGTGTTTTCTCATTAACAAAGAGTGAGTGATCGGATTCGGTTGGTTTGAATCCTTTGGATACAAGGAAGTCCCGTAGGGTGAAGTACCATTCTCGTGGCGACTGCTTTAGGCCATATAGTGCTCTAAGCAGCAGACATACTTTGTTGCCTTTCTTCTCATACCCTTTGGGCTGTTCCACATAGATGGTTTCCTTCAGCAGTGCATTGAGGAATGCGGTAATGACGTCCATTTGCTCACAGTCCAGGTCGTAGTGTGCCATGATTGCAAACAGTACCTTGAATGACATGGACTTGACAACTGAGGCGAAGGTTTGGTCGTAATTGACGCCGTAGATCTGTTCAAAACCTCGAACTACCCAGCGTGCTTTGTAGAGGATGGAGCCATCAAGTTTCTTCTTTATCTTGTAGACCCACCTACCAGTAAGGACTGGCATATCCTTCGTCCTCGGAACAAGCTTCCAAGTGTCCATTGTGGCAAAGGAATTCATTTGCTTGTCCATGGCCTCCTTCCATTGTTTGGCATAGGGGCCAGCCATTGCCTGGTCATAGGTCAATGGCTCGAAATCGTCAATCTCCGCAGTGGCCTGTTGGCATCTCATGTCAGCTATTTGCTGGACAGCAGCAGCGAGGTCGAAGACGGGATCGAAGTCATGATGGTCTGGATCCTCATGACTCAGTGTGGCTTGCCTACAGTATAGGCGTTCCGATTCGAGGGTCTTATCACACTTGGTGTGGGCAATGGCCCTCTGGGCCCACATTTTAGTGTCACTCCATTTATCATTCAGGAGAACTTTCTGGGAAGGCATGGGAGTTCGTTTTGGTCGAGAATTGTATGTCGCATCGGGACATGGATCTGGGTGAGCGATAGGGCTACCTCGAGGTATCTCTTCAACGTCGTCGTCGTTGGATCCTTCTGGGCCCACATCACTATCTCCCACATCTCCGGCTTCTCCGGTTTCTCCGGTATTTCCATTGAAAAGGATATTTCTGATTTTGTCCATGTTGGTAGGGCCCGCGTCGGTGTCGACGACGGCCTCAGGTGTGTGTTGGTGCACTGTAGAGTCACCCCCTGCATCAAATACATCTACCACATCGTCACCAGTGGCCTCGGCTAGCCAATAGCCGGTGTCCGAGACCGCAGTGGTCATCATTCGTGATTCATCAAAATCGACATGGGAGGATCGTTCCACTTGCCGAGTGGCTGGATTCCACACCCGAAAGATATTCGTACCTTCGTAGCCAATCAGGTAGCACTTCTTGCTACGTTCATCGAGCTTCTTACGCTTTTCCTTAGGTATGTGTACCCAGGCAACGCAGCCGATGATCTTCATGTGTCCGAGGTATGGTTGTTCGCCTGTCCATGCCTCGTGTGGTGTCATGCCCTGAAGGCGGGTGGTGGGACTCCTATTCTTTTGATACACTTTGGTATGAAGTAGTTCTGACCACAAATAGCGGGATAACTTCGAGTCAAAAAGCATGGCCCTCACCCCATTCATGACAATCCGGTTTTGTACCTCGCTAAGTCCATTTTGCTCAGGCGTGTAGGGTACGGTAGGCTCCCATATGATTCCGGAGTCCTTGAAGTGTTCTTTGAACTCACTATTGATGAATTCGGTACCATTGTCCAGACGGACTATCTTGACCTTGCAACCGGATTCGTTTTCCACCTGAGTTTTCCAGTCACGGAACAACTTGAAGGTCTCGTCCTTGTGCTTATACGTGAAGCACCAGGTCCGGAGGGTCGCTTGGTCGGTTAGAAGCATGTAGTACTTGGCCCCATTGATGGACGGTACGTTGAAAGGTCCTCCCAAGTCCATGTGGATCTTACCGAGTTTTTCGAGTACCTCGTGTTGTACTCTTCTTGAAACCTTTCGTGTGGATTTGGCCTTGGAACAGGCCTCACATATTGGTCTGACCCGAGGTTTCTGAGTCAGTGTGATGCCCTTGCTCATGTTGACCAGTCTCTTAAGGTCCGCCTCGTTTAGGTGTCCCATTCGACGGTGCCATAGCTCGACAGCTTCCTCGTTGAACATCAGGCTTGTTGTTAAGGCCCTCATGTTCTCCTGAATAAGCACCGAAACCTTGGCTGTAGACTGTGAGATGCTGAGGATGTAGGTATTGTTTACCTTCGGAGCGCTACCAATGAGCTTGCTACCTTGAAGGATATGGCAGTCGTCACCAAGGAAGGTGATTCCAAATCCTTTTCGTGTGGCCTGACTGATCGAAAACAGTCCGCATGTGAGGTCCGGAACATGTAAGACTTCACTGACTTTCACGATGTTGCTGGATCCATCCTGCAATAGCCATTCCATTTCGACTGTACCGCGGCCCTGCGTCCAAACGGTAGTCCCATTGGCTATCATGACACCTGCACGGTATGGCTGGTAGTCGGTGAACTCGTCCTTGTCGAAGAACATGTGGTTAGTACAGCCTGAGTCCATCATCCATTCGTGTGTGGTAGTAGGTTGACTATCCACATGTGCTGCATAGGAGAGAAAGTGAGTTGAGGATTCGTGTGACAATTCGTCAATTATTTCGTCCTCTGGAGAATTGGGTGGAGAGTCAAGGATATTTTCAGCCTCCCGGCTTGCCTCACCACCCAATTTTGGGCTGGCGTCAAGCTGAGGTGTTAACTGATTCCCTGCGTTCTCCCATGGTTCTTGCGATTTAGCCATTTCGACTAAGAGATGATCGAGAGACTCAATTTCGAGCTCTTTGTTCATCACCCCTTCACCTGATTTAGGTGTTGAGCTGTTGGCTGGGTAGCCCCAATACTCTTCGTCTCCCACAGCATCCCCACCATCGATTATGGTGTGGGCCATTGCTGAAATGTGAGTGTGGTTTTGGTCCACGAAATCGTCCGGCCTATTGGTTGTATTGGCCACATTCGCTTTGGGCTTGGAGTTCGAATTGTTATTGCTGTTATTGTTGTTATTGTTGTTTCGAAATCGATCAGGTATCTTTTCGTTATGAAGGGTCCAGCAGCTATACGGCCAATGCCTCTTCTTGCTTCCATTTGGTAGTGGTGGGCACTTTGGACACTCAGGTGCGTCACCTGATCCCTTGTAGTAGGTACTATTCGGGTTGTTTGACGGGGGATTGGAGTTGTAGTTGTTGTTTCCACCGTTGTTTCCACCCCGGCCTTGTCCTGAAGTATTGCCCCCACGTCCTGAATTGTTGTTACCTCTGGAGGCCTTCTTGTCCTCCTGTTCCTTGTGGTATTTCTTCATGGCAACGGCCATGGCTTGTTCCTTGTTGTCTCGCTTGAGGAGACGGTCTTCTTCGTGAAGAAGTGTGACAATTTTGTCAAAGTCTGGCATGTCATCAAGTTGTGTGACAAGACGGTGTACGAAGTCCTTGTACTTTCCGTCCAAATTG